GGACATGTGAGAGATCTAAGAGAGAGGCATAGAGAGACAGAGTCGGAAATAACAGCTGACATAGGCAGGTAGGATGGAAACATCACAGTCAGTTAAGACTTTACCTGGTTAATAACGTCCTTCCAATGATTGCTCAGTTTGTACCCATCTTCTTGGTTGAAGTTGTGTCTGTGTTTATATATCTGGATGGCTTCATGAACAAATCTCTGAAGGTAGCCAGTAGGTTTGCAGAGTACCTCCGTCTTGGAAAAAAATTTCGCGTGAGCCCACAGCGTTAAAACAATGATCAGTAACGGCAAAGGTATTGGTCCTACCGTGTTTCAGATCTGTCTTGTGTTCACAAATGCGATCCGAGACATGTCGTTTCGTTTCCCAATATAACTGCTGCCACAACCACAACTCAGTTTGTAGACACCAGGATATTGCATGTCAGGAATCACATCCTTTACAGATGTGATTAAATCACGGATTTTGTGTACTGTGTTGAAACGAACCTGGATCTTGTGTTTGTTTAAGATTTTGGAAATCTTTTTGGTAACCCCAAAAAGATTTCCAAAATCTTAAATCATAGCAGGGGTTACCAAAAAGATTTCCAAAATCTTAAACGAATGAATACTAGTTGGATCGAGAGAAGAAAAATTAGGAAGTTCTACAGGAGTTTCAGGAAGCGAGACATATAATCCTGAAAAGGTGAACGACATGGAGTTGGTGATTGCTCACATGGTGAGAGCTTAGAGACAGATGCACTGGCAGAAAGGATGCTGGGAAAGAGGCCAAGAAGCAGAAAGAGAGAGGTGCTGCTTGATGAATTGAAGGAAGGCATCCAGTGGAATGAAGAAGAGAGCTCAAGATGTGGGGGGGGGGGGCAAATGGAGGGAGTTTGAGACAAAAATCCATGGCCTGAAGAAGACTGCCGCGTGTCGGTCACAGAGCAGCCATCGGAGGTGCTGGATCACTGGCGCGCGTTCCGTCATGCACCGCACTACGTGACCCGGGCCACGAGCTAACCCCGTGACGCCCCCGCCCCATGCAGGAGAAGCGAATCCACGAGCTGAAGAAGAAGAACCAGGAGCTGGAGAAGTTCCGCTTTGTGCTCGACTACAAGATCAAGGAGCTCAAGCGGCAGATGGAGCCTCGGGAGCAGGCGCTCAGCATGGCCCGCACACACACACAGCAGGTGCTCATACACAGGTGTACACACACACAGCAGGTGTACACACACAGCAGGTGTACACACACACAGCAGGTGTACACACACACAGCAGGTGTACACACACACAGCAGGTGGACACAGACAGCATATGTACACACACAAACACATATAGCAGGCACTCGGCACGCCCCATATACACACATAGCAGGTGCACACATGTACACCAGGTGAATATACCTGCGAGCGCCACTAAAATTAATGCTGGGCGTAGTGACGCACATCTGTAAATCACCGCTGTGATTTATACAAATCTGGTGTATATGTCTGTGTCGTGTATATACCACGTGTGTGGTGTTTGGTGCGTGTGGCGTATGTGCCATGCCTATGGTGTGTGGTGTATCTCATGCGTTTGGTGTACTGTGATCTGCCTGGAGATGGAGACAGAGTTGGAGAGGTTCCAGAAGCAGGTGTCTCAGCTGGAGCTCGCAGTGGCCGATACGCGGAGCAAGATGCAGGCTGCCGAACGGCAGACAGCACGCGAGCGAGACCGGGTACCACATCACTCCATGCGCACACCACACTGTCCGCATTACACTCCACACGGTACACTGCCACAGGGTCAGGTGACTGCGACTGTATTTGTGCCAGTGAAGCAACTTTACTCATCACCATACACTTACCATCGACCCTAACAATCATCATACCATTGACCATAGACCCATCACCGTGTCCTTACTTTTGACCCCGCCTTTAACAATTATCCCCTTCATCTTCGTTCCCTTGCCTTTGACCCTCCTCATCACACCCATACCGTTGAGTGCACGTGCCTGTGACCCTGCCACCCACGTGGCATGTGTAAGTCCGTGCGTGTGTACACGTGTGTAGGTGCGCGAGGTGGAGGCCCTGGTGAAACGCTTCAAGACCGACCTGCACGCCATCGCCGGCCTCATCCAGGAGCCCCGGCAACTCAAGGAGGCGGTGACGCAGTTGTACCACCGCTACGTGCAGCTCGCCGACGCGGTGAGGGCAGTTATAAATACAACCGTGCAACCATAACGACCATCACTACATGCAGCATGTCGTGTGTTATAGTATGGGCTGTGATGTCTGGTGCCCCATTGAATTGTGTTGAGCTGCGTGTGTTATACTATGCTGCACATTAGTGTTATGTTATAGTGTGCAGTGTATTAGTGCGTTGTCTTTTAGTGTCCAGTGTGTTGTAGTGTGTTTAGTATAACTACTGTATACTGTGTCGTGTGTTATAGTCTACAGTGTTAGTGTGCAGTGTGTTGTGTGCTACGTTATAACATCCAGTGTGTTGTAGTGATTTGTGTTCGTAGTGTTAGTGTGCTGGTGTGGTTGTTATGACATGTTGTGGCATGCTGCCAGTGTATCACTGCGTCCGTGCCGCGTTCCGCTGCAGAAGGAGATCCGAGGAGAGGACGCGGACGTGCAGCGAGAGTTTGCCCGGCAGAAGGACCACCTGGAGCGGAGCGTCGCGTCGCTACGAAAACAACTGAGCTCCGACACGGACTCTCACCGCACTGAGAACGCCCGCATCATACAGGTACCACGCGCACCACTACATACAGGCACCATTCCCAGCACCACAGGAACCGTACACACCACTACATACAGGCACCACACGCACCACCACAGGAACCGTACACACCACCACAGGAACCGTACACACCACCACATACAGGCACCACACCCACCACCACAGGAACCGTACACCGCTCTAACTTTGGTACCATACCCACCACGTGCACCACTGTGTATAGCTACGTGCGTGTAGCTGTGGGTCGCTATGTGCGTGTTTGTTGGTGCTGCAGGAGAATGTAACACTGATCCGAGAGGTGAGCGACCTGCGCAAGGAGCTCCGCAACATCCGCACGTACGTCCATCAGCTGGAGCTCACCGCCAAGAGGAACCGGCCCCGACCAGGTGCGTGCTCCCAAACGCGCGGCACTACACGCGGCGCTCACTGCCCCGGTGCAGTTACGCCGCCTCTGCGCTTGATAGCGATGCCACTTCTTTCTACTGCCTCTTAAAATTGTCATCACCAGGGCCGGGCTTCAAAGCTTTTGCAAATTCTTTTTGGCGTCAAGTGCTGTGGTGTTCATTCATTTGATGCCCTCAATGCCGACCCTGCCTCCATTGTCTTTTGGAATCTCCACCAATCAGAAAGCTCGATGGAGATTGGCAAGGGGCAGGGGGCGGAGCCCAGCACAGACCACGTGATCGAGCTCCAGCGAATGGAGATCCGGCGACTCCGTGAGCAACTGCACCAGCGTCCGCCGTCAGGGTCTCGCCTCCCTGCCATCACCGCCTAGACCACAGTCACCCACCACGTCACCTACGACCGCCCCATCCTCCCATCATCACACCATATCCCATCACCGCCTAGACCACAGTCACCCCCCACGTCACCTACGACCGCCACATCCTCCCATCATCACACCATATCCCATCACCGCCTAGACCACAGTCACCCCCACGTCACCTACGACCGCCCCCCATCATCACACCATATCCCATCACCACCTAGACCACAGTCACCCCCCATGTCACCTACGACCGCCCCCCATCCTCACACCATATCCCATCACCGCCTAGACCACCGTCAACCCCACGTCACCTCCTACCGTCCCGTCCTCACATCACCGCCCTATCCTCCCATCACCAGCTAGGCCCATCCGCACCATCCATCAGTGACCCACCTCCCATCAGAGCCTAGAGCAGCCATCACCACCTCATCTTCCATCCGCTCCAAATCGCCATCAGAACCTGGAACCGCCCGCATCTCCCATCACCGCTCCACCTCCAATCACATCACCCGCCGCCAGCTCATCACACTTGAATGCCCTCCCCATCAGTTCCATCACCCATCGCCACCTCGTCCAGCTTACATCACCTATCACATAATCATCATCTATTACACCCCCCCCCCCCCCCATGGACTCTGGCAGGCGTGCTCCATCCCATCCCCCGCTATCATCACTGTACCTGCGAATCTCGTGTACGCGTGCGTGTGTCGCTGCTGCATGCCTGCCAACCCATACGGTTTACCCGTATTCTTGTGCAGGGATTTTGAGTAAAAAAATGCGTCTATTTGTTTCTCCCTTGTGATGGGACTTTGTAGAGTGATCGTTGAGATTCATAAGGGCACGGCATGACCAATAAGGTCTGAATTGGTCTGTCATAAGGTAGGCACTGATAAGGGGTTGACAGGTATACTGCTGTGACTAAGGATGGATCGGTAATGATCAAAAATAACATTTTCTGTATGAAACTTGAGTACAGTACGACTATTTAAGTAGGGCACAGATGGCTCATTCCACGTTTTGTGATTTAAACTTTATTGCAATCATAATTTGGGTGAATAAACACATTACACAAGCTTTGCCATTTATATCTTTACCTCAAGCGTCACCGAATCTCGAGGTATTTTTCAGGAGGGGCGGGTTCCTACTTGAGGAACCAGAAGGGAAACAGAGTTTGTGGTCAAAGCTCGAATCCAAGCTCGAGCGCCTGTGTGGAGTTTGTAGTTTTCATCGCGTTGCTCTGCATGGGTGTCCCTCCCCAAGGCTAGAGAAACCCACACAGCACAACCCGTATCACTCGTGCCTCACAGTAACAAGAGCCTGGGTTCAATTCCAGACTCCAGTGCATTTCTGCCTGGAGTCTGTAGCTCTCTCCCTGTTATTCATGGGTTTCCTCCAGATATTCCCACAATTAAAACAATACGTCAGTGCTATTGGCTCAATGGTGAAAAATTACTTGAAATTTACTCGATTGGGATTTCACAGTAGCATCGCCCCCCCCCCCCCGCCCTTCCCCCCACCCACCCACTACTGCGAAAGCTTGGCAGGAACCTCCTGAAAATAAGGTCTCGAGACTCACTGAGGCTTTCCTGGGTAAACGAGCGGAATAAGAGGGACAGTCGTCACATCAGCGGCAGCTCTTCACTTGACGCACGCGCTTGGTGGTCCCCGGTCATTATTGACATGGCAGCTCGCCACCGCAAGTCAGCCATCCGATACGGTTTACAAATGGATAATTACACAAATTAGGGCACCACTTTAGAACAATCCCAACAATGCACGAGGTAACAATTTGAAGGCAATTATTTATATGCTTGAGAAAATATGGCTTATTGATGGATAAGTCAATTGTCTGATGGACACACAAAATCAAATGCACCACCACGATTGCGGAGGTCTGCTGGCACAAGAGGGACTTCAGGAGCCAGACAGTTCGTGTCGCATTGCTATTCCTCCTCCGTTGAAGGAACGCCGGGCCGAGAGGGGGTTTTACTTCATGGTCCATAGGCCATGATTACACAAAGAATTATCCACGTCTTAAAAAGTGTTTAAAATGTACCTCCGAAATTGTGGACCTGCCAAACCATGAGCACTCGGAGCTGGGCCTAGGACACAATTAATGAGAAAAACATGAGTGGTGGTGCACGTACAACGGCTGTGCATGCCCATGGCCTGACCTGAACTCTTAGTTATTCAATATATATTTTTTAGGTTTGCTGAGCACAGGCCCACAAACGCTAAGCGGCCAGCAACAAAGAGCACGAGTATCAAAGTTGTAAAATATAATTGACAAGTTTCTTAAAGTGAGCAAGATTGTTAATAAGAGCTTGGGAAAAGAGATGACGATAATGGGAGAGGGAATTCCAAAGTGGTGCAGTTTGAGGGCTGAAGCAGAAAGAAAAGCGAGGTGACCTGCAGTGTGGTGGGTGTTGAGAGTTGTTTGGACACTGCGGTCTTTGGTCAAAAGTCAACTCAGCCCATCATCCCTATGGTGTCAATAAAGCCGACAGTGGCTTGTCCTACGGACACCCCCTCGCCCCTGCCACGTGGCCATTGCACCACCGGCTCAGGGCAGTGGCCAGGAGACGGGCACCGCACCAGGCTCGTTTGAGTTCTAACTGCGTCGAAGGTGACTTGAAGATTGGCGGCAAGTGGGATACAGGGGCGGAGGTGGGGGGGGCCCGGCCGTGGGTGGTGACAGCGATTTGGTGCCGAGCGGCGTGTGGAGGGGGGGGGCGCCCGGGAAACCCGAGACCCCTGGCTCCTCGCGGAGTCACCTGTGTGGAGAACAGGGAGCCTCTGTGTCGCCGCATTCCTCCCGCTGCATCTCGCCGATCGGGTGTCCCCTGCCCCCTCCTGCCGCTGCCCTCGGTCAGACACACGGCTGAAGGGTACTTAACTAGCTTCAACAGGCCACGCACGAGTCAACAATAATGTGGTTTTGATACAGCGCCTAGGACGCTGGGGCTTCTCGGAGCACTTTACATTGCATCTCATCTGAAACAATTGAGAAAGGGAACACTCCCCCCAGCGGCAGCTGTCCCTTTGGGCACAATGCGACTCAGCACCTGGCCTGAGAGCAGATATCAGTCTGGCAGTGAGGGAGCAATGTTTGCTGTGTATAAGTCCCAATTGAGTCATTTCTGAATTGGCCAAAATTTTCACCGTAACGCCAGCACACGGTGGCCTACGCTTGCGAACGGCATCAGGGAATCTTTTTAACGCCAACTGCGAGTGAAGCAGACGCCGAGTAGCTTTACCATGTTTAATCCATCGCCGCCACAATCATAACCAGGGCGGCCGTTGGGTTCGAACCGTGAACCTCTGCAATGAGCGGCGAATGCGCTACTGTGTGGACTGTGCCCAGCACTACTGGAAAGACAACAATTGGCCGAGCGAGCTAACATTAGAAACAAGTGTTTCCAGGTTTAAAAAATGGTCCTTTGTCAAGATTTAGGATTGCGGGGTCACCGTGGCAAAAGACACCGATGCAACCAGCACTCCTCATCGCCGCCGCTCTCCACCCTCCGCCAGATCGCACAGCTGTTGCACGGGAAACACGCGAGAGCCCTACAGTCTCCCTGCACCGTCCACTCCTATGGTCTTGCCCTCGGTCGCAGGACTCGTGGGGACCTCTCATTTCTGGTCTCAGGCCCTCTCGCCATCCTGCACAGCTCTGCCGATATTTGCCGAAAAATTTCTACAGTCTGATGAGCACAGGATTGCATAGTGCAATCTTTGGTTTTAAGTCAAATCTCACCTATCGTCCAGTACGCCGCATATCCGACCATCTATCCAAAGGGACATCTGGGACAGTCGGTTTCCCTTTGGTGAACGGCCCCGCTCACTGTTTCACTCGAGCTCAACGATCGACAGGGAATTGTCGACGTTGGCATCGAGCACAAACAAATCATAGAGGCCGAGCGCCGGCAGGAGGGGACGAGTGAATTTGTGGTGAAAGGTGTGGAGCGGTTCCGTCTTCCCGGCACTGTAGAACGACAGGAGCCCCCCCTCGAAGTCCACGTAGACCCCGACCCTACGGAGAGAACCCCCTGCCCCCCCACTTACTCTCGTCACCGGGACCTCCATCCCCCTGCGCTGGGCCGTCACCTCGTTCCCGCGTACGTACAGGGCCCACGAGGTGTCGTTGTGACCCAGCCAGCACTCCTCCCCGTGACCCTTGCGCGCGATCGACCTGTAAGCCACCCCGACGCAGCACCAGCCGGCAGAGCTCACGTCCACCTCCCAGTACCCTCGCCCCGACGAGACGCCCTCGGAGCCCAGCGCTTGGTACCAGCCATCAAAACGGTCCGGGTGGTCGGCAAGATGCTGCGCAGGCCAGGTGACACGCACCGTCAGGCGGTCGCCGGAGATGCGCAGGCGAGGGTGGGCCGAGTTGGGGTTGAGGGTCGGCGTGCGGCTGTCTGCGGGTTAAGAACGCAACACGCGGCGATGATGACAACAGTCGGGGTGCGATTTCAGGGTGAATTCCATGGCTCTGCACTTCATTTTATCCCCGGGACTGCACTTTCACTCATCACCTCCAGGGTGGGAGAAACATTTCCTAACGTTCCCCAGCCCTCTGAATTATTATTTCCCATAAACTATGCACATTACATATTCGAAATGTATTATTATGAATATGATTAAATATGCAAGCACTTTTATGTACGGGAGTTGCGCGCTGTGACGTACAGCTGCAAACCAGCTCCGCGTAGCTGGGTCCGCTTGGTTTCGCTTGTCCAAAAAACATGCGGTGCAGGAAACCGAACAGATTCCAGTCGTCCGTCTCTTCCGTATGCGTCGTGTTATTGCTCGGGGGCTGCAGAGGTCTCACTTCCTCCGCGCGGTCATCAGAGTCGCTCTGGGTGGCTGTGAATAGAGACAGTGATGACGCTGTTACCCTGCGTGGCTGTGGAGGCGGTGATGAAGCTGTTACCCTGCGTGGCTGTGAATAGAGGCGGTGATGACGCTGTTTCCCTATGTGTCTGTGAACGGAGGCGGTGATGACGCTGTTACCCTGCGTGGCTGTGAATGGAGGCGGTGATGACGCTGTTACCCTGCGTGGCTGTGAATGGAGGCGGTGATAACGCTGTTACCCTGCGTGGCTGTGAATGGAGGCGGTGATGACGCTGTTACCCTGCGTGGCCGTGAATGGAGGCGGTGATGATGCTGTTACCCTGCGTGGCTGTGAATGGAGGCGGTGATGACGCTGTTACCCCGCGTGGCTGTGAATGAAGGCGGTGATGACGCTGTTACCCTGCGTGGCTGTGAATGGAGGCAGTGATGACGCTGTTACCCTGCGTGTCTGTGAATGGAGGCGGTGATGACGCTGTTACCCTGCATGGCTGTGAATGGAGGCGGTGATGACGCTGTTACCCTGCGTGTCTGTGAATGGAGGCGGTGATGATGCTGTTACCCTGCATGGCTGTGAATGGAGGCGGTGATGACGCTGTTACCCTGCGTGGCTATGAATGGAGGTGGTGATGACGCTGTTACCCTGCGTGGCTGTGAATGGAGGCGGTGATGACGCTGTTACCCTGCGTGGCTGTGAATGGAGGCAGTGATGACGCTGTTACCCTGCGTGGCTGTGAATGGAGGCGGTGATGATGCTGTTACCCTGCGTGGCTGTGAATGGAGGCAGTGATGATGCTGTTACCCTGCGTGGCTGTGAATGGAGGCAGTGATGATGCTGTTACCCTGCGTGGCTGTGAATGGAGGCGGTGATGACACTGTTACCCTGCGTGGCTGTGAATGGAGGCGGTGATGACGCTGTTACCCTGCGTGGCTGTGAATGGAGGCGGTGATGACGCTGTTACCCTGCATGGCTGTGAATGGAGGCGGTGATGACGCTGTTACCCTGCGTGGCTGTGAATGGAGGCGGTGATGACGCTGTTACCCTGCGTGGCTGTGAATGGAGGCGGTGATGACGCAGTTACCCTGCGTGGCTGTGAATGGAGGCGGTGATGACGCTGTTACCCTGCGTGGCTGTGAATGGAGGCGGTGATGACGCTGTTACCCTGGGTGTCTGTGAATGGAGGCGGTGATGACGCTGTTACCCTGCGTGGCTGTGAATGGAGGCGGTGATGACGCTGTTACCCTGCGTGGCTGTGAATGGAGGCGGTGATGTAGCTGTTACCCTGCGTGGCTGTGAACGGAGGCGGTGATGTAGCTGTTACCCTGCGTGGCTGTGAATGGAGGCGGTGATGACGCTGTTACCCTGCGTGGCTATGAATGGAGGCGGTGATGACGCTGTTACCCTGCGTGGCTGTGAACGGAGGCAGAATTGATTCTTCAGCGTCAGGCCCTCCTTCTGTGGGAGGCTGGGGCTGGGGTTTTCCGTGGGCGAACGAGCGGAGCAGCTCGTCCACTCGCTCCTGCAGAGGGGCCGCGGTCACAGAGCCCAGCGCCGGGCTGGATGGGAGCTCCGCGCATTCACTCCCCAGGCTCGTGAAGCTGCACGGCACCGGCACACATCGGCGAAGGAATGAAGAAAAATTACGCGCATACGCACGGATTCCGTAACGCTTGAAACCATTGAAAATGTTCGATTTAGCTGTGGTAACGTTACGTTTCAAGCTGATATCAAATGTAATGACATGACCAGAAACGGGAGGGGGGGGGCAGGGTCTGGAGCGTGCTCCTCGGCCCGCGACCAAAAATCCTTTTACTACTGCTTTTTTGGCAGCCCTCTAAAACAATTTTTCCAGTTTTCTACAGACAGACACATGGACATAGGTAAAGCATTAACATTTTTAAACCTTAGTCAGAAAGCGTAAAAGATCCGGCACTGACAAAATATGATCTTGGAAAATGAATTCACCAATACAGAAGGTGTCGAGTAATGGAAGTATGTGGGACCTACCTTTCCCAGTTTAGAATGCAGCCCTGGAACACACGCACACACACACATATATAACAGCCTTAATTCAAGTGTTGTTTTTGTGAGGCGGGCAAACACATGCGGGGCTAATTTTACAGCAAAGCGGTCGCCTTGCCAACCGCACTTCACTTGAGCTGCGTGCGCTGGGCGCGTGCGACGCGTTTACAAGCACGAGCTACGTACGACATCTCAATCTAGCGCGGGATAATACGCACGGAAATACTGCCGCACGGCTCGAGTTCACGAGCAACGACGCACGCGTGGTGAAGGAGTGGGGTCATGTGATCCTCGGGGTCAACGATGCATCACAACTTTAGACGAAAGTTTTGTCCGTATTGGATCTTTACGATATGGGTCGTATCGCCATTATCGTCGCCGATAAAGTTTTCAGTATCGTCCGTTTACCGTAGGCCTCAAGTTGCACAACATGTCCTCGTATATCAGAGGAGCACCACATAACGTCAACCCAGCGCATAGCAAGCTGGCAGGCTCAGTAGCACTTTGCGGGGAGGTCAACAGTGGATGTCTTATGGATAGACTCGTCCCCCACCACGAGAAAGTGGAATGTGCACCGCTGTCTCTGCAGGGTCGTGAACAGGAAAAGAGCACAGCTCCGACGCTCACTTGAGCGGGAAAGTCACCGTTGACTTTTCTGGACCAACGGGCACACGGCACACACAGGGAACTTGGGACTGAAGCGAGTCCGCACCTCGAGGAAAGCCACGTGCTCCCGCGTGTCGTCCAGGCTGTAGATGGTGCTCAGCGCCTCCTGCAACCTGCCCAGTGTCTCGCTGCAGCGCTCCGCCCGCTCGTGGATCTCAGAGAGCTGGGACCGGCACTCCTCTTCCACGGATCTCATCGCTGCCTCCTTCTCCTGGGAGATCAAACGCAGGAGCTCGTCGTAGCCGCTCATCAGTCGCGCCTTCACCTCCTCCGCGGCTCCCTGGGGGGTAGAGGAGGGTTGAGGGCGTCGTCATCGTGGACTCGGCTCCACCACTAGCCAATCAGATACTCGTACTAGCTCTAACCTTAACTAACTAGCCAACCAGACACTTGTACTACCTCTATCCCTACCCCCTAACCAACTAGTCAACCAGACACTCAACTAGCTCTACCCCTCACCAACGAGCCAACTAGACACTAGTTCTAGCTCTACCCTTACCAACTAGACAAGCAAGTCATTTTATCCAAGTACGTCCGTTTCTCCCATTTCTCTCTTACCAAGAGGCCAATTCACGATTCCCCATTCTTTAAAGCGTCCCAAATGCGAGTCCGACACGGTGCAGGCATCCGACGGGGAGCTCTCACCAACACCGAGTGAATGGTTCCCTCCAGAATGCTCATTATGGAGGTCGTTTTCCGTTCTTCCTCCTCCAGCCTTTGCTTGAAATGGTCGAGTTGCTCCTGAAAGGAGAGAGATAACCTTTTTTTATACTGGCACATCCCGAGCCAGCGCGGGCGGTTTTCCCACTGTCTATGTTCCGTGCGGGAACCAAACCGCGCTACGCTGGCCTCGCAAGACGTCTCAAGCCGGCAAGGGGTCAAGCAGGGCCGAGGGCGGGGCTAATAACACGTCCACTGTGTGTGATGTCGGTCGGTGCATTGGCAGGACTCTGCGTTACCACATCTACGAGCATCTCGACTCACTGCGTGTAACATCAGCGGCATGGCTTTGGTTCTGCAATGGAAAAACCTGGCGCCTACTGAGCTGTGCCTTGGCTGGCGTGGCACGGCCCCCGCGTGGCTCGGTTATGCAGTGGAAAGAAGTGCAAGATGATACACTGGTGTATAACGCCCACCAGTAGTCCACATGCTTCCTGCATTGGCACTGATCCCTGTGTAGGAATACTGCGTGTATCGTTGCTTAAATCACTGCTTGAACACTGCTATTTACACTTAACGCTAACCGACCAGCAAACCGACCACTATCTCTTATTTTATATTTAGAGAGAGTTTAAACGTGATTTAGATGGCAGGGGCGTGCAATGGTTGAGGAATGGGTGCCCGTAACACAGGGCACGTGGGGTCACGAAAGGGCTATGGAGAAGAGGTTAACGTACGGGGGAAGTGTACTCCAACGGTAGGGTGCGAGGAGGGAGAAAGATGGAAAACGTGATTGGGCACCGGGAGAAGGGGGAACAGAGAGAGAGAGACAACCACCAGTAGCAGCTCTATCCCTAACACCCCCCCCCCCACTATCGACCCAGCCACCCCACCGCAACCCCCACGCCTCTGCCGGGGGTCCCCAAGCTGCTGCTGCCGCTGCTCCCCCGACCTCACCCTGCTGGCGCGGTGCTCCATCTCGACAGTGACGGCTCCGTGGCCCCAGTGCCTGCCGCCCAGCAGCATGCAGGTGGCGCACAGCAGCGTCCCGTCCGTGCGGCAGTGGAACTCCAGCGGCTTGCCGTGCTCGCCGCACCGCGGCACGTCGCGGGAGGCCGCGGTGGAGGAGGTGCAGGAGGAGGAGGAGGTGGGGACAGCGAGGGACTCGCCAATCTCCTGCGCTCCGTGGAACTCCTCCACCAGCTGCGCAATCAGCACGTTCTTGCTCAGCTCGGGCTGCTGCCTGTGGTTGTTGGGGAAAACTGTGACTCAGTTTTTTTGTGTCTCCCCCCCCCCTCCCCAAGCTGACTCCGAGATACAAAGAGACACAGAGATACCTTGATATACAGAGATACATAGAGACACACAGATATCTATAGAGATACACAGAGATGCATAGAGACACATAAGGCACATACAGACTGAGATACACAGAGACCCATCACGATAAACAGATGTAGACTAATGCTCCCATAAAGTTCAGTGTTAACCATTGAGACACACAGCCAGGCTGGGGCCTCCCATAGGATTCAGTGTTACAAGTGAGACAGAGCCAGACTGAGGCCTCCCATAGGGTTCAGTGTTAACCATTGAGACACACAGAGCCAGACTGAGGCCTCCCATAGGGTTCAGTGTTAACCATTGAGACACACAGAGCCAGACTGAGGCCTCCCATAGGGTTCAGTGTTAACCATTGAGACACAGAGCCAGACTGAGGCCTCCCATAGGGTTAAGTGTTAACCATTGAGACACACAGAGCCAGACTGAGGCCTCCCATAGGGTTCAGTGTTAACCATTGAGACAGAGAGCCAGGCTGGGGCCTCCCATAGGGTTCAGTGTTACAAGTGAGACAGAGCCAGACTGAGGCCTCCCATAGGGTTCAGTGTCAACCATTGAGACACACAGAGCCAGGCTGGGGCCTCCCATAGGGTTCAGTGTTAACCATTGAGACACACAGCCAGGCTGGGGCCTCCCATAGGGTTCAGTGTCAACCATTGAGACACACAGAGCCAGACTGAGGCCTCCCATAGGGTTCAGTGCCAGGTAATAACGGAGGCTCCCAGCAGTCGCCAGGCGAGAGTCGAGTTTGTTGATCCACGTCCAGGCAACACCGCCGAGACCGCCGGCAGCCTAAAACCTCCGCCGCCCAGCAGGCTCGGGGAAGGCGAAGCCCGCACCCCAAACACCCCAACCTCGCCGCGTTCCTTGCGGAGCAGCAGAGCCCGCGGAAGTGGACACTGCAGAGGGCAGTTACCCCTAGGCAGGGCAGTTACCTCTAGGCAGGGCGTACCCCTAGGCAGGGCAGTTACCCCTAGGCAGGGCAGTTACCCCTAGGCAGGGCAGTTACCTGAGACAGGGCAGTTACCTCTAGACAGGGCAGTTACCTCTAGGCAGGGCGTACCCCTAGGCAGGGCAGTTACCCCTAGGCAGGGCAGTTACCCCTAGGCAGGGCAGTTACCCCTAGACAGGGCAGTTACCCCTAGACAGGGCAGTACCTGAGACAGGGCAGTTACCTGTAGACGCGGCAGCACACGGGACAGGTGAAGGCGCCCCCCTCGCTCTGCCCGCCGCTCGCCCAGTGCGCCTCCACGCACGCCTTGCAGAACGTGTGGCCGCACGCAAGCCCCACGGGCATCGCGAACAGCTCCAGGCACACGGGGCACGACAGCAGCTCCTCTCGGGCCGAGGACGACGACGAGGTGGTGTTGTTGTTGGTGGAGGCCATGGCGCTAGTTTTTCGTGCCCTCTGACCCCACAGCGATTTCCTCCGGCGGTGATTCAAGCCTCGAACGTCGATTCTGGAATCGATCCACGCGATTTATTTATTACTTGGCCTCGATTTACTGGCCCTACCGCCACTACCACGTTTCAGAGTTGAAACCTAAACGCGTGAACCTGCGCACGATTATGTACTTTAGAAAACGGATCCGCTGCTCTTAGGGACCTGTATAATCCCGTAGGTTTACCCAGTCGAACTCTATTCTCTGCTTGCGTGTGGCAGTAAGATGTTGAGCAGCGAGATGCCAATGTCAGTTTCATTAATTTGGTATAGCCCTGTGAGCCATTCGGCTCTTGAATCGGGTGCAACCGCAACAAACAAAAAACACGAACAAGAAAAAACATATACTTAGTTCTTTCGGTAAAGTCACGTTGAAGGGAAACAACAAAATAATAAAATATATATAAAACAATAAAAATTCTCACGACGTTTCGACCATAACACAAACGGTCGTCTTCAGGTGTGTTGGTTTGCATAAATGTATTTTTAAACTGTGAATTTATTTATTTATTTGAAAAACCGTTAGCGTTAAATACACCGTTTAAAAATAAATTTATGCAAACCAACACACCTGAAGACGACCGTTTGTGTTATGGTCGAAACGTGAGAATTTTTATTGTTTTATATATATTTTGTTATTTTGTTGTTTCCCTTCAACGTGACTTTACCGAAAGAACTAAGAATATGAATTACTGCAGTCACGAAAGCTTTAAATCAAAATTTAAGAAAAAACATCTTAAAGTAACTACGCGCAAACAGAAAAATCCAGAAAAAGCACCGTACACCAACGCTGTGTGCAAAAATCCCAGTGGGATGCAAGTCAAACAACAACAACCACAAGACAACGTAGATGTCGAGGGTGTGCTGCTGGCCACGACGAGAGGGCTTAGCAGAGGAGGAGAGAGTTCATGCGGTTTTGCTACTCCAGTGGCGGAGCGGAGCTGGCATGGGCTCGGCGCGTGACTTGGTGTAAGCGATTGGGTTCGCTCTTCAACCCTAACTCCTCCTGCTGCTCATTCTCCGGGTCTTCCGGTTCCCCCCCCCTCTCCCCCCATATGTATAAACACGCGTTTAGATTATGTGGCTACTTTAAATTTCCACACGAGCCACTTCGTTGAGCTATCATTTTTGTGGCCAGGTCGCTTCTGAAAAGGAGCTACATAGCTCAGTGGGGGCCTTACCTAGTCAAATAAAATAATAGTAAATGGGGCTCATCGTCTGATAAATTCCGCTCCCTCTGCGTAACCCGGTCCCTGACTCTTGGGGCCCGGGTTAGTTGCACAGTCGAGACTCAAGCATCCCCCTCCTCCTGCAGTCTTTCACATTCCTCCTCCTCTTCGAAGACATTGGTGGTGGAACCGTCAACCCGCATTAGAACATCCACACCAGGCCGATGTGCACTGTGGTGCCACCGCGGCGGAGTAGCTCCGTCGGGGACCGTGCCCACCGCCGCGACACCACCACCGGGGGGTGACAACGCCGACGCGGCGCGCCTCGCCACCTCCCCCCCCCCCCCGCACGAACGCACACACACCCCACGTAGAGCCGGGAAGGGAGGTCACCTGGCCGACAGGTTTTTATCCAGAAGCCCCTAATGGGATCAAGCTTCATGGTTTCCTGCGGCCAGGAAATTGGGCGATCTCCCCCCGTAGCTGACGCGCACCGCAGCGCCGTGACCTGATATTAAAATTACGTGGTCACGGCGGAGGCCGCAGAGCCACCGCGGATGAAATCACGCACACACGGCACGGGGCGTGGGAACGGCGGTACGCCTTTGTCATAGGTAGAATTAGGGGACCCCAATAACAATGAGACAGGAGCATTCCGACATCTGAAGGGACAGGGCAGCCCGGGGTGTGAGAACAGCGGTACGCCTTTATTATAGATGGAATTAGGGACTCAATAATAGTGAGACAGGAGTATTCCGACATCTGAAGGGACAGGGCAGCCCGGGGTGTGAGAACAGCGGTACGCCTTTATTATAGATGGAATTAGGGACAATAATAATGAGACAAGAATAACTTGGCCTCTGAATGGACGGGGCAGGCACGGGTGCGGAAGCATCTGAATGCCTATTGTTCCAGGCAAGGTCACGGATCTGAATATGAAGGAGCGCAGGTGGGCGGGTGCGAGAGCAACGGAATGCCTTTAGGGTGGATAAAAACGCGGAGGTTTAGGGTAGGAGGAGGTCTTCTTCAAAATCATCGCGGTCCACGGAGCAGCAGGGTCAGCAGTTCGAGACGTCCACGTGACGAGCTCCAACGCCGCCAGACTCAATCCTTCCACAGCGTTCAGCGCAGCAAAGGGTGAAGTAAGCGTGAGTGAGAAAAGTGAGTTCGGAGTGAGTTAATAGAGAGTAGAGAGGAGAGCGATAGGCAGAGTAGGGTCGGCCGAGAATCCCAGGGGGAGTAGGCTGGCATACACTGACGCACACACTTACGCGTAGCTTAAACGGGTTGCTCACGGTAAATAAAATCACTAGTGGGGGGATAAGACTGTGTTGCGTGGTCTTTTGGGAGTGTAAAGAGGAGGGTAGAGCGTGCTGGGTGTCTACGTGCAAGCACGGTCGTTTACCACGAGGCGGAGTGTTTGGCGTTTACGTACCCTTACGATTGCTTACAATAGCGCGTAGCGCTCGCGTGCCTGTGTGACTGCGTTGCGATCGCGCGCCTGCACGATTGTCTATGGCGAGGTAGCAAGCTAAACGCCTGCCGTGCGCGTATTCGCGCGGCTGTTTACACGGCCCTTTAAATCGGAGCGAAGCAGTAGCGGCGTGTTTGTCATTGCCGGAGCGCGCGGAGCGTGGGTGGGAGAAAATCGCGCGTCAGCCCACCGCACCTGTTTATTCGCGTGCAGGACGGAGTTTTACTTTGCGAGCGCGCTCACCGCGGCACGCCGTCTCCAAACAGCGCAGCGCGTTGCAAGCGTAAAGCGCAGCACCCCGCCCATTGAGCCATGCCTACACGGTCGGCAACGAAGTCAGGGGCCCCGGAGGGTGAGGGGGTGGAGGTAGCTAGCCCGAACCCCACGGAGCAGCCGGGGGGTAGTGGGACCAATGTAGCGGGGGGAGTCGGGAGCCAACGGCCCCGACAATTCGGTGATGGCGGGGGACGGTAGCCCCCACAGCACATCTCCTGCATAGATGGCAAATTAGAGCCACAGCCACAGTAGTCCGATTGTGGCCATGCAACCCAAACTATGAACTATATATATTAAACCCATCAAGACACAGCGTTACATACAGACAATAGCTACAGTAAAGACAGGCCACAGTAGTGATTGTGGCCACACAACCCAAACTCCCCTCCACGCACTCTCCTACCTCTCCCCTGTCGTCTCACTCTGCTCCCCTGCACGAACTCTCCTCCTCCCCTCTTATTTCACTCTCTACTCTCCTTCACGCGCTGTACACTTTGGCTCAGTGGGCGCTCGTCCTTTCTCCTCCGCTGCCTTCTCTAGTTGAGAACTCTCTTTTCCCAGCCATCCGTGCTGCCAGCCTCCTGTCCCAGTTCAATCCCAGGATCAAGACCTCCTTATTTTCCGCTGCCTCTGACCGCGCTTTCTGTGTAGAATTGCACGTCGTCTGGAGGTGCGGCATCATCCAGACGCTCCTGCAGGAATCCGCATTGTACTTCCATTGCATCGCGGAGGGTGCGGACGGATGAGCGAGAGGATGGGGGGGCACTCCCTCCTCCACCAGCACCACCGCCACCACCACCATCGCCGCCGCCACAACCACCGCCACCACCAGCGGTAGCATCAGCAGCAGCGGAACCGGCCACACTGCCCTCTCTGTTTCTGGGGAAATCGAGACGCATCCCACAATTGCTTTGTCAATCATGCGCGCCTCATTATCCCACGGGCACATACGGCGTCTCATCCTTGCAGCCTCTCCCTCCCTCTCGCCACCCCCCCCCTCTCTCACTCCCCTTCTCTTCACCAGACTTACGCACAAAGCCACCGCTCCGCTCCATGTCCACGGCCCCGGCATTCCTCTCTGACGTGCGGCGTGGGCCCTGCCGTCGAGGGAGGCAAGGTGAGGCTTCTGCTCTGCTGCATCCGAAGGAACTTTTTTTTTCCAAAAGTTTCGCTTTTCAACCAAAGGTCAACTTTCCATAGGATTTACCCGCTGCCGAGGTTAAAACAAATATACTTAAAAGTTCACTCGGGCGCAGTCGTGGCTTTGGCGTCCACCCCATGGGTTTGAGTTTAAATCGCGACTGGATGTCGGCTCATCATCCTCACGAGGTCAGTTAAAATATGTACCAATCTGTGGGAAGTCAAACCGCGGTTGCCCTCTGGAGGGACTGACCCCCTCCATAGGAACGTGGAATCGTTTTCCCCGCCTACTGGCTCAGGGTCGCTCACGGTGAGCGGTCAACCGAGCGGCGGGGCCCCCCTTGCCAGGGCAGCAGGCGGCTGCTGGCGCTGCCTTGCGAGGACAGAAGAGGGGCGACCAGGAGGAGTTGGTTCCTCGCTCTGCTCTCGCAGCGAGGTTGACGATCCCGGCTTGCACGCTGGGACCCCAGCCGGAGTCCACGCGCGCGTGCGTTTAGTCCAGCTACTCCGGTTTCCTGCCACGTGGCATAGCAATAATACTGTAATAATGAACACAACTCATCGTGAATTTGGGCGAAAGACATGTTAAAATAGAAACCCAAATGTAGCAGCGGCAGGGCCCTTCTGAAAAAAAGAGTCCTAGGACTCAGTTGGGACTTTCCTGGATAAATAAGTAAGTTATAATTATTGAAAGGTTGAACACGACCCTGGAGGTTGCAGTTATACCTGCTTTGTGATTTGTGTCTTTATATGATGATGAGGCCGGTTCCATGGCGCTAACGCGACACGTCATCGCTCGGACAATAACACTGCGCCTATGACGTTGTGCCGCCCTGTGTGTAAGCATGCTGGTCCTTGTCCATACCTCCCCTGAGCCGCATTGCACGCTCATTTGTGAGGATAACGGCGTGTCTCTTTGGTGTCCTTCGGGGAGAGGTGATGCAGCGGTTAGCGAGCGTTGCTGCGCGGCTGTTCGCTAACCGCTTTGTGGTTCTGGACTTTTGTCTGACAGGCCATCCTCTCGGTGCGGGGGTCCGTGAGGTGGCCAGTAGCTGCAGCAGCTGTGGAGGAGGACGCACGCATACCTGCCGAGCCACCACGCCTGGCAGGGCGGCGAGTGTGGGTGAGCTGGGTGGTGAGTCCGTGTGCTGTCTCTCTCCCCGCAGGCTGGTGAGTGTGGGCTGAACTCCCGGCACGCACAGCCATGCCGGCGAGCGCTGCCGACCCCCCTCGAGCAGCAATAGCTCCCCCGCTCCGCGACCGCCCCGGCCCCGCATGTCGCTCCGGCTGACGCCAACATCACCGCTCGGCGGCTCCCCACTCCTCGCCCTCCTCCTCGCCCTCCTCCTCTTCTTCCCCCGTGGCTGCCCGGCGCTTCCCGTGCACCGCGACTGTGGCCACCACCACGGGCGCGATGGAACCCGCGCGTCCGGACCCCTCCTGGTGGCGCGCGGCGCGGGCCCCCCGTGCGCCCTGCGGGGGGAGGCGCGCGCGGCGCTCGACCTAGCCGAGTCCACGGCGAGGGGCGCCCGCGTCCTCTTGGTGGCGCGGCGCGACTCCCGGGCTCGCTGCGCGCACTCCTGCTGCCTCCACGGTGAGCCCAGCCCCTCACTCTCATCTCCTGCTGCTGCCTCTACGGTGAGCCCAGCTCCTCACTCTCTCTCTCTCTCACCTCCTGCTGCTGCTGCCTCCACGGTGAGCCCAGCTCCTCACTCTCTCTCTCTCTCACCTCCTGCTGCTGCTGCCTCTACGGTGAGCCCAGCCCCTCTCTCACTCTCTCTCACCTCCTGCTGCTGCCTCCACGGTGAGCCCAGCTCCTCACTCTCTCTCACCTCCTGCTGCTGCTGCTGCCTCTACGGTGAGCCCAGCCCCTCTCTCACTCTCTCTCACCTCCTGCTGCTGCCTCCACGGTGAGCCCAGCTCCTCACTCTCTCTCACCTCCTGCTGCTGCCTCCATGGTGAGCCCAGCTCCTCACTCTCTCTCTCACCTCCTGCTGCTGCCTCCATGGTGAGCCCAGCTCCTCACTCTCTCTCTCTCACCTCCTGCTGCTGCCTCCCCGGTGAGCCCAGCTCCTCACTCTCTCTCACCTCCTGCTGCTGCTGCCTCTACGGTGAGCCCAGCCCCTCTCTCACTCTCTCTCACCTCCTGCTGCTGCCTCCACGGTGAGCCCAGCTCCTCACTCTCTCTCACCTCCTGCTGCTGCCTCCATGGTGAGCCCAGCTCCTCACTCTCTCTCTCACCTCCTGCTGCTGCCTCCATGGTGAGCCCAGCTCCTCACTCTCTCTCTCTCACCTCCTGCTGCTGCCTCCACGGTGAGCCCAGCTCCTCACTCTCTCTCACCTCCTGCTGCTGCCTCCATGGTGAGCCCAGCTCCTCACTCTCTCTCTCACCTCCTGCTGCTGCCTCCATGGTGAGCCCAGCTCCTCACTCTCTCTCTCTCACCTCCTGCTGCTGCCTCCACGGTGAGCCCAGCTCCTCACTCTCTCTCTCACCTCCTCCTGCTGCTGCCTCTACGGTGAGCCCAGCCCCTCACTCTCTCTCTCACCTCCTGCTGCTGCCTCCATGGTGAGCCCAGCTCCTCACTCTCTCTCTCACCTCCTCCTGCTGCTGCCTCCATGGTGAGCCCAGCTCCTCACTCTCTCTCTCTCTCACCTCCTGCTGCTGCCTCTATGGTGAGCCCAGCCCCTCACTCACTCTCTCTCACCTCCTGCTGCTACCTCCACAGTGAGCCCAGCTTCTCTCTCCCCTGCTGCCTCCCTATCGGTATTTCTCTCTCCTTGTCTGGGTTTCTATCTCAAGGGGCTGGATCACGATGAACAGGGGTTAGAGAAGCGATCCGGCTCGATCGACGTCGTCCTCGTGTTAGGGTCCTTGATGGTATGGTGACGTGTTGGTGTTATGATGACGTGTCGACGGTATGGTGACGTGTTGGTGGTATGGTGACGTGTTGGTGGTATGGTGACGTGTTGGTGGTATGGTGACGTGTTGGTGTTATGGTGACGTGATATGATGACGTGTCGACGGTATGGTGACGTGTTTGTGGTATGGTGACGTGTTCGTGGTATGGTGACGTGTTGGTGGTATGGTGACGTGTTGGTGGTATGGTGACGTGTTTGTGGTATGGTGACGTGTTCGTGGTATGGTGACGTGTTGTGGTATGGTGACGTGTTGGTGGTATGGTGACGTGTTGGTGTTATGGTGACGTGATAATATGATGACGTGTCGACGGTATGGTGACGTGTTTGTGGTATGCTGACGTGTTCGTGGTATGGTGACGTGTTGGTGTTATGGTGACGTGATGATATGATGACGTGTCGACGGTATGGTGATGTTTGTGGTATGCTGACGTGTTTGTGGTATGGTGACGTGTTGGTGGTATGGTGACGTGTTCGTGGTATGGTGACGTGTTGGTGTTATGGTGACGTGATGATATGATGACGTGTCGACGGTATGGTGATGTGTTTGTGGTATGCTGACGTGTTTGTGGTATGGTGACGTGTTGGTGGTATGGTGACGTGTCGATGGTATGGTGGCGTGTCGATGGTGTATGGTCACGTGTGGGTGGTCATGGTCACGTGTTGGTGGTGCGTCGTTCAGGTGATGCGTGCCACGTGGCTGTGTTCGTGTCTCTCCGCGGACCCCGCCAGCCCAACTGCCTCCTCGTGTCGTGCCCGCTGCTCTCCAGCTGCGTGCGCGCACGCGTGGGGGAGAGGTTCACCCTCTTCTCTTCCCGGGGCCACGGTGCAGAGACTCACCACATCACCACCGTCACTATACCGTCACCACCATCATCGTGGTCATCATCATCACCACCATCACCGTTCGCTAGAGATTTACCGTGTACTACACCCGGGGCCACGGTGCAGAGACTCACCACATCACCACCGTCACTATACCGTCACCACCATCATCGTGGTCATCATCATCACCACCATCACCGTTCGCTAGAGATTTACCGTGTACTACACCCGGGGCCACGGTGCAGATACTCACCACATCACCACTATCATCACCACCATCATCGTTATCCTCTTCATCAACCCGCTGTTCAATCACTCCCATCGTCATCATCACCACCACCGTTCACGAGAGAGATGTATCGTGCTATCCTCCCGGGGCTCCGCTGCAGAGACTCACCACCTCATCACCGCATCACCACCACCACTACCACCATCATCCTCCTCCCCTTCATCAACCCGCTGTGTCACCTCTAAAAATGTCCACAGACTCAGAGATCCTGAAATCCCGCGGGAGAGAGAGAGAGAGATCCAGGGTGTGGTTGGCAAAAATGACCACGGTATGTGCACGGTATCATGTCGTTCCTGCACACCCACTGCTTTCGCCATGCCTCGAGTGTGAGTGGCGCGGATGGTCTCGCCTCTTTGTCGCGATCGACACGGCAGGCGGCGACCACCACAAGCTGCGCCACCTCGCCCAAGACCAGGACGCCGGCACCAGCGCGTCGCCCGCTCCCGGGGTCAACGCGTCGCCCGCTCCCGGGATCAACGCGGGGAGGACGAGCGGCACTGCCAGGCGGGTCACGGCCGGGCGAGTAGCCACCGCCGCCACTGCAGCGTTGGCGTTGCTGGCTCGCTCATCCCGACAATCCTCCACCGATGATGACCCACTCGTTCACCCGCACTCGCCCACGGCTCGCTCTCTTGAGCGCTCACCCACCGCTCGCTCACCCCAATGCTCGTTCGCGGTTCACCCTCTCGACCGCTTGCTTGGCCGCTCGCCTACAGATCGCTCACCCCTGGTTCGCTCGCTCGGCTGCTCACCCACGGATCACTCATTCCCAGCTCGCTTGATCGAGCACCTGCTGGAGAGCTCGCCCGCAGCTCCCTCGCCCACAGCTCCCTCACCCACAGTTCCCTCACCCACAGCTCACTCGCCCACAGCTCAATCACCCACAGCTCACCCTCCCTCAGCTCACCCTCCCTCAACTCACCCTCCCACAGCTCACCCTCCCTCAGCTCACCCTCCCTCAGCTCACCCTCCCACAGCTCACCCTCCCACAGCTCCCTCGCCCACAGCTCCCTCACCCACAGTTCCCTCACCCACAGCTCACTCGCCCACAGCTCACTCACCCACAGCTCACCCTCCCTCAGCTCACCCTCCCTCAACTCACCCTCCTTCAACTCACCCTCCCACAGCTCACCCTCCCTCAGCTCACCCTCCCACAGCTCACCCTCCCACAGCTCACCCTCCCACAGCTCACCCTCCCACAGCTCACCCTCCCTCAGCTCACCCTCCCTCAACTCACCCTCCCCCAGCTCACCCTCCCTCAACTCACCCTCCCTCAGCTCACCCTCCCTCAACTCACCCTCCCTCAACTCACCCTCCCCCAGCTCACCCTCCCACAGCTCACCCTCCCTCAACTCACCCTCCCCCAGCTCACCCTCCCACAGCTCACCCTCCCACAGCTCACCCTCCCACAGCTCACCCTCCCTCAACTCACCCTCCCACAGCTCACCCTCCCACAGCTCACCCTCCCTCAGCTCACCCTCCCTCAACTCACCCTCCCTCAGCTCACCCTCCCTCAGCTCACCTTCCCACAGCTCACCCTCCCTCAGCTCACCCTCCCCCAGCTCACCCTCCCTCAGCTCACCCTCCCTCAGCTCACCCTCCCACAGCTCACCCTCCCTCAGCTCACCCGCTCACAGCTCACCCTCCGTCAACTCACCCTCCCACAGCTCACCCTCCCCCAGCTCACCCTCTCTCAACTCACCCTCCCTCAGCTCACCCTCCCACAGCTCACCCTCCCTCAGCTCACCCTCCCTCAACTCACCCTCCCACAGCTCACCCTCCCTCAACTCACCCTCCCACAGCTCACCCTCCCTCAGCTCACCCTCCCTCAGCTCACCCTCCCACAGCTCACCCTCCCTCAGCTCACCCTCCCTCAGCTCACCCTCCCACAGCTCACACTCCCTCAGCTCACCCTCCCTCAACTCACCCTCCCCCAGCTCACCCTCCCACAGCTCACCCTCCCTCAGCTCACCCTCCCACAGCTCACCCTCCCACAGCTCACCCTCCCTCAACTCACCCTCCCACAGCTCACCCTCCCACAGCTCACCCTCCCTCAGCTCACCCTCCCTCAACTCACCCTCCCCCAGCTCACCCTCACTCAACTCACCCTCCCTTAGCTCACCCTCCCACAGCTCACCCTCCCTCAGCTCACCCGCTCACAGCTCACCCTCCGTCAACTCACCCTCCCACAGCTCACCCTCCCCCAGCTCACCCTCTCTCAACTCACCCTCCCTCAGCTCACCCTCCCTCAACTCACCCTCCCACAGCTCACCCACCCCCAGCTCACCCTCCCCCAGCTCACCCTCCCTCAGCTCACCCGCCCACAGCTCACCCTCCGTCAACTCACCCTCCCTCAACTCACCCTCCCTCAGCTCACCCTCCCTCAACTCACCCTCCCTCAGCTCACCCTCCCACAGCTCACCCTCCCTCAACTCACCCTCCCTCAGCTCACCCTCCCTCAACTCACCCTCTCACAGCTCACCCTCCCACAGCTCACTCACCCTCAACTCACCCTCCCTCAGCTCACCCTCCCACAGCTCACCCTCCCTCAGCTCACCCTCCCTCAACTCACCCTCCCTCAGCTCACCCTCCCTCAGCTCACCGTCCCTCAGCTCACCTTCCCACAGCTCACCCTCCCACAGCTCACCCGCTCACAGCTCACCCTCCCTCAACTCACCCTCCCTCACCTCACCCTCCCCCAGCTCACCCTCCCTCAACTCACCCTCCCTCAACTCACCCTCCTTCAGCTCACCCTCCCACAGCTCACCCTCCCTCAGCTCACCCTCCCTCAACTCACCCTCCCACAGCTCACCCTCCCTCAACTCACCCTCCCACAGCTCACCCTCCCTCAGCTCACCCTCCCTCAGCTCACCCTCCCACAGCTCACCCTCCCTCAGCTCACCCTCCCTCAGCTCACCCTCCCACAGCTCACCCTCCCTCAGCTCACCCTCCCTCAACTCACCCTCCCCCAGCTCACCCTCCCACAGCTCACCCTCCCTCAGCTCACCCTCCCACAGCTCACCCTCCCACAGCTCACCCTCCCTCAACTCACCCTCCCACAGCTCACCCTCCCACAGCTCACCCTCCCTCAGCTCACCCTCCCTCAACTCACCCTCCCCCAGCTCACCCTCCCTCAACTCACCCTCCCTCAGCTCACCCTCCCACAGCTCACCCTCCCTCAGCTCACCCGCTCACAGCTCACCCTCCGTCAACTCACCCTCCCACAGCTCACCCTCCCCCAGCTCACCCTCTCTCAACTCACCCTCCCTCAGCTCACCCTCCCTCAACTCACCCTCCCTCAGCTCACCCTCCCCCAGCTCACCCTCCCCCAGCTCACCCTCCCTCAGCTCACCCGCTCACAGCTCACCCTCCGTCAACTCACCCTCCCTCAACTCACCCTCCCTCAGCTCACCCTCCCTCAACTCACCCTCCCTCAGCTCACCCTCCCACAGCTCACCCTCCCTCAACTCACCCTCCCTCAGCTCACCCTCCCTCAACTCACCCTCTCACAGCTCACCCTCCCACAGCTCACTCATCCTCAACTCACCCTCCCTCAGCTCACCCTCCCACAGCTCACCCTCCCTCAGCTCACCCTCCCTCAACTCACCCTCCCTCAGCTCACCCTCCCTCAGCTCACCGTCCCTCAGCTCACCTTCCCACAGCTCACCCTCCCACAGCTCACCCGCTCACAGCTCACCCTCCCTCAACTCACCCTCCCTCACCTCACCCTCCCCCAGCTCACCCTCCCTCAACTCACCCTCCCTCAACTCACCCTCCTTCAGCTCACCCTCCCTCAACTCACCCTCCCTCAGCTCACCCTCCCTCAGCTCACCCGCCTGACCACTCCGCCGGCTACGACGAGGAGGCATCGGGAGAAGCATCGAGAGGTGAAGTGGGAGGAGGGCTGGACGATGACTATGGGATGAGACCAGGCAGTGACGATGGTGATGGAGATGAAGCAAGTGGTGGTGGTGGTGGCGGTGGTGGGACAGGACCAAGCGACGAGCATCCTCATGACTACCCAGATCACCGTCACGATGACCACGATGATGATATTGGGACAAACGACGCAAGTGCTGCTCACGAGACAGAGACAGGCGACGACGGCACAGCGCCAGGCGATGTGGAAGGCGCAGGAATGGCTGAAAGTGACGTTGAAGGAGCTGGGAACGGTGCCGGGGATGGTGACGACGGAGGGCCCGGCCTGGGCGAGGGCACGGCCACGGCCGCCGTGTCTCTGTCGCTGCTGCTGCTGCTCGCCGTCCTGGCCGCATGCTCGGCCTCGTGCGCGGCGTTCATGGCCCTCAGGCCGCGCTACCACAGGAAGCAGCGGCGTTGGGACGCGGCGGCGAGGGCGAGGAGGAGGAGGGCGAGGAGGAGGGTGGTGGTGGTGAGAAGTGGGGTCATCGAGGAGATGCTGAGAAGGCGTGAACCCTGACCAGTGTGCCCCAATACTGAACGAGACGGCACTCCCGTAGAGCGAGACTCGTGTGTTAGATGCGTATGGCCACGACTGTGAACCCGATGGCCTTTCGCCATCACAGTCTGTGATAGGGATGAGACAGGGATCCGATTTTATATTTCGGATAACGGATGCAGGTATTTGGATTTAAATGTTGGATATTTCATATTTTCATTTGGTCGGATTCAAATGTTTCTTTTCTGTGTCTACGTGCCAAAAGCACAGCGATGGCATTGGTGAAAGTGACCACGTACAGAGAGATACATGATTATGATCTAGAGAGAACTGATATTAATCTTCTTTTAAGCCGCATATTTTGCATCTTATTGTTTATTCTCCACATTGTAAATCACACATCCAGCAGATGTTTCGTTAAATTTACGCACTTACGTACGGCCGCTTGGCTGGCACGTAAAAAATATATATATCACGAATGCATTATGGGCCTTTTAAAAAAGTCCGTCCCACACACCCAGCCCGGGGCCAGGCTGAGGAGCAGCCTGGAGCTGTGCGTGCGAGCGGCCGTCTTTATTCAGTTCGACAAGAGGCCCGGTTGGGCAAAGGCCCCTCCCCCCACCCCCCCCCACTTACAGGGCAACAATCACTCGGCTTTACACAGGCAGCACCAGTCATCGTAACAATGGGCGTCAACAGTACACGGACGGCGAGTTACCTCGCTTAACGCGCGGTGGTCACACGATAACGCATGTTTGCCACAACGCGGTTCTTCCATTAGGGAACACTTATCCTGCAACGTGCACCGATACAACGCGGTTCATGACGCGGCTGACGATTAACTTTCTCGAGCTGCGCGGCCGAGCGGTATGATACAGAACGCGGAACGATAGGGTAACGTGGCGGCTTACCCTTGGTTAATGGTCCCGCCATCTCATTGCGCGTAGCACGGTAATGTCGCCAAAATATTCATCATCAACATTACGTCCGGGGGAATTTTTTTCGCTTAACACGGCACTTTTCCAGGAACGCACCTAGTACGTTAAACGAGGACTTTCTGTGCTGACGATACATATGCAACGCGATTCGTCGTGGTTCTATTTGCGCGCGTAAAATTAATGCAATCCTCGCTCCGTCCTGTGGTTGTTCTTCAACACTTTAAACAATCTGCTGCTGTTTCCGCTGCTCAGCCGGCAGTGGCACACGAACAGCAACAACAAAAACCGCAACACGTTTGTCAACATCTCTGTGGCCTTAAAACAACACAAGAGCTGTCATGTCGACGAATGCATTTTCACTTCTATGGGCTCACTGAACCTGTTCACTCACTCTCATCTCATTCACGCTCCGCGCGGGAATCCAAAAAGCGATTTCAGTTATTGTCCGGCGGCAGTTTGCTTCGGAATGAAATGTTTCCCGTAACACCGTTTCTCAGTTTTTATGTTACGAGCCTTGCGAAACCACCGCAGCGACGACGCCAATCCATCGATTAAATCCCATCGGTTCGGCCACGAGTCCCGCTACAACGCTAACCAGACGAAGGGATCGCGACCGTGCGATCGCAGCGAGTGGGAATCGCGCGCACGTGTCCGTGTATGCAGAGGCTGTCCACAGGGGGTTGCGAGACCCGGGACAAATCCCACTGTGGGCTCTCTCGACGCCTTCAAACTAAACCGGAAGTATTACATCCGACACCGTTGATGTCGAAGCGCGGGGAGCCCCCCCAAAGCGCGGGGTCCGGGGCCGTCGCTCCAATTCGCCGTGGACCCATGGGAGGGCTCTGCGTGTATGTACAGTGATACCCCGATTTACGTCGTCACTTTGGTGAACACTGCTCGCCGATTTGCGTCACTTCAACCCACACGTCGCTAACAGCATCGTCCGTCCTTTCTCATATTCGTCGCCCCTCAGCCTTCGCTTCAACCTACTCTGTAAATTGCTTTGACGCAATTTCGATATTTACCTTTTGAGGAACGCATCCCCCGGCGTAAACCGAGGTATTACTGCACATGCGGTGTACAGGGCACGTGCTTTAAATCCCTCGGGAACTTAAAAGCACCTTTCATCACATACCATCTCAAACATTACAATGGACCTGCTGCAGTCTCACCTACGGGACCCCCCCCCCGCCCCTCCCAGTGGCAGCTGTCCCTGTGCGTGTACACTGCACCGGCCTGCAAGTGGGCATCAGTCAGCGTGTGTGTACGTGCATGTCTATATGCACTTCTCCTTGTTTGTGTGTATTATGTACACTTGTGTGTGCGTGTGAATTTAACCCGGCGTGCCAGGTACAATTCCCGCTCACGGCCAACCCCATTGGCGATTATCTGAACTGGTCCTGGGCCTTCCCTAGGTCGGCTCAGCCTCATATGAGTACAGTGCCTGGTGGGATATGTAAACATTGTCACTAGGGAGACCAAGACGGCCGGGCATGGAACTGACCACCCTCTCACGTGCTGTGCCGGGCTTTATAGGTGCTCAATAACAGCACTCGTCCCAAACAATCCGATAAGGTTACAGGGGGGACCGCTATCTTTGTATATGTACACAACTAATTATAAGAACACTAGGAGCAGCCGAGACCGGCCCGGCTCAGCCCAGCGCCGTCACCGCCAGCATCGCCGCTCCGTGTTTCAACCCGATGGGCAAACAGCGATTCACACCACCGGCTAATGGACAAGGCAAGATGCTGGACAGGGAGACGCGGAGACGACAGGAGACGCGGGGAGACGTGGGGGAAGTATGGGCAGACCTGGGGACACGGAGATGATGGGAGACATGGGAGGCGTGGGTGCGCAGGAGATGAGGGAGGACACGAGGAGAAACAACGACGTGAGGACATGTAGACACGAGCATGAGAGACGTAGAAGGGAGACATGGCGGCACAGAGACACGGGGACATGGAAGATGAGATGAGACGTGTAGAGACACGCGTCCTAGCCGCCGCTGCCCAGCACGCCCTGCAGGTCAGGCGGCAGCGAGGAGATGATGGCGTCCACGTGCGCGCGCAGCTTCACCAGCGTCTGCGCTCCCACGCTCACCTGTGCCTGGGTCACGTGTGCCTGGGCACCGGGGTTATGGGGTCACAGAGGCATGGGGATCATGGGGGTCGCGGGGGGGTAGGTGGTCGAGTGAGACGATGTTGAGTTGGGGGGGGGGGGGGGGGGGGGTCAGTATTGAAGGAGGACGCCATGTAGTGCAGGGTGTGAGAGATGACGGGCGACCAGAGGGCACCATGATGGGTAGCGAAGAGTGAAGGGCACCGTGTTAAGAGTGGTTGAGCGGAAGGCGCCATGTTTGGTAGGGGGTGGAGGAGGGCGCCATGTTGGCTAGGGAGCGAAATGCGGGCGCCATGTTGGGTAAAGGGCGGCAGAGAGCGCCATGTTGGGCGGGGTGAGCCGAGGGCGCAATGTCAAGGCTGCGTTACCATTTTCTCACGGAGCTTGATCACCCAGTCAACCGACTCCACCTCGCTGCGCCCTCGCACCCAGCCACTCAGGTCCTGCGCACACGCACGGACACGCACGCGCGAGTGCACTCACAGGTACAGCCGGCTGTGCATCACCTCGTGCTGGATAAAGCCGCCAGAAGACGACAGCACAGAGCAAAGTCACTTCGGTCGCCTCCCCAGACTCACGGGGGAGCGCACCTGAACATGCCCTGCAAGGGGCGTTTGCCAAGCAGCAACCAAACCGATAGCTCGAGCAATGGAGCTGGAATTCGATACTGTCAACGACAGCAATGATGACAATGTAAATGAGTGATGATGTCACGATGACAGCACTGGTAATGGCACTGCTGGCGATGTGAGCGAGAGTGGACGAGTGCGTTCGTGATAACAGTGAGCGATGAATGTGAGTGGCGAGTGTGAGTGGTGAGTGTCGTGAGTAGCGAGTGTGAGTGGCGAGTAACGAGAGTAGCGAGTGTGAGTGGTGAGTGTCGAGAGTAGCGAGTGTGAGTGGTGAGTGAGAGTGGCGAGTGAGCGGTGAGTGAGAGTGGCGAGTGTCGAGAGTGGTGAGTGTCGAGAGTGGCGAGTGTGAGTGGTGAGTGAGAGTGGTGAGTAACGAGAGTGGTGAGTGTGAGTGGCGAGTGTCGAGAGTAGTGAGTGGCGAGTGTGAGTGGTGAGTGTCGAGAGTAGTGAGTGTGAGTGGTGAGTGTCGAGAGTAGTGAGTGTGAGTGGCGAGTGAGAGTGGTGAGTAACGAGAGTAGTGAGTGTGAGTGGTGAGTGGCGAGTGTCGAGAGTAGTGAGTGTGAGTGGCGAGTGTGAGTGGTGAGTGAGAGTGGCGAGTGTGAGTGGTGTGTGTCGAGAGTAGCGAGTGAGAGTGGCGAGTGTGAGTAGCGAGTGTGAGTGGTGTGTGTCGAGAGTAGCGAGTGTGAGTGAGAGTGGCGAGTGTGAGTGGTGAGTGTGAGTGGCGAGTGGCGAGAGTGGCGAGTGTCGAGAGTGGCGAGTGTGAGTGGTGAGTGTGAGTGGCGAGTGTGAGTGGCGAGTGTGAGTCGTGAGTGTCGAGAGTAGCGAGTGTGAGTGGTGAGTGAGAGTGGCGAGTGTGAGTGGTGAGTGTGAGTGGCGAGTATGAGTGGCGAGTGAGAGTAGCGAGTGTCAAGAGTGGCGAGTGTGAGTGGTGAGTGTGAGTGGCGAGTGTCGAGAGTAGCGAGTGTGAGTGGCGAGTGTGAATGGCGAGTGTGAGTGGTGAGTGTGAGTGGCGAATAACGAGAGTAGCGAGTGTGAATAGCGAGTGTGAGTGGTGAGTGAGAGTGGCAAGTGAGAGTGGCGAGTGTGAGTGGCGAGTGAGAGTGGCGAGTGTGAGTGGCGAGTGTCGAGAGTAGCGAGTGTGAGTAGCGAGTGAGAGTGGCGAGTGTGAATGGCGAGTGTGAGTGGTGAGTGTGAGTGGCGAGTAACGAGAGTAGCGAGTGTGAGTAGCGAGTGTGAGTGGAGGGTGAGTGGGCGAGTGAGAGTGGCGAGTGAGAGTGGCGAGTGTGAGTGGCGAGTGTGAGTGGTGAGTAACGAGAGTAGCGAGTGTGAGTAGCGAGTGTGAGTGGCGAGTGTGAGTGGCGAGTGAGAGTGGCGAGTGAGAGTGGCGAGTGTGAGTGGTGAGTGAGAGTGGCGAGTGTCGAGAGTGGCGAGTGAGAGTGGTGAGTGAGAGTAGCGAGTGTCAAGTGTGAGTGGCGAGTGTGAGTGGCGAGTGTTTGCGATGCGAGCGAGAGAGTGGTGTGAGTGGCGAGTGTGAGTGGCGAGTGTGAGTGGCGAGTGTGACTGGCGAGTGAGAGTAGCGAGTGTGAGTGGTGAGTGTGAGTGGCGAGTGAGAGTGGCGAGTGTGAGTGGCGAGTGTGAGTGGCGAGTGAGTGTAGCGAGTGTGAGTGGCGAGTGTGAGTGGTGAGTGTGAGTGGCGAGTGTGAGTGGTAAGTGTGAGTAGCGAGTGTGAGTGGTGAGTGTGAGTGGTGAGTGTGAGTGGCGAGTGAGAGTGGCGAGTGTCGAGAGTGGCGAGTGTGAGTGGCGAGTGAGAGTGGCGAGTGTGAGTAGCGAGTGTCGAGAGTGGCGAGTGTGAGTGGCGAGTGAGAGTGGCGAGTGTGAGTAGCGAGTGTCGAGAGTGGCGAGTGTGAGTGGCGAGTGTTTGCGATGCGAGCGAGAGAGTGGTGTGAGTAGCGAGTGTGAGTGGCGAGTGTGAGTGGCGAGTGTGAGTGGCGAGTGTTTGCGATGCGAGCGAGAGAGTGGTGTGAGTGGCGAGTGTGAGTGTCAAGTGTGAGTGGCGAGTGTGAGTGGCGAGTGTTTGCGATGCGAGCGAGAGAGTGGTGTGAGTGGCGAGTGTGAGTGGCGAGTGTGAGTGGCGAGTGTGACTGGCGAGTGAGAGTAGCGAGTGTGAGTGGTGAGTGTGAGTGGCGAGTGAGAGTGGCGAGTGTGAGTGGCGAGTGTGAGTGGCGAGTGAGAGTAGCGAGTGTGAGTGGCGAGTGGTGAGTGTGAGTGGCGAGTGTGAGTGGTGAGTGTGAGTGGCGAGTGAGAGTGGCGAGTGTCGAGAGTGGCGAGTGTGAGTGGCGAGTGAGAGTGGCGAGTGTGAGTGGCGAGTGAGAGTAGCGAGTGTGAGTGGCGAGTGTGAGTGGTAAGTGTGAGTAGCGAGTGTGAGTGGTGAGTGTGAGTGGTGAGTGTGAGTGGCGAGTGAGAGTGGCGAGTGTCGAGAGTGGCGAGTGTGAGTGGCGAGTGAGAGTGGCGAGTGTGAGTAGCGAGTGTCGAGAGTGGCGAGTGTGAGTGGCGAGTGTTTGCGATGCGAGCGAGAGAGTGGTGTGAGTAGCGAGTGTGAGTGGCGAGTGTGAGTGGCGAGTGAGAGTAGCGAGTGTGAGTGGTGAGTGTGAGTGGCGAGTGAGAGTGGCGAGTGAGAGTGGCGAGTGTGAGTGGCGAGTGTGAGTGGCGAGTGAGAGTGGCGAGTGTGAGTGGCGAGTGTGAGTGGTGAGTGGTGAGTGTGAGTGGTAAGTGTGAGTGGCAAGTGAGAGTGGCGAGTGTGAGTGGTGAGTGTGAGTGGCGAGTGTGAGTGGCGAGTGTGAGTGGTGAGTGTGAGTAGCGAGTGTGAGTGGCGAGTGTTTGCGATGTGAACGAGAGAGTGGTGAGGGAGGCGTGTGGTGGCACGCACCGCGTTGGCCATCATGTCCATGTGCACGGCCTCCAGCTTGAGCCGCATGTCCCCTTGGCGCTCGCGCAGCCAGCCCGCAAAGTTAGGGGAGCGCACGAACCGTCTAAAGCACCACACGGCACGCACCGTACCGTCACAAACACACGCGCTGTCACCAACCATCAGCCACACACCGCTACTTCACACTGTCACCACCACCATCGTCAACCACACAACGCCACACCGCACCATCACACACACACACAACACCGTCACCACCACCATCATCAACCGCACACCATCAACACACAAACACTGTCACTACCACCATCATCAACCGCACACCATCACACACACACACAACACCATCACCACCACCTTCATCAACCGCACACTATCAACACATAAACACTCACTACCACCATCATCAACCACACACCATCAACACACAAACACTGTCACCACCACCATCATCAACCACACAACGCCACACCGCACCATCACACACACACACACACAACACCGTCACCACCACCGTCATCAACCGCACACCATCAACACACAAACACTGTCACTACCACCATCATCAACCACCCAACGCCACACCGCACCATCACACGCACACACACAACACCGTCACCACCACCATCATCAACCGCACACCATCAACACACAAACACTGTCACTACCACCATCATCAACCGCACAACGCCACACCGCACTATCACACCATCAACACCACCATCATCATCAATCACACACCATCAACACACAAACATCGTCACCACCATCATCAGCCACACACCGTCGCCACCATCACACCATCACTGGCCCCATGTAGGCCACGCGGAGGATGTGTGTGTGTGTGTGGCGTGAGTACCGATAGAACCCCGTCCAGTCCCCCTTGATGGGCGACGTGAGCTGTGGGCCATTCTTCTCCAGCGTGCGGATGAAGTCCTCCGCCTGAAATGGGCCCAGAGGAGGGGGGCTCTGTGTGTTGGGGGTGGCAACAAGCCATCGGGTCACAGAGCGGTCATGGGGTCATGGGGTCACAAGGAGATCACGGGGAGGTCGTTTGAGGTCACGGAGGTCACAGGAGGCACAGTGGCAATGAAACTACCAGTCAATTCTATTCCCGTGATGCGTGCAGCAAATCATGTGCGCCAGTCATCTCACTACAAGATGATGATGATGCTTTTCTAGATTTGAAGCTTTCGTGACTGCAAGGATCCATACTCTTTGGTCCTATTCGGTAAAGTCACGTAGGTAAAAAATAAACGTCGTGATTTTTGTTATTTTATTTTTTACCTACGTGACTTTACCGAATAGAACCAAAGAGTGTGATGATGCTTGTTTACCCGGGAGATATTCACCGAGTCTCAAAACCCATTTTTCAGGAGGATCCTGCCAAGTTTTCGCAGTACGGGGGGACCATGTTGCTGCTGCTATGTGATTCCAACCGGGTGATTTGTAAGTAAGTTTTCAGCATTGAGATGTCTGGCCAACACTGCTCTTACACTGTGTGGGTTTCTTTTAGCTTTTGTGTTCTGGTGATGGTGTTCATAACGATGTTGGGGATGGTGAAGGCGCGTCATGGTGTTTGTGATGGTGGCACCTTGAAGGGGGTGATGTTTTTCTGCAGGGGCATCAAGCTCGCCACGTACCGCTCCTAAACAACATTTACAACAATGACGACAACCAGGAATAAAAATCACGCTTACGCACGGATTCCAACGCTTGCATTGTCTCTTGCAAATCTTTAGTCGGCGATAACGGTGGCGGTGGCAGCGCCCGCACCAGCTGCGTGGTGGCTGGTGCGTTCCGAAGGCCGCGACGAGTCGATGGGGGTTCGGATTACGGCAGATGACGAGTCCCCTAGCGACGAGTCCCCTAGCGACGAGCCCCCTAGCGACGAGCCCCATAACGACGAGTCCCCTAGCGACGAGTCCCCTAGCGACGAGTCCCCTAGCGACGAGTCCCCTAGCGACGAGCCCCATAACGACGAGTCCACTAGCGACGAGTCCCCTAGCGACGAGTCCCCTAGCGACGAGTTCCCTAGCGACGAGTCCCCTAGCGACGAGCCCCATAACGACGAGTCCCCTAGCGACGAGTCCCCTAGCGACGAGTCCCCTAGCGACGAGTCCCCTAGCGACGAGCCCCCTAGCGACGAGCCCCCTAGCGACGAGTCCCCTAGCGACGAGTCCCCTAGCGACGAGTCCCCTAGCGACGAGCCCCATAATGACGAGTCTCCTAGCGACGAGCCCCCTAGCGACGAGTCCCCTAGCGACGAGTCGATGGGGGTTCGGATAGCGGCAGATAACGAGTCCCATAGCGACGAGTCCCCTAGCGACCAGTCCCCTAGCGACGAGTCCCCTAGCGATGAGCCCCCTAGCGACGAGCCCCCTAGCGACGAGTCGATGGGGGTTCGGATAGCGGCAGATGACGAGTCCCCTAGTGACGAGCCCCCTAGCAACGAGCTCCATAACGACGAGTCCCCTAGCGACGAGTCCCCGAGCGACGAGTCCCGTAACGACGAGTCCCCTAGTGACGAGTCCCCTAGCGACGAGTCCCCTAGTGATGAGCCCCCTAGCGATGAGCCCCATAACGACGAGTCCCCTAGCGACGAGTCCCCTAGCGACGAGTCCCCTAGCGACGAGTCCCATAACGACGAGTCCCGTAACGACGAGTCCCGTAACGACGAGTCCCCTAGTGACGAGTCTCCTAGCGACGAGTCCCCTAGTGATGAGCCCCCTAGCGACGAGCCCCATAACGACGAGTCCCCTAGCGACGAGTCCCCTAGCGACGAGTCCCCTAGCGACGAGTCCCCTAGCGACGAGTCCCCTAGCGACGAGTCCCATAACGACGAGTCCCGTAACGACGAGTCCCCTAGTGACGAGTCTCCTAGCGACGAGTCCCCTAGTGATGAGCCCCCTAGCGACGAGCCCCATAACGACGAGTCCCCTAGCGACGAGTCCCCTAGCGACGAGTCCCCTAGCGACGAGTCCCCTAGCGACGAGCCCCATAACGACGAGTCCCCTAGTGATGAGCCCCCTAGCGACGAGCCCCATAACGACGAGTCCCCTAGCGACGAGTCCCCTAGCGACGAGCCCCATAACGACGAGTCCACTAGCGACGAGTCCCCTAGCAACGAGCTCCATAACGACGAGTCCCCTAGCGACGAGTCCCCGAGCGACGAGTCCCGTAACGACGAGTCCCCTAGTGACGAGTCCCCTAGCGACGAGTCCCCTAGTGATGAGCCCCCTAGCGACGAGCCCCATAACGACGAGTCCCCTAGCGACTAGTCCCCTAGCGACGAGTCCCCTAGCGACGAGTCCCCTAGCGACGAGTCCCATAACGACGAGTCCCGTAACGACGAGTCCCGTAACGACGAGTCCCCTAGTGACGAGTCTCCTAGCGACGAGTCCCCTAGTGATGAGCCCCCTAGCGACGAGCCCCATAACGACGAGTCCCCTAGCGACGAGTCCCCTAGCGACGAGTCCCCTAGCGACGAGTCCCCTAGCGACGAGTCCCCTAGCGACGAGTCCCATAACGACGAGTCCCGTAACGACGAGTCCCCTAGTGACGAGTCACCTAGCGACGAGTCCCCTAGTGATGAGCCCCCTAGCGACGAGCCCCATAACGACGAGTCCCCTAGCGACGAGTCCCCTAGCGACGAGTCCCCTAGCGACGAGTCCCCTAGCGACGAGCCCCATAGCGACGAGTCCCCTAGTGATGAGCCCCCTAGCGACGAGCCCCATAACGACGAGTCCCCTAGCGACGAGTCCCCTAGCGACGAGCCCCATAACGACGAGTCCACTAGCGACGAGTCCCCTAGCGACGAGTCCCCTAGCGACGAGTTCCCTAGCGACGAGTCCCCTAGCGACGAGCCCCATAACGACGAGTCCCCTAGCGACGAGTCCCCTAGCGACGAGTCCCCTAGCGACGAGTCCCCTAGCGACGAGCCCCCTAGCGACGAGCCCCCTAGCGACGAGTCCCCTAGCGACGAGTCCCCTAGCGACGAGTCCCCTAGCGACGAGCCCCATAATGACGAGTCTCCTAGCGACGAGCCCCCTAGCGACGAGTCCCCTAGCGACGAGTCGATGGGGGTTCGGATAGCGGCAGATAACGAGTCCCATAGCGACGAGTCCCCTAGCGACAAGTCCCCTAGCGACGAGTCCCCTAGCGATGAGCCCCCTAGCGACGAGCCCCCTAGCGACGAGTCGATGGGGGTTCGGATAGCGGCAGATGACGAGTCCCCTAGTGACGAGCCCCCTAGCAACGAGCTCCATAACGACGAGTCCCCTAGCGACGAGTCCCCGAGCGACGAGTCCCGTAACGACGAGTCCCCTAGTGACGAGTCCCCTAGCGACGAGTCCCCTAGTGATGAGCCCCCTAGCGACGAGCCCCATAACGACGAGTCCCCTAGCGACGAGTCCCCTAGCGACGAGTCCCCTAGCGACGAGTCCCCTAGCGACGAGTCCCATAACGACGAGTCCCGTAACGACGAGTCCCCTAGTGACGAGTCTCCTAGCGACGAGTCCCCTAGTGATGAGCCCCCTAGCGACGAGCCCCATAACGACGAGTCCCCTAGCGACGAGTCCCCTAGCGACGAGTCCCCTAGCGACGAGTCCCCTAGCGACGAGCCCCATAACGACGAGTCCCCTAGTGATGAGCCCCCTAGCGACGAGCCCCATAACGACGAGTCCCCTAGCGACGAGTCCCCTAGCGATGAGCCCCCTAGCGACGAGTCCCCTAGCGACGAGTCCCCTAGCGACGAGCCCCATAATGACGAGTCCCCTAGCGACGAGTCCCCTATGCGACTAGTCCCCTAGCGACGAGTCCCCTAGCGACGAGCCCCCTAGCGACGAGTCCCCTAGCGACGAGCCCCCTAGCGACGAGCCCCCTAGCGACGAGCCCCCTAGCGACGAGTCCCCTAGCGACGAGTCCCCTAGCGACGAGTCCCCTAGCGACGAGCCCCATAATGACGAGTCTCCTAGCGACGAGCCCCCTAGCGACGAGTCCCCTAGCGACGAGTCGATGGGGGTTCGGATAGCGGCAGATAACGAGTCCCATAGCGACGAGTCCCCTAGCGACAAGTCCCCTAGCGACGAGTCCCCTAGCGATGAGCCCCCTAGCGACGAGCCCCCTAGCGACGAGTCGATGGGGGTTCGGATAGCGGCAGATGACGAGTCCCCTAGTGACGAGCCCCCTAGCAACGAGCTCCATAACGACGAGTCCCCTAGCGACGAGTCCCCGAGCGACGAGTCCCGTAACGACGAGTCCCCTAGTGATGAGCCCCCTAGCGACGAGCCCCATAACGACGAGTCCCCTAGCGACGAGTTCCCTAGCGACGAGTCCCCTAGCGACGAGTCCCCTAGCGACGAGTCCCATAACGACGAGTCCCGTAACGACGAGTCCCCTAGTGACGAGTCTCCTAGCGACGAGTCCCCTAGTGATGAGCCCCCTAGCGACGAGCCCCATAACGACGAGTCCCCTAGCGACGAGTCCCCTAGCGACGAGTCCCCTAGCGACGAGTCCCCTAGCGACGAGCCCCATAACGACGAGTCCCCTAGTGATGAGCCCCCTAGCGACGAGCCCCATAACGACGAGTCCCCTAGCGACGAGTCCCCTAGCGATGAGTCCCCTAGCGACGAGTCTCCTAGCGACGAGTCCCCTAGCGACGAGCCCCATAATGACGAGTCCCCTAGCGACGAGTCCCCTAGGCGACTAGTCCCCTAGCGACGAGTCTCCTAGCGACGAGTCCCCTAGCGACGAGCCCCATAATGACGAGTCCCCTAGCGACGAGTCCCCTAGCGACGAGCCCCATAATGATGAGTCCCCTAGCGACGAGTCCCCTAGCGACGAGTCCCCTAGCGACGAGCCCCATAACGACGAGCCCCCTAGCGACGAGTCCCCTAGCGACGAGTCCCCTAGCGACGAGTTTCCTAGCGACGAGCCCCATAACGACGAGCACCCTAGCGACGAGTCCCCTAGCGACGAGCCCCCTAGTGACGAGTCCCCTAGCGACGAGTCCCCATAACGACGAGTCCCCTAGCGACGAGCCCCCTAGCGACGAGCCCCCTAGCGACGAGTCCCCTAGCGACGAGTCCCCTAGCGACGAGTCCCCTAGCGACGAGTCCCCTAGCAACGAGCCCCATAACGACGAGTCCCCTAGCGACGAGTCCCCTAGCGACGAATCCCCTAGCGACGAGTCCCCTAGCGACGAGTCCCCTAGCGACGAATCCCCATAACGACGAGTCCCCTAGCGACGAGTCCCGTAACGGCAAATCCCGTAACGACGACGCTGAACACCGAGACCCACACAGCAACGTGATGCCGCGTTGCTGTGTGGGACTCGCCGAAGAGAAAATCGTCCAGTTATTGATAAGTGAGCCGTCTTGCTCGGGAAGGTGTCATGTTGATTAGTATGCACTGATGAGCGCGCCACGCCATTGAGCGAGATGCGCCGGTGAGCGAGACGCGCCGGTGAGCGAGACGCGTTGGTGAGCGAGACGCGCCGGTGAGCGAGACGCGCCGGTGAGCGAGACGCGCCGGTGAGCGAGACGCGTTGGTGAGCGAGACGCGTTGGTGAGCGAGACGCGCCGGTGAGCGAGACGCGTTGGTGAGCGAGACGCGCCGGTGAGCGAGACGCGTTGGTGAGCGAGACGCGTTGGTGAGCGAGACGCGTTGGTGAGCGAGACGCGTTGGTGAGCGAGACGCGCCGGTGAGCGAGACGCCGGTGAGCGAGACGCGTTGGTGAGCGAGACGCGTTGGTGAGCGAGACGCGCCGGTGAGCGAGACGCCGGTGAGCGAGACGCGTTGGTGAGCGAGACGCGTTGGTGAGCGAGACGCCGGTGAGCGAGACGCGCCGGTGAGCGAGACGCGCCGGTGAGCGAGACGCGTTGGTGAGCGAGACGCCGGTGAGTGAGACACGTTGGTGAGCGAGACACGTTGGTGAGCGAGAGGCGCCGGTGAGCGAGACGCGCCTGTGAGCGAGACGCCGGTGAGCGAGACGCGCCGGTGAGCGAGACGCGTTGGTGAGCGCGACGCGTTGGTGAGCGAGACGCGCCGGTGAGCGAGACGCGCCGGTGAGCGAGACGCCGGTGAGCGAGAGGCGCCGGTGAGCGAGATGCGCCGGTGAGCGAGACGCCGGTGAGTGAGACACGTTGGTGAGCGAGACGCGTTGGTGAGCGAGACGCGTTGGTGAGCGAGACACGCCGGTGAGCGAGACGCGCCGGTGAGCGAGACACGTTGGTGAGCGAGACGCCGGTGAGTGAGACGCGCCGGTGAGCGAGACGCCGGTGAGCGAGACGCCGGTGAGTGAGACGCGCCGGTGAGCGAGACGCCGGTGAGCGAGACGCCGGTGAGCGAGACGCGCCGGTGAGCGAGACGCCGGTGAGCGAGACGCCGGTGAGCGAGACGCGTTGGTGAGCGAGACGCGCCGGTGAGCGAGACGCCGGTGAGCGAGACTGCTGTGTGCCTACCAGAGGGATGATGAAGCTCTGTGTGAGTTCCAGCAGTTGCCGTCGCAAAACCGAGTTCTGAGCCGAGGGCGGCCGGGTCTGGGGCTCTCCCTGCAGTAAACAAACCACACCACAACCACGACACAACCACCGTGAACAACCGCACACACCACAACCACTGTGAACAACCGCACACACCACAACCACAACCACTGTGAACAACCGCACACACCACACCACAACGCAACCACCGTGAACCGCACACACTAAAACCACACCACAACCACCGTGGACAACCGTACACACCACACCACAACCACTGTGAACAACCGCACACAACACACCACAACCACAACCACCGTGAACAACCGCACACACCACAACCACAACCACTGTGAACAACCGCACACACTAAAACCACACCACAACCACACCACACACACCCCACCACAACCAAATACACTTAATGCACCACACACACATCATGAACACCCCACACACACATACAGCACGACTTCGCTACGTACACCACAACCACCACACACCAGGGACGTGCGGTCAGGGGAGGCAGAGCCTCACCTGTCATACTCCAATGAAAATAGATGTTACAAAAAGTAAAAAATAATAAAATAAATATTAAGATATCTTTTTCCCCACTGATCTGTGTTGAAAATGTAATTTCTGAATGATTCCAATCATTCCAGAGAGATAGTAACAGGCACGCGCTTATTGCCCGCGCTACATCCAGTTACTGAGGGGTTGCGCAATCAGAGGGGAGGCTGAGCTCGTTGCTGCCTCACCTCTCGTCTCTTCATGTATTTGCAGCTCCGCAAATTTTGCGATTTTGACTAAAAAAAATGATTGTAATCGTACAGAAATTACATTTATAACACAGATCAGTGGAAAAAAAAAAAAAATCTTAATTTTTATTTTATTATTTTTTCCTTACAGCTATTTTCATTGGAGTATGAAAGGTGAGGCTCTGCCTCCCCTGCCCGCACGTCCCTGCCACACACACAGTACATTACAACCACATGACGAACACACCATACAGACCACTCCCACACAACAGCCACACCGTGAACACACAGCTTCTGTGGTGGTAATTGCGACTGGGATTGTGGAGACAGTGATGGTGGCGATGGTAGTGATGATGGCAGCGTTGGCGCTGATGTCTCACCTTCTCCAGCTCCCTGAGGATAGCTTTGTCCCGACTGAGGAAGGGTTTGTAAGCCGTGTACACACCTGGAACACACACAACAACAACAACAACAACAACCGCCATTCGCCACTAAGTGGCGGTGACGTCACCACGACGCTTGTGCCAGGCTATGTGCACCCTGAGGCCACGTGAAGTGTCGAACGCCCGCTGGCAGGAGGTCACGGGGCAGACCCAGGTGCCATAGGTCGACTGACTGAGATGACTGGCTAATGCACCACCTGTGCCCCCTACTGTGCCAACCTGCTGTGCTTTAGCCACCCGGCGCTCCGCTCGTTGTTGTGAGCGTCGCTCCTCCGCCCTCCGTTGTTGTTGGAGGGCGACTACCTCCAACTGCCCAGTAGCATCCTTCACGAGCCTCCTCCACAGAGGCCGATCTTGACACCTCTGGTACCAGTCATCGGCAAGTCCACTCAGCTCCACGTCCTCCTGTACCACATCACTCCATCTCTTCTCTAGCCCGTGCCGCGCCCGCTTTGCCCCCTCAATCCGGCCGAACAAAAGCTGTTTCGGCATGCGGTGGCTGGGCATGCGGGCTACATGACCCAGCCATCGCAGCCTTGCCCGCCGGAGGAGCTCACCGATGGGACCTTGCCCAGATCTTTCAAGGATTTGTGAGCTCCTCACACAATCCAGTCTGGTTAAACCCAGGATAGATCGTAGGCAGGCCAGCCTAAATGTTTCTAACCGGCGAAGATGTTCCATTAGGGGGGCCCACGTTTCGCAAGCGTAGAGAAGGGAGGGAATGACCGTGGCCGAGAAGACCTAAAGCTTAGTGCAGAGCGACAGACCAGGTAGCTTCCACACAGCGTTACGCAACCGATGAAAAGATATTGCCGCTCGACTGATTCGGAGTGAGACCTCTGCTGTTAAACTGGAGCCAGTCATAAGCACACTGCCCAGGTATGGGAAACTCTCCACTCTCTCCACAACTGCCCCATCACCGATCGGGAGTTGTGGGGGTGGAGTGTCCGATGGTACAAAATACCCAGGCAGGTGCTTAGTTTTGGTGGGGCTGATGGTAAGGCCCCACCTCTTAGTGGCACGCTCCAGTCTCAGCAGCAGCGTCTCCAACTCCTCCTCTGACTGAGCAGCTATTACCAAATCATCAGCATACATAACGTGGTTGACCAATAGGGAGCCATCCCTTGACCGCACCCGGGCATCGATCAGCCTCCCATTATATCTGTACCATATGGAGATTCCCCCGGTACAGCTATTGAAGGCTTCACGAACTACGTGGTCAAAATAGATGTTAAATAATGTGGGAGCCAGAGGACATCCCTGTCGCACCCCAAGGTGTACAGGGAATGGCTCTGACTCCCGGCCACGTAGTTTTACCCGGGCCCGCTCACCATCATGAAGGTCCTTAATGATCGTGAGCAGAGGGTCCGGTACTCCAAAAGCACGAAGAACGACCCAGAGCCCAGGCCTACTGATGGTATCATAGGCCTTGACCAGGTCAAGCAGAGATGTAGGTCTTGTTGGAATTCCCTACACCTCTGCTGTAGCAGACGGACAGAAAATATGGCATCTGTGCAGGACCGCCCTATCCTGAAACCGCATTGGGGCTCCGCAAGCCTCTCCTCAGCGTGCCTGGCAAGGCGATGCTGAATAATCCTTGCCAGGACCTTTCCCGGCACACTGAGGAGTGAGATGCCCCTGTAGTTATTACAGTCTGTGCGGTCCCCCTTCTTAAAAAGGGGGACCACCAGGGCATCCTTCCAATCCTGCGGAACCCGTCCAGTGGTCCAGACTCTTGTTATGATGTCATATAGGGCAGTTTGTGCACAAACGCCACCCTCCCTCAGCATTTCGCTTGGGAGATCATCTCTGCCCGCTGCCTTTCCTGGTCTCAGACTCCGGATCGCCTTCAGTACTTCCTCAACAGATGGCACCTCAGCCAGCCACTCACAGGGGGTGACTTCTTCCAATATTTGAGGCACCGCAGCCTCAGCAGGGTCATCCTCACTTTGTGCCACAATGTTTTCCTGGCTGTGGGATTTTCCCTCCCCCAGGACCTCACAGAAATGCTCAGCAAATCTGCAAACCTGTTCCTGGGGGTCGGAGATTGGATCACCGTTTTTTCCCCTAATGATGGTAATAGGTGTGGCGCTGCAGGTTACTTTTTTGATGGAGTTAAATAGAGATTTGTGATCACGGGCCACTGAGGCAGACTCCATCTCCTCAGCAACCCGCGACCACCACCCATCCTTGCAGCGCCTCACGGCTCTCCGAACCTCCGAGCGAAGGCTGCGGTAAGCCTCCTCATTCTCTGACGTGGGATTCTGTAGCCGATGGCAGTGGGCCTGTCGCTTTTTCTCAACCATCCTGAACACCTCCTCTGTCAGCCAGGGTCTCTGGGGACGTCTGGACCGCGTACCCAAAAAGCAGCCATTGCAGCTGCATGAGTCACAGTCCTAAACCTCGCCCATTTACCCTCGACATCAGGAGGAGTCGGGGACGATGCCAATCCCAGCCGCAAGCGATGATGAAATTCTCGCTTGCAACTTTCATCAGATAACTGAGACCAGGCCACTTTAGATCGGAATGGGGTCCTGGGTGTACACCCACCACCGGAGTGGAAGAATGGCAGGCGCATCTTACAGATGACTAGTCGATGGTCAGAGGGCAGATCAGCTCCACGGTAGGTCCTGGTGTCAAGGACATGGGCTCGCATCCGCTGGTCCGTCACTATGTAGTCCAGCAGATGTTCTTGCTTGGACCCGGCATGCATCCATGATGTTGTGTGGATGCGCCGATGCCGGAACAGCGTGTTGGTAATTACAAGCCCATGGGCTGCACAAAAATCTAGCAGCCTCCTACCGTTGTTATTGAGCTGATCTGGCCCATGCCCTCCAATCACTCCAGACCAGGTGACCAACTCGGGCATTGAAGTCACCCAACATGATGACTCTATCCCGAGGGGCCACTTTAGCCAGCACCTGTGACAGGAGGTCATAGAAGGCATCTGACTCATCGGCTTTGCCTGCATCCCTCCACGGATGTTCATCTGTGTGTGTGGGGAACACACACACACACACACGCACACACGCACACACGCACGCACGCACCCACGCGCGGCTCACATGATCTGTGTGTGTGCAGCAGGTCTGGGACCGCATCCGTGTGTCATGCCGGGAGACTCGCACCTGGCTCACTGTCCAGCGTTTTCAGCTTCACCTGCTTCTTCACCTTCACCGACTTCCCCACGTCGCCTGCATGTGCACAAAGACAAAGATCCCCCTAATATCGTTCAACAGGCTGTCGGGGCAAGTTGTCGCGGCGAGCGCACGCGAAGGCTGGCACAACGCGCGAAGGGGTCGCCCCCTGCCCCGTCACCCCTCTCTCACCGTCGCTGCTGCTGCTGACGTGGCCCAGGCGGATGATGTGGGGCCAGTGCTGCAGGGTTTTGGCGAAGAACGGGTTCGTCACGCCCAGGATCACCGGGGGCCTGGGAGAGGGGGGGGGCGGGCACATGGCACCAAACGGGGTCTCAGCCCAGCCGCGCGTATCCCCGTCTGTGTCTCTCTGTCTTGTCTGTGTGTCGGGAAGCAGTGGCGCTACGAACCCGCCCCCCCCCCCCCCCCCGAGTTCGATTCCCGCTCACAGCCAACGGCAGTGACGGTCATCTGAACCGGTCCTGGGTTTCCCCTAGGTCTACTCAGCCTCAAATTAGTACCCGGTGCGGTGTGTAGACATTGCGGCTGGGGAGACAAAGGCGGCCGGGCGTGGTATTGGCCACCCACCCTCGAGTGTACCGTGTCGGCCTTCATACGTGATCACGAACAGCACTTGCCCCAAAAAGTATAGAAAGGCTAGACGAGGGGCCTTTGTCTTTGTTTGTCTCCCTGCATTCCCATGTGTGTCTCCCTGTGTCCCTGTGTGTGTCAGTGTCTCCCTGTGTGTGTGTGTCAGTGTCTCCTTGTCTCCCTGTGTGTGTCAGTGTCTCCTTGTCTCCCTGTGTGTGTCAGTGTCTCCCTGTGTGTGTCAGTGTCTCCCTGTGTGTGTGTGATAGTGTCTCCCTGTGTCCTTGTGAGTGTGTGTGTGTCAGTGTCTCCCTGTGTCCCTGTGCGTGTCAGTGTGTCCCTGTGTGTGTGTGTCAGTGTCTCCCTGTATGTGTGTGTGTCGGTGTCTCCCTGTGTGTGTGTGTCAGTGTCTCCCTGTGTGTGTGTGTGTCAGTGTCTCCCTGTGTGTCTGTGTGTCAGTGTCTCCTTGTCTCCCTGTGTGTGTCAGTGTCTCCCTGTGTGTGTGTGTGTGTCAGTGTCTCGCTGTGTCCCTGTGTGTGCATGTCAGTGTCTCCCTGTGTCCCTGTGTCCATGTATGTGTGTGTCAGTGTCTCCCTGTGTGTGTGTGTCAGTGTCTCCTTGTCTCCCTGTGTGTGCATGTCAGTGTCTCCCTGTGTCCCTGTGTGTGTCAGTGTCTCCCTGTGTCCCTGTGTGTGTGTCAGTGTCTCCTTGTCTCCCTGTGTGTGTCAGTGTCTCCCTGTGTGTGTGTGTCAGTGTCTCCCTGTGTCCCTGTGTGTGTCAGTGTCTCCCTGTGTGTGTGTGTCAGTGTCTCCCTGTGTCCCTGTGTGTGTCAGTGTCTCCCTGTGTGTGTGTGTCAGTGTCTCCCTGTGTCCCTGTGTGTGTCAGTGTCTCCCCATGTCCTTGCGTGTCTCACGGAGCCTGTGTGTGTGTGTGTGTGTCTCCCCGTGTCCTTGCGTGTTTCACGGAGCCTGTGTGTGTGTGATAGTGTCTCCCCATGTCCTTGCGTGTCTTACGGAGCCTGTGTGTGCGTGTCAGTGTCTCCCTGTGTCCCTGTGTGTGTGTATGATAGTCTCCCCGTGTCCTTGCGTGTCTCACGGAGCCTGTGTGTGTGTATGTGTACAGGTGAATGTGTGTCTGAGTGTGTGTGTGTCTCACGGAGCCTGTGTGTGTGTGTGTGTCAGTGTCTCCCCGTGTCCTTGCGTGTCTCACGGAGCCTGTGTGTGTATGTGTACAGGTGAATGTGTGTCTGAGTGTGTGTGTGTCTCACGGAGCCTGTGTGTGTGTGTGTCAGTGTCTCCCCGTGTCCTTGCGTGTCTCACGGAGCCTGTGTGTGTGTATGTGTACAGGTGAATGTGTGTCTGAGTGTGTGTGTGTCTCACGGAGCCTGTGTGTGTGTGTGTCAGTGTCTCCCCATGTCTTTGCGTGTCTCACGGAGCCTGTGTGTATGTGTATGTGTACAGGTGAATGTGTGTCTGAGTGTGTGTGTGTCTCACGGGAGCGATAGTGTAGCGGTTAGCGCGCTGCGCTATGAACCCGGCGACCCGGGTTCGATTTCCGCTCACGGCCACCACCAGTGACGATTATCTGAACCGGTCCCGGGCCTCCCCTAGGTCGACTCAGCCTCAAATGAGTACCTGGTGCGGTGTGTAAACATTGCCACTAGGGAGACAAAGGCGGTCAGGCGTGGTGCTGGCCACCCACCCCCTCGTGTACCGTTCTGGCCTTCATAGGTGCTCGCTAACAGCACTTGCCCCTACAGTCTGTTAAGGCTATATGGGGGATCTTTATCTATGTGAATGTGCGTGTGTCTGTGTGTGTGTGAATGTGTGTGTGTGTGCGTGTCTCACGGAGCCTGTGTGCGAGTCGTGTATTCCTGGAACTCGCTGTCGTGGATGGTGAAGTATGGACGGAAGTCGCTGTGGTACGTGAGCGGGGCGATACAGCTGGGTAAGGAAACAGAAGACAGCAAAACACTTGTGAGTCTATGGGTCCTGTGCGAGTTTGGGTCTTGTTATCCAAAATGACATTTAGTTACTTCTATTACGCTATCGCGAGCGCGCTTAGTTGCTGTCCGATTACAATAAACGACTGCACACCTGTGCTCAACAAATAAACACAACAATAAGAGGGAACACAAACACCGTCAATCCAAGACAGAGGTTCTTTGCAAGCCATCTGGCTACCATGAGACATTCGTTCATGAGGCTATCCACATATACAAACACAGAGACAATTTCAACCGAGAAGATGGATGCTGGCTTAGCAATCATTGGAAGGATTTGAAAAGCCATTTCGGGTCTTAATTGATTGTTCACGCTTACGGTGGCTTTCAGACCGCATCCATTATTTTCGTCATCCCCCCTCCTCTTTTCCGAACATAGATGGACTCGTCCATCTGAATAACTGCCAAATCGCTCTCCGTGGTGCTAACGGTAAAAAACAACCGCCACTTTTTTCAAATTTTCTTGCTGTGGTTTTCACACCTGATGATGATTGCTTGTGTTGCGGTCGAAACGTCGTGAGAATTTTATTGTTTTATATATTTTTTTATTATTTTATTGTCTCCCTTCTCCGTGGCGGTGACTTTACCGAAAGAACCAAGAACACCGTCAAACATTACCGCGGTCCAACCACATGCCCGGTCAGCGAGGCGGCTCGCCGGGCCCGGTGGGGGCGACAGCGACGGAAGGGGACACGGTTGTCACGACGATGCTCGCTCACCTGACGAGGGCGAGCACTGCCTGTGAGGTGTCGGCAGGAGAGGTTGCCATGACGACCAGAGGCTCCCCCAACAGCACGAGTTCCCACAGCATCTGCACGTGCCGCAGCACGGGGCGGAAACTCCTGGGGGGACGCGCGCAGCAACCACCGCGTCAACGGCGGTGCGGCCTCCGCAGCAACTGTGTTACCATAGTAACTGCCGCCATGGTAACTGTGCTGTCGCCACGACAACCGTGACGACACAGCAGCTGTATTGCCACAGCAACCATGCCACCGCTGTGACCCGCGTAGCTATGGCAACATCGGCATCATGGTAACAACAATGCCGTGGTGACGTCGCAACTGTGGTAAGGTTTACAATTACAATGTCACCAGCATGGCAACCACACCACCGCGGGAAACGGCTCAACCAACTGTTATGGAGAAGATTACGGCAAAGATGACGAAGATACAATGACAACATCAAAGGTCAAAATTGTGCCCATGATGATTGTAAAAATATTTGACGTTGACACCCGGGAAACCGGGAGCCCCACTCGGCTCCAGCTGAGCGGTGCGACCAATGCTGTCTCCGTCGAGATCTGCGCTGGTCTCACCGGTAGAGGTCGGGCTGGTGGACGCTGGGCAACACCGTGGAGACGGCGTAGAGGTTCTGCGAAGGACGCGGCACAGTCTCAGTAGAGTTTATTATAAAACCTTTCACCCGTGGCACCACCGCCACGACGGGGAGGGGAGGTCAAGACAAAGAGGGCATGGCTCAAGACGATCAGCAGGAAGTAGGAAGGTGTACCGGGCAGGAAGGGAAGGAGAAAGGGTGGTGATGGTGAGACGGGAGGCAAGACAGGGAGAGAGACGGTGCGAGCAAGCAGTGAGCTGCTTGGAGCTGAGTCTGTTCTCACACGGGGGTCGCGGAGAGACGGGAAGGATTCAGAGTGGGAGTTGGCCAAACAGAAGTCATGTGATCCGGTTCGATGGACACATTTTCAAGTTTTACACAGTTAGCCCAAAGTTTATCCTGACTGCACTCTCGGCGTCGAGGTACGAGAACAAGAATCCATCGAGGCTTCTCGCAGAGCAACGCCACCCTTCGTGTTAGATCACGGATATCGTAGAACTACAACTGAGATCCCTTCAGGTTCTGGTTCACACACAGCATGGGGGCACAGCATGTGAGTTGTAATGTTCGTCGCATGACAGTCGACCCGATTTTTTTAATTCTCAAAAGGTCGAATGTAACAAAAATTAAGTGCACCACACGCACTCAACACCACACCACACGCACTCAGCACCACACCACTCATGGTAAGCACCGAAACGCACCAGGTAAGAATCGCCGTTTTGGCCGTGACCAGCGACCAGCAAAAGCGTCACACAGATGGCAGCAACATTCCCTGTGGGCTGCTGTCGCACCGGAGTTTCCGCTCACCTCCTGAGTGGCGTGCAAGAAGGCCGCGCCGGGCTTGTCTTGCCGCGACGGGATGCGAACCTGAAAACATCGTGGTGGTCATTATCATCATCATCGTCATCGTCGTGGTGGTGGTGGTCATCACCGCTCTGACTGGGCCAGGGCCATGTGTGAACACGGAGAGCCGTGTGTCAACACGGAGGCGGTGTGTGAACATGGACGGCAGTGTGTCAACACGGAGGGGGTGTGTGAACACAGAGAGCCGTGCGTCAACACGGAAGGCGGTGTGTGAACACGGAGATCCGTGTGTCAACACGGAGGCGGTGTGTGTGAACATGGAGAGCTCAACACGGAGGCGGTGTGTGAACACGGAGAGCCGTGTGTCAACACGGAGGCGGTGTGTGAACACGGACGGCAGTGTCAACACGGAGGCGGTGTGTGAACACGGAGATCCGTGTGTTAACACGGAGGCGGTGTGTGAACACGGACGGCAGTGTGTCAACACGGAGGCGGTGTGTGAACACGTACGGCAGTGTGTCAACACGGAGGCGGTGTGTGAACACGGAGAGCCGTGTGTCAACACGGAGGCGGTGTGTGAACACGGAGGCGGTGTGTCAACACGGAGGCGGTGATCTTTTCGGAGATGTGTGGCATGACAGGAGGGGTCGAGGGTTCGCGGATCGCTCGTGGCACTGCGCCGCTGGCACCTGTATGACGGTGCCCATGATGGGCAGGCTCAGCGTCTGCCCGGCCACCGGCAGAGGCCACTGGTCCATGTCGTTGCACACTGCGGCACACACACACACGCGAAGAAGCACACACGCACGCACGAGTACACAGGTCCCCCGTGTAGCTGTTCGTGAGCACGTACGAAGATCAGTATGGCACAAGAGGGGATGGGTGGCCAGAACCATGCCTGGGCACCTTTGTCTCCGCAGTGATAATGTTTACACAATGCACAAGGTCCCAATTTTTAAGGCCAAGTCGACCTAGGGGAGGGCCCACGACCAGTTCAAACATAGGCCACTATTATTGGTTGTGAGCGGCAGTTGAACTTGGGTAGCTGTGTTTATGTTGCAGTGCACTAACAACTCCACTGCCGCTACACACACACAGGAACGCACGCATGTGTGGGTGTCACCACAGGGTTTAAGCGGCGATTGTCCTATCTCTGTCAGCATGGTTAACTCACTCCTTACCTTCTTTGGTTCTTTCGGTAAAGTCACGTAGAATGAGAATAAAATAATAAAATAAAATAAGACAAAATTCTCACGACGTTTCGGCCACAACACAAGCAGCCTTCTTCAGGTGAAAGAACAGAACTGTCGGGACGACAGAGCTTCAATTAACGCTGCTAAGATTCGCAGCGTCTTTTAAGCTCGGTGAGAGGCGTGGCGAGCCTTGAAAAAGGAGTTCACATATCAAAGCAGGATAATTTAGCATTGAAAAAACTGAGGGATTAGCTTGTGACAGAAATAGCTGTGTTAAAGTCAAAGTTTACATATCCACAGAGGCATTTAGTATATGGACGCTAAAGGCCTCCAATTACCAACCATTATAAAGTAAACCGTAGCGTCTTTTAAGCTCGGTGAGAAGTGTGAAGAGCCTTGACAAAGGAGTTAACATATCAGAGCAGGAGAGTTTAGCATTGAAATAGCCGAGGGATTAGCTTGTGACAGAAATAGCTGTGTGAAGTAGCCGTTTGTGCGGTCAAACTCACCGGCCTCCAGGAAGGGCTCCGCCTTCTCGAAGAAGCCCGGAGCGATGGTGCGGAGAATCGCGTCGAACAAGCCTGCGTACGGCAGCGGGCTCAGCAGCACCAGCGACTGGCGGCAGAGACGGTGCCAATAAGCATCAGCAGCAGAAGCAGCAGCAGCAACAGCAACAGCAGCAGAAGAGACGGCAAGAATCGAACCGTCATTAACAACGTTAATCGAGGTGGCCCGGTGGCTCAGAGGGCGAATGCAGTCAGAGCACTGAGCTGGCACTTCTGAGATCCTGGGTGTGAATCCAGGTTGATCGCTACCCAAGTTATTTCTGCAAGAGTGGCCGTGACTCCCTGTTTAAGACGGATGGAGCTCATCCATTTTAACCTTTAGTTGTAAATTGACAAAATCCCCTTCAGGTAATGATTTTTTACGAATAACAACCTGCAGTGCTGTGATATGACACCAGCCCCAAAATCTATTTAGCCATCTACATAGCCACATACAGCAAGTCATTAGGTCCGAGTGAGTGAGTGATAGAATGAGCGAGGGAGTGAGTCAGCATGTGTGTAAGTGAATGAGTGAGTTCCCAGGTGAGTGAGCGAGTCAGAGCTGGCAAGCGATCGTACGAGTCAGCGAGTGAGCGAGTGAATAAACAGGAGTGAAGGAGCGAGTCAGTAGGTGAGTAATTGATTGAGTGTGTGGGAGGTGAGTGAGTGAGTGGGCACCTTCTGGAAGTACCCTCTGCGTAGTGACTTGTCCTTGGCCTGCCTGAAGTACACGTAGCCATAGTAGTGAGTGGGGTCCCTCTGTTTGCAGGGGCAGAATGGGGAGATGCGGAGCAGGCGTGAACAACCCCCCCCAACGCCTACGCTCACAACGCGCACGTTTAAACCGTGCGTGCCGGAGACAGACAAGAGTGGCTACCCCCACTCTGAACCACTCTGCTCTCCCCGTCACCCACTCTGCAAACAGACGCTGCTCCTCCTCTGTGCAGCAGCGTCGAGGCCCTCATGTAGCCTCTCCCTCTCCTCCGTTCCTTCCCCATCCTCGTCCTCTCATCTCCTATTCTCTTCTCTCTTCCCTGTTCCTTTCCCTTTGCCCATGCATCGCCCCCTTGACTCTCCCCCCCCCCCTTCCCGTGGCGCCACCATGGGTACAACGCTAAGCAGTACAGGGGAGATGGCTATCTGATTTCCATGGAAACCAGCATTGACAAGCATGGTGAAGCATAGCCAAGTGACTCCTACGTACCCGTACAGGCATGGGGAGATCACCATCCAGAAGTAGATTGACACGAGAGCTGCAGCGTCTCTACGGACCTTGCCATTCCACATAACTTGGCCTAGCTGCAGACGTCACATGTTACGGCTGCTGTTGAATTCACCTTCACATCTCACTCCCCAACCCTTACCCTTCGTCCCACCCCCTGGCCCCCACCCGCTGACCCCACACCCCGGCCACGAGCCCCCCCGGCCCCGTACCCTCAGCATGCCAGGCGCGTCGCCATCCACCCAGCCGCCCCGGGCGGTAGCGGGGGACTTCCGGCTCGGGCTCTGCCGGATTCGGAAGCAGAACTGAGTGTCGCCGTGGCAACCTGGAGGAGGAGGGCGCAAGGGGATCACGACGGGAACCGCCTTCTCGGGAGGCCTGAGGGCCACTCGCTCACTGTGCTCTGAAGGCAGCAGCTGGATTCACTTAACTCAGACACTTCCGTTTATAGCCACTACTCAATTCGTATCTACACGAGAGGTGACCAGAGCTGGAACTGTTAGCCGACTCATCGATTCAAGGTTGTAATGGATCCATCTGTTTGTTCTGAATCTATATATGAATATCTGGCACACTCGCTGCATTTGACTCTGCTGATCGGACCCAAAGAGTCGAAACTGGTCCAGAGTTTGCTTGCTGAATAATATTGGTCAGGAAAGCCGATAGGCCAATGGACTATATCTATTTGTGTCCATTTGTGTATATACAGAACTTGACTTTATTAATAATTGACTTTTGGGTAAGGGCAAAAAGTGACCTGGCACGCATTTTTGTAATGAAGACCTCCACCACCGGTCACAGCCAAAAAAATGCATCGTCACATGCGCAAGCGATTAACAATACGTCGATTATTTTTGTTTCAGCTCACTCGGTGATAAGTTGGAGAACAATTCCCACAACCAGATCTAGCAGACAGAGATATGCGACGTTTAATTTAAAACTATGTCAACCTTCATCAGAGCAAGATCCAGAAAGTCAGAATGACGTATGTTCTCTCTAAACGCATTAAGTTCACTTCCCGTTTATGGGTTTTTGCAGCCAATATTATCATTCGTTGTTTTTATATATGATTAGGCCACGCAATGATGTGGTCATTTAGTTAAGTGACGGAACCCAAAAACGGATGATGAATCGTGATACTGCCTGCAAAAACCCATGCAGGTTTCCCTCACTGTACGTGGGTTGGGTTTGTGCGATTTTGCGGTTTTTACCCAAAATTTACTCGGGTTCGGTTTGAATTCACTCATGTGCCGCTACGTGGTCGGAGAGGGGGACTACACAGCCTGTGTACTGTGCGTGCTTCTCGGCAGGCAATATGCCTCGTGCGGTTTCGCTATGCGGTAGTTGTAGATGGAATGCATCTGCAGTGAGGGAGAAAGTATTTGATCCCCTGCTGATTTTGTATGTTTGCCCACTGACAAAGAAATGATCAGTCTATAATTTTAATGGTAGGTTTATTTGAACAGTGAGAGGCAGAATAACAACAACAAAATCCAGAAAAACGCATGTCAAAAATGTTATAAATTGATTTGCATTTTAATGAGGGAAATAAGTATTTGACCCCCTCTCAATCAGAAAGATTTCTGGCTCCCAGGTGTCTTTTATACAGGTAACGAGCTGAGATTAGGAGCACACTCTTAAAGGGAGTGCTCCTAATCTCAGCTTGTTACCTGTATAAAAGACACCTGCCCACAGAAGTAATCAATCAATCAGATTCCAAACTCTCCACCATGGCCAAGACCAAAGAGCTCTTCAAGGATGTTAGGGACAAAATTGTAGACCTACACAAGGCTGGAATGGGCTACAAGACCATTTCCAAGCAGCTTGGTGAGAAGGTGACAACAGTTGGTGCGATTATTCGCAAATGGAAGAAACACAAAAGAACTGTCAATCTCCCTCGGCCTGGGGCTCCATGCAAGATCTCACCTCGTGGAGTTGCAATGATCATGAGAACGGTGAGGAATCAGCCCAGAACTACACGGGAGGATCTTGTCAATGATCTCAAGGCAGCTGGGACCATAGTCACCAAGAAAACAATTGGTAACACACTACGCCGTGAAGGACTGAAATCATGCAGCGCCCGCAAGATCCCCCTGCTCAAGAAAGCACATATACATGCCCGTCTGAAGTTTGCCAATGAACATCTGAATGAATCAGAGGACAACTGGGTGAAAGTGTTGTGGTCAGATGAGACCAAAATGGAGCTCTTTGGCATCAACTCAACTCGCCGTGTTTGGAGGAGGAGGAATGCTGCCTATGACCCCAAGAACACCATCCCCACCGTCAAACATGGAGGTGAAAACATTATGCTTTGGGGATGTTTTTCTGCTAAGGGGACAGGACAACTTCACCGCATCAAAGGGATGATGGACGGGGCCATGTACCGTCAAATCTTGGGTGAGAATCTCCTTCCCTCAGCCAGGGCATTGAAAATGGGTCGTGGATGGGTATTCCAGCATGACAATGACCCAAAACACACGGCCAAGGCAACAAAGGAGTGGCTCAAGAAGAAGCACATTAAGATCCTGGAGTGGCCTAGCCAGTCTCCAGACCTTAATCCCATAGAAAATCTGTGGAGGGAGCTAAAGGTTCGAGTTGCCAAACGTCAGCCTCGAAACCTTAATGACTTGGAGAAGATCTGCAAAGAGGAGTGGGACAAAATCCCTCCTGAGTTGTGTGAAAACCTGGTGGCCAACTACAAGAAACGTCTGACCTCTGTGATTGCCAACAAGGGTTTTGCCACCAAGTACTAAGTCATGTTTTGCAGAGGGGTCAAATACTTATTTCCCTCATTAAAATGCAAATCAATTTATAACATTTTTTGACATGCGTATTTCTGGATTTTTGTTGTTGTTGTTGTTATTCTGTCTCTCACTGTTCAAATAAACCTACCATTAAAATTATAGACTGATCATTTCTTTGTCAGTGGGCAAACGTACAAAATCAGCAGGCGATCAAATACTTTTATCCCTCACTGTACCACGGCAGCATAGACCGAGGGAAACCTGTACGCCATTACCCACGATGCTCCACGGCAACAAATCACGGAGTTTGTGTATTTTGTTTTTTCATATTGCGGTCGATTACTTGAGCCCCGTAAAACAATTGGGGGGCTGATGCACGCGATGTGGAGCTTCAAGGTAAACCACACCTGTCAAGCCCTAATCAGTGCCCTACCTTATTACAGACAAATTCAGACCTTATTGGTCACCCGGTGCCCTTATAAATCTCAACGTTCATCCTACAAAGTCCCATCACAAGGAAGAAACACAAATAAATGGACAAAAACATTTTTTTTGCCCGTATTGAAATGGCTGAACGCCATGTGGAACCTGAAAACTCAATTTCCCTGTACAAGGATATGGTTAAAACGTATGGGGTTGACAGGTATGGGGAAACGTGTCACAACTTAATCAGCGACGAGAAGAAGAAAAAAACGTTGGGAAAATTAAAAAAAACACACCCACCACCGCAACTCTACCTGAATTAGAGTCTGGAAATGATAAGTAACAAATGTTGGTTTTCTAGAGGAACAAAAAAAACACAGACACACACAACAACAACAACAACAAAAAACAAAAGCATCACAAACTGCGAATGGGTCAAATGGTCAAACGTAAATACGCGGAAAATTCAAGGGGTAGGTCGCGGTCGGAGCGGTTTGTGGAGTGCGGCGAGGAGATGAGAGGGGAGCGATTGCCGGCGGAGAGTGCGAGCCACCGGATCGGTTCTCGAGGTGACCCGGAACCGATTATCACGGGGTCAGCGGAAGCACCCAGAACCTCGGGGCCTCGAGGAGGAAACTTGGGGTGACTCGGGGTGGGCGCCACGGGTTGAGTGAGGGTCCACCTACCTCTTTGTCGGTCAGCTGAATGTGGGGCGGGTACGTGAGCTGTCCACACACAGAGGCACGGAGACACATGGAGACAAAGTTACACACGCTAAGATCACCCCCCCCCCTCCTATATCCTTAAACAACAGACTGTTGGGGCAAGCACTGCCGGTCAGCACCTTTTAAGGGCAGGTTGGCACACGACGCAGGGGGTGGTGTGGCAGAAACTATGCCCGGCCGCCTTTGTCTCCCCACTGCTGATGTTTACGCACCGCATCTGGTACTCATTGAGGCTGAGTCGATCTCGAGGAGATGCCCAGGCACGGTTCAGATATTCGCCACTGATGTTGGCCGTGGGCAGGGATCAAACTCAGGTGCTTGGGTTCATAGCACAGTGCACTAACCATTCGACTAGCGCTCCCCACATAGACATAAATAATACTGGTAGGAACCTCCTGGTTACACCAGCCCACAGGGGAATATTGTGTCCGTCCGTCCGTCGTGCATCCAAAGATGGGAGGGGTGGGGCTGGGTGGAGAGGGGAGGGTGGGGAGGGGCTGGGTGGGGAGGGTGGGGAGGGGCTGGGTGGGGAGGGAGGGGCTGGGTGGGGGGTGGGGAGGGGCTAGTCACCCCGTGGTGCCCTTATAAAACTCAATGTTTAACCTACTCATGCCAGCTTGTGCCCGCCCTCACAGTCGGGCAAATTTGCGAAATACACCACGTGGTGCCGCCGTTGACCCTGGCCATTGACCGAGCAACCCAACGTTCCTACTAAATCCCTCCGCCGGAATGTGTTGACATGGACATGCAGGGACACATGGACACACAGAACCATTGGAGACACAGAACAATATGAGACACAGAACAATATGAGAGGCAGAACAATATGAGACACAGACTCGTGTACAAGCACACAGAGAGACAAAGAACAACTCTTGAATGTTCAACTCAGCAAGAACATTCACTTCCTCAGACAGATAACTTGTTAACAAAGAAGGCTGCAAAGTGATGCTCGAGATAAATGGGAAATATAACAAAATACCATACTACACCTCGCCATCAACACACCTCGTCACTACCATACTACACCTCATCATCAACACACCTCATCACTACCACACTACCCCTCAACATCAACACACCTCGTCACGACCACACACCTCATCAACATACCTCGTCACTACCATGCTACACCTCATCATCAACACACCTCGTCACTACCACACTACACCTCATCATCAACATACCTCGTCACTACCACACTACACCTCATCATCATCACACCTCGTCACAACCATACTACACCTCATCATCAACACACCTCGTCACTACCATAACACACCTCATCATCAACACACCTCGTCACTACCATACTACACCTCATCAACACACCTCGTCACTACCATACTCCACCTCATCATCATCACACCTCGTCACTACCATACTCCACCTCATCATCAACACACCTCGTCACTACCACACTACACCTCATCATCAACACACCTCGTCACTACCATACTACACCTCATCATCAACACACCTCGTGACTACCACACTACACCTCATCATCACACCTCGTCACTATCACACACCTCGTCACTACCATACTCCACCTCATCATCAACACACCTCGTCACTACCACACTACACCTCACCATCATCACACCTCGTCACTACCGCACTACACCTCATCATCACACCTCGTCACTACCACACTACACCTCAACATCAACACACCTCGTCACCACCGCACTACACCTCGTCATCATCACACCTCGTCACTACCATGCTACACCTCACCATCATCACAACTCGTCACTACCATACTACACCTCATCATCAACACACCTCGTCACTACCACACTACACCTCGTCACTACCATACCATACCTCATCATCATCACACCTCGTCACTACCACACTACACCTCATCATCAACATACCTCGTCACTACCATACTCAACCTCATCATCAACACACCTCGTCACTACCATACTACATCTCACCATCAACACAACTCGTCACTACCATACTACACCATCATCATCACACCTCGTCACTACCATACTACACCTCGTCATCAACACACCTCGTCACTACCACACTACACCTCATCAACACACCTCGTCACTACAACCTACTCATCATCATCACACCTCGTCACTACCACACTACACCTCATCATCATCACACCTCGTCACTACCACACTACACCTCACCATCAACACACCTCGTCACTACCACACTACACCTCATCATCAACACACCTCGTTACTACCACACTACTCACCATCCGAGACAAAACTTCCTCACTACCGCCCAAGACAAAGACCTCCTCACCACCAGCAAACCTCGGCACAAACACACCTCCTCATAACCCAACACTACACCTCTTCACGATTAAGAACCACAGGTTTGGTACGACACATGAAACACTTTACAACAATATGAACATTAGCAATAAAACTGCAACCCGAATAAAAGCCGGACCCCTGGCTCAGCAGGCCGACGCCTCGGTCTCGCCTAGACGACCCGGCCGGGCAGGGACGCCGCCTTCTCCCGCTGGCCCTACCTCCATCGCCTGGCCGAGCTCCAAGTCGAACGTGACCACACAAATAGCCCTGGCCCAGGCTGCGAAGCGGTCCCACGGTAGCAGGGAGGCTTCGTTGCCCTCCCTCAGAGGCGCCCGGCCGCACGCGTCCGTGTCCATTGAACCCGGAGGAGGAGGAGAGCGCGGTAGGCCCTCGAGCGAAGCCTACGGTCTTGCCTAGCGGATTGTCCCCTGCGGCGCGGGGGGGGGGGAGCGCCTAGGCCCCGGGTGTTCGGTCACGGCGTCAATAAAGTAAAGTTTAATTTTACATTAGAATGCGTGTGATTTCTTTACTCATAGTGAGACGCTAAATTACGAGTAATTACTCCTTGAGTAAAGTTACTGTTTTAACTGCTGGTGACCGGGGAGGGGAGGGGGTTGTTAAATGGGCTAGAGGTGAATTGTTTGTGGGTTGAGGCGTCAACGGGGGCGCAACTCGCCGACACTTTAAACAAAAAAACTAAAATAATCAATAAAACTCAACACGCTCGTACGTAATGCTATGTGGCGTTAGAAAACGGCGGAGGAAAACAACTATTTAATAGCCAACGTTTCGAGCGATGGCCCTTCACATCAGCGACATAGCGAGGCTAAAGAAACAATGGTTATTAATTTCGAGCTGCAGACTGGACATTTTAATCATAGTTTCATATTCTTAGTTTTTTCGGTAAAGTCACGTTGAAGAGAAACAACAAAATAACAAAATATATATAAAACAATAAAAAATTCTCACGACGTTTCGACCATAACTCAAACGGTCATCATCAGGTGTGTCGGTTATCATCACCTGATGATGACCGTTTGAGTTATGGTCGAAACGTCGTGAGAATTTTTTTATTTTTTTATTGTTTTATATATATTTTGTTATTTTGTTGTTTCTCTTCAACGTGACTTTACCGAAAAAACTAAGAATATGAATTACTGCAGTCACGAAAGCTTTAAATCAAAATTTCATAGTTTCATAGTTTAATTTATTTGGTGTTAGTCCCTGTGAGCCATTCGGCTCTTGAATCGGGTGCAACCGCAACAAAAAAACTAAAACACGAACAAGAAAAACATCTTAAAGTGATTATGTGTGACTGTTCAAACAGAAAATCCAGGGGAAAAAAAACATCAAAATATTCCTGAAATAGCACCGTTGGTTCTCGATGAGACTCAAATAAAAACATTTTCCCGATGTGACCGGGTTTTAAATAGCAAAGTTACTCAACAGCGACGTTACAGCACTTAATTCTCCAAATAGTAGGTGGACCGAAGCAACAAGAGGCGTGCATGTCCAACTCGTTATCAGTGCCCTACTTGTTACAGACCAATTCAGACCTTACTGATCACCCAGTACCCTTATACATCTCAACATTCATCCTACAAAGTCTCATCACAAGGAAGAAACAAACAGACAAAAACTAAATGTGACCGTATTTAAACGGCTGTACGCCGTATGGAACAGAAAACTCAATTTCCCTGTACAAGAAAGCGTATGGGTTGATTTGTTTGCAGTAACTACCAGACAGTCTCGTCCCTTCACCTGATGAAGGCCGCTTGTGTTGTGGCCGAAACGTCGTGAGAATATTATTGTGTTATTTTATTTTATCAATTTATTATTTTATTCTCATTCTACGTGACTTTACCGAAAGAACCAAAGAAGATTATTTCGGGCTGTTTACGTCACCCGTGACTCGACCACCTGTTCGACCTCATGTGACCCGTTCTCCTTGTCTGTCTGTATGTACTGTATGTGGCCAATTCCTATGCGTATATTGTTTACTCCACTACATCACCCCCCCCCCCCCCCCCCCGTGATGAAAGAACCTAGCCGTCCCCGGCTACGATATACTCGAATTGGAGTAGTGGAGTGAAGCGGACGGAACGATTACAACATATATACATAACGCATTTGCAATACACAACCATTTTGTACAATCACACAACGACACGCACACAACACCTTTATACAGAATTCCCAACCCCCAAAGTCAATGTATTGTATTCCTCCTGGAACGGGTTCCCGCTGCCGGTCCATCTCCCCTGCACGGGATACCCTGCGGTAAGGGAGGGCCTCGCTCGTCTTGCCAATGAACCCTGCGCCCATCCCTGTCCCAGCGACACTCAGCTGGCGGGCCTGTCCGTCGTTCACGGTCGGGACGGCCATTGCTCCGGATCTGTGGCCGTTCAATCGGCGTCCGGTCGGTAACCCTGCCCAAAAAGGGCGATCCTGCAGGCACATGGGGGGCAGATCTCTGGGACACGCGCACTTGTGACCTCCCCACAGGTTCGTCGGACACATCCAATACAGGCCGCTCTCGGATGGGGGATGACGCATCATATGGTAACACAAATTTCTTCAGGTGCGACGGGTGAACAAACCATGTCCGACGACCGAATTTTATTCGCACACTCTGATCCCGTAAAACCTCCACAATATCAACGGGCCCCTGCCAGGGGCGGTGAAACTTCGGGGACGTTCCCACCGGCACCATGGGGCAGTGCAACCAGGCTTTATCTCCAACACTCCACAGCTCTCGTGGCCGCTGCCTGCCGAACAATCTTTCGTTAGCGGATTGTCGTCGTTCCGTATTTTGCAATGCAGCCTCTCGGGCTTCCCTTAGACGGTCCAAAGCCACCTGCATCGGAGCAGGCACCGTCGTAGATTTCTCCCGTTTTCGAATCCCCAATTTTACAATAGCCAGCGCTTCCGGTTCCCGTCCATACATCAGAAAAAATGGCGAGTACCCCGTTGAGGCATGCAGGGCCAATCTATACGCGGCCAGCGTCGCTGCAACATGCAGATCCCAATCATCTTGAGCGGTGTTTACTTGGTGACTAAGCATGGACGTCAGCGTCCTATGCAGCCGCTCGACCATCCCGTCAGTCTGCGGGTGGTACGGGGACGTCCGGATCTTTTTGGTCCCCAGCGAGTCACACACGTCCTTAATCAATTTCGATGAAAAATTTCTGCCTTGGTCAGTAAGCAAATGTTCCGGGGCCCCCTTATCTAATACGTATCCTTTCAAGAAAGCCTCAGCGATCGACGTCGCTGACTGGTCTACTCGCGGCCATGCCATCGGCCAACGAGTTAAGTATTCCACCCCGACGAGCAAATATCTGTGCCCTCGGGGGGTGACGGGGAATGGACCCAAAATATCTAGTGCCACAATTTCGTTCACTCTCGAAACTTGAATCGATTGCAAAGGGACACGATATGGCCGTGCCAGCGCTTTCCTCCGTGCACATTCCTGGCACGCTTTTACATGCTGTTTCACATGGTTAAACATTCCCGGCCAGTAAAATTCACTCCCCACCGTCAACGCGGTCTTCTTCTCCCCCAGATGCATCAATTTCTCATGTATCTCGTTAATCAGTTTCCCCCGCAACACCTTCGGGACAACAATACACAATTTTTGTGCTTCCACATCCCAGCGAACAAGCAACCCCTCCGTTAACATCAAAAATGGGCGATCCTCCGATCCCCTTGAACGAGAGGCACGCAGCCTCATCCTGGTCAGCGAGGAATCTTCCACCTGCAGTTGCTTCCACTGCTTCAATGACAACCCCAACAGTCCAATTTCTGCTCCAGGGATTATCCCTGGCACCCCCGAACCTGCTGCAGCGACCGTTTGCGGAACCTCCTGCAGTGGGGGGCCGCAACGCAGCGAGCCCTCTGTGCACCGACACGTCTCAGCCGGTCGCGGCAACCTCGACAAAGCATCCGCGTTTACATGGTGCGTTCCTTTCCTATGCTGGAACGTGAAAGAGTACTCCTGGAGGGTCTCAATCCAGCGAGCCATTTGCCCCAACGGCTGATCCACGCGCAGCGAGTACTGTAGTGCCGCGTGATCAGTGCGGATCAAAAATTCCCTGCCGTATAGATACGGTCGGTACTGGCGCACAAAATGGACAATCGCCAATAATTCCCTACGCGTCATACAGTATTTTTGCTCCGCCGGCGATAACACCCGGCTGCCATATGCCACCACTCTCTCGACGCCATCAACCATTTGTGACAAAACCGCGCCTATGCCCGTATCACAGGCATCCATGTCAAGTATAAATCGCTTCGTAAAATCCGGGTATCCCAACGGCGGTGCGTTCGCCAGTGCGGCCCGCAACGCTTCAAACGATTTTTGTTCAGCAATCCCCCATTGAAACTTCACACTTTTCCCGGTCAGCGTATGCAATGGTCGAGCAATCGTGGCAAAATCCTTAACGAACCGCCGATAATACAACGCAAAGCCCACAAAGCTACGCACTTCCCCTGCTGTTTTCGGCATTGGCCATGTACGCACACAACTCGTCTTTTCCGGATCAGTGGCCACTCCTGACGCGCTATCGACGTGCCCCAAATACTTCACCGATGTTCTTAACAATTGGCACTTCTGTGGTTTAAATTTCAATCCAGCGCGCCGCACTCTGCCAAAAACGGCGCGCAGCCGTTGCAAATGTTCATCGAAATTCCTACTGAAAACAATCACATCATCTAAATATATCAAGCATGACTCCCACTGCAGGCCCAACAACACGAGTTCCATTAATCGCTGGAAGGTCGCCGGCGCTGAGTGGAGTCCCATCGGGAGCACGTTAAATTGATACAATCCTTGTGGTGTCCGAAATGCCGTTTTAGGTCTTGACTCCTTATCCAGGGGCAATTACCAAAAGCCCGACAACAAATCGAGGGTCGAAAAGATTCTGGCGCCGGACAGGGCGTCCAGTGAATCATCAATTTGTGGAAGCGGGTACGCTTCCACCACCGAAACTTTATTCAATTTCCGATAGTCAACACAAAATCGCATGGTTCCGTCACATTTTTTAACGAGGACAATAGGGGCTCCCCACGGGCTGGACGATGGGGCGATAATATCCTGCTCTAGCATTTCATCAACAGATCGCCGAATACATTCTTTCTCAAGAGGACCTACACGATGCGAATTTAGCCTGATCGGGGGTGCGTTCCCCGTGTCAATACGATGCTGCAACAACGTCGTTCGACCCACGTCGTATTTCCCTGAACTGAACACATCCTTAAATTCCACTAGCAACGCATGCAAACTCGACCGTTGCACAGGCGATAACTCTGGGTTTTGTTTGTAAAGATCCCTTAACCATTCCGGATCGTCCTCCTCCCTTGACAACATTTTATCCTGTCCCGTAGCAAAACATGTTTTTGTTTCTGGACCCGGCGCACCCGTTGTGTGCGCCAACGTAGTGCCCCCTTGAATAACAACCTCTTCGTGCCCCGTGTTTACAATTTGAATGAAGTGATCACAATAAGTTGGTATGATGGTCAAAGCTCCTACCACGGTGGGCATTCTCAACACAGCATTTGAGGGTGTCAACAGCACTCCCTCCTGTAGCTCATCCCAAGGCAATTCCTTCTTTAACCGTAGCGGTACCAATATTTGCGATGCAGGCGGGACGCGCACGGTGCGGCTCACCACGGCCTGCACCACAGCGTTCGCCACCGCAAATTTCGAAGGCGTCCCCAAAAATTTTATACATCTCCCCGACGGTAATTCCAAACAACCTTTTTCATATGAAATTTTAATTGGCATCTTTTTCAAGAAATCCGTGCCCAACAAACACGGTACCGCCAAGGCCGTTGAAACCAAAACACTTACTGTCACAATAACCTCCCCAATTTGAATTGTCGCAACCACGCAGCCCATAATGCCCAAACTACCCCCGTTTGCCGCTACAAATGGCCCTTCCACTGGCGCTAACGATCCGGGCGACGTCGGCAGCGACCGAAAAGTTTGCAACGAAATGAGAGTCGCCGATGCCCCGGTATCTACAATAACCCGTACCATAACACCTTGAATACATGCCATCACATCCGACGATCCCGGCGCGGCCCCCAACACACGATGTACCAACGCGCCCCACATATCCCGGCCATGCATACTATCCGAACCCGATGAATACGGTTGAGATGACGCGGATGAGTGATGTGGATAGGGCGGCCGTGTATTGAATGCATCTCGACTCACCCGGGATCCTTGGTCTTGGGGGAACCGCCCGCTGTAGTTGTTCGGCGCCCACAGAGGACCACCTCTTCGTCTCCAGCAGTCGCGGGCGAGATGACCCCTCCGCCCGCACTCGTAGCATATCCGATGCACGCCGTCTCCATATACCCCGGGACGACGCCGTCGTTCTCCGGTCGACACCCCGGCCGCCGCTGCCATCGGCGGCGTCTCGTCCACCACCACCGCCACCGTGCTCGCAGCCCCGGCAGGGGTCGTCAGTGACGGCTGCGCTACCGCAGCAGCTGGTTCGTCTCATATATCAAGGTTGACTTGTATGTTCCTGGCGATCAGCAACGATGACACATCATCGTCATCATCCTTGTCCGGAAGCGACAAGACGACTTTCAGTTCCTTCGCCAGCTGTAACATCTTCTCTTGCAGCAGGGAGTCCCAGCCCTCCTCGTCCATCGCCGGGTACGCAACCTGGGCGAGGGCCAGCAAGGCGCTGCGGAATGCCAGGGGGGACTCCGTGGCCTCCCGTTTCCTCTGTTGAAATCGACGTTTGGCGACCGACCGCGGCTCGTAGACCTTCCTCATTGCCGCAATAGCACCGTCCAATGTTTTTCTGACAGTGGCAGGGAATCCGTTAAAAGTCGCTAAGGAGTCATCATCCAATGCCGTCGGCAGTGCTCGTAACGCGGCACTCTCCGTCCAATTCAGGGACTCGTAAGCCGCACGGAATCTTCGTATGAATGCCATCCAATCTCCCACTTTGGCCTCAAATCGTTGTACGTGTAGCCGTCGTGGCGGTCCCTCCGACTGGTCGTCTTCGTCGTCAGAATCTTCCAACCGCTCCAGCTGAGCGGCAACCTCCGGCGGTGGACCCGGTACGGGTAGTTGAATGCGGTTCTCCGTCAAGAAGTTCTGGAATTCCTCCGACAACTTCTCCATCCTGGCCTCCCACTGGGTCATGAGGACTCGCCAATCCTCTGGCGATCCCGGGCCTTCAGCACCACCCGAACCGCTGTCACCGTCCGGAGTACTGCCGGCCATCTGGCCGGGCTGCAAATCGTCGTTGTCGCTGTCGCCGCCCGAGTCCACTGGCACATTTCTTTTCTTTGCCGCTTTCCTTGACATCGTGGCGTGTTCCGTACTTTTTCTGACACCAAATGTAGTGCCGTGAATTCACTCGGACGACAACCGTCTCTTTTCCGCCATTACTTTTATTCCATCGTTCCGTACACACAGTAATTCTCTTCGCGCTCCGCCAACTCGGACACTCCGATTTACTTCAGCATCGTCCGTGCATCCCCTTCCACACACAGTGTTTCTTCCTCTATCTCTTCACACACAGTGTCTTCCCTTCCACACACAGTGGTTCGTCTTCTATCTCCTCACACACAGTATCGCCGCTATCTCTTCACACGCAGGGACTTCCCTTCCACACACAGTGGTTCTTCTTCTATTTAGTCACACACAGTAGCCTGTCTGTCTATTCACACACAGTGACTCCATCTATCTATTCACACACAGTGACTCCATCTATCTATTCACACACAGTGACTCTATCTCCGCTAACGCTAACTCTCCCTATCGCTATTTACTGTCTTTGGGGTTCGGCTCTCTATCTATTCTTCCCTAACATTGCCAGCTGTCCTCTTCGCATCTCTCCACCTCTCGCCAACAACTGCCCAGCAACAACTCTCTCTCCATTCAAATCACCTCGCGTTTTATCCCCTTTCGCATTAGCCTTAATTAATTGCCACGTGGCTCGCTGGCCGTTTTCCGCCAGCTCGCATCTGTCCCCTCCTTCAGACATCGAGACGCCACCACTTAACGCTAACAGCCTCTCGACCAATCACAACCCTCGTGCCACGACTCCCTTAATTACTTCGGGTTGTTTACGCCACCCGTGACTCGACCACCTGTTCGACCTCATGTGACCCGTTCTCCTTGTCTGTCTGTATGTACTGTATGTGGCCAATTCCTATGCGTATTGTTTACTCCACTACAATTGTACAGGGAAATTGAGTTTCTGTTCCATACGGCGTACAGCCGTTTAAATACGACCAACATGTTTTTGTCTTTTGATTTAAAGCTTTCGTGACTGCAGTAATTCATATTCTTAGTTTTTTCGGTAAAGTCACGTTGAAGAGAAACAACAAAATAACAAAATATATATAAAACAATAAAAAAAAAATTCTCACGACGTTTCGACCATAACTCAAACCGACACACCTGATGATGACCGTTTGAGTTATGGTCGAAACGTCGTGAGAATTTTTTTTAATTGTTTTATATATATTTTGTTATTTTGTTGTTTCTCTTCAACGTGACTTTACCGAAAAAACTAAGAATATGTTTTTGTCTATTTGTTTGTGTTTCTCTGTTGTTGTGGTGGGACTTTGTAGGATGAACTTTGATATTTATCAGGGCACAGGGTGATCAATTAAGGTCTGAATCGGTCTGTGATAAGATAGGCACTGATAAGGGGAACAGACACATGATGAATACCCGCAGTTACGAATATTAATATTAAATATGCATATCAAGAACCACATTATCTTTACGAATGATTATTTTTGTAACGAGTGTTTGGCTTCTTGTGGGAGGAAAGTGAACTCAGGAGAAACCCCGCAGAGCACAAGAAGGGGGTTGATGCTGCAAAAAGGTCTGCACAGATGGATGCAGGAATCCACTTTCTTTACTGCCATAATCCTTGCTTCCCAAGTACTTTATCACAACAGGTGTGCACCACAGCAGACACTTTTAATATAAATTAAGATGTTTATTTTATATTTCAGTCGCTGTATATACAAAGTCACGATCCTAACTTACCATGCAGCAATATAAAGGACGATTTGGCAAACATTAAATACATTTCAAATTACTCAAGAATTACATTTGCTCATGCACATTTAAAGTTAGGGGTCAAGTTTTTACAATACGGACACGTCTCACTTAAAACGCCCTTGCTTTGTGGGGAAGTCAGCAACCTAATAATGTGAAATTTCCACCATTGGCTCTGGACCACCCTGACCAGGTAAGGGCCCATGTGGGATCGCCGCCCAGATCTTGTTTCTGGGACGCAGCGCCACTCATTGGGGGTCCCTGATCCACGCGGTTTGGGGAATTGCCTCTTTTCCAATTGTTTTTCTCAAAATGTTCCGGTGTCCTAATTGTCAACAAAGGGGAGTGGGGAGGGAGACACTGTCAAGACCCCTGGACTTCCTGGACTATTTAAACAAACAAAAAAACCCCACAAGCATACTAAACCAGATCAAAGCAGAGAGACGGGAGTCATTACACTGGCTTTATATCAAATAGTGGCATCGTCAACATCACCATCACCACCTTCCACCATCATCACATGACAGGAACGCGCGCACACCCAGCCAATCCCACGCGGTTACGCATTCCGCAACCGGAGACAATTTAACGGGGAAATAACCAGTTTCATGAAACACTTGAACAGTGAGAAGAAAATAGTATTTAAAAATATTTTACACCGCTGTACACCACAAACGTGAGCACAACCGTCACGTGGCAGTGTGTGCCGCAGTGCAGCCCATTTTAATCAGAGCCTCTTAAAAAATGAAAACATTTAGACTGTCTCAGGTTGGATATCAACTGGTAGTAATAACACAAACACAGGCGGGAGTTTGAACTGAAGTTAAGTGTCACCGGGTGTGACCAAGCGTCCAATAGCCGACATTCCTATTGTGTGGGTGGAATTTCCCAAGATGGGCAGTTCATACCTGTCAACCCCATACGATTTACCCGTTATTCTTGTACAGGGAAATTGAGTTGTTAAGTCCACACGGCACACACCCGTTTCAATACGGGGAAAACATACATAATTTGTGTCTATTTGTTTGTGTTTCTCCCTTGTGATGGGACTTTGTAGGATGAACGTTGAGATTTATAAGGGGTACGGGGTGACCAATAAGGTCTGAATCGGTCTGTAATAAGGTAGGCACCGATAAGGGGTTTACAGGTAGGGCAGTTACACAAATTCGGCAACCTTAGATTCAACATAATACGCATGGGGAATAATTTTGAAGGTACAGTAATTTTAGTTTTGTGACGGGCAATAAAATCCTCGTTGTGGGTCGACTCAGCCAATCATCCCTCAGGTCACTAAAACGGGTCGCAAACGTTGTGGTGAAATTAACAGTGATTGTCCGATGGAAGAGACTCGCCCCCGCCATAGGAATGTGGAAATTCCACCACTGGCTCTGTAGGTCACTGCTCATTGGAGCAGGAAATCCCTTATGACTCCGTTTGTTTTTCGTACGTCCGACATTGACATTTTAAGAGCATTTGCCCCTGATCAAGTCGCAATTACTTGACATTTTATGAAAAAATAAACCACTGAATGGTTAAATTAATGATTATCCACCTTTTGAAAGGGTAGAAAAATATACATCCGAAATTGTGGATTTACCTAAATGCTTAAGTCTGTATGTTGAACTTCTTTCGTACAACACGTAGCCAACCTGTGCTGTAATGAGTTCACTATGTGTTCACCTGTGCTGTAATGAGTTCACTGTGCTGTAATGATTGAATGAGTTCACTATGTGTTCACCTGTGCTGTAATGAGTTCACTATGTGCTGTAATGATTGAATGAGTTCACTATGTGTTCACCTGTGCTGTAATGAGTTCACTGTGCTGTAATGATTGAATGAGTTCACTGTGTTCACCTGTGCTGTAATGTGTTCACTGTGCTGTAATGATTGAATGAGTTCACTGTGTTCACCTGTGCTGTAATGAGTTCACTATGTGCTGTAATGATTGAATGAGTTCACTACGTGTTCACCTGTGCTGTAATGAGTTCACTATGTGCTGTAATGATTGAATGAGTTCACTATGTGTTCACTTGTGCTGTAATGAGTTCACTGTGCTGTAATGATTGAATGAGTTCACTACGTGTTCACCTGTGCTGTAATGAGTTCACTATGTGCTGTAATGATTGAATAAGTTCAGTGTGTTCACCTGTGCTGTAATGAGTTCAATGTGCTGTAATGATTGAATGAGTTCACTGTGTTCACCTGTGCTGTGAGTTCACCGTGCTGTAATGATTGAATAAGTTCACTGTGTTCACCTGTGCTGTAATGAGTTCACTATGTGCTGTAATGATTGAATGAGTTCACTACGTGTTCACCTGTGCTGTAATGAGTTCACTGTGCTGTAATGATTGAATGAGTTCACTACGTGTTCACCTGTGCTGTAATGAGTTCACTATGTGCTGTAATGATTGAATGAGTTCACTACGTGTTCACCTGTGCTGTAATGAGTTCACTGTGCTGTAATGATTGAATGAGTTCACTGTGTTCACCTGTGCTGTAATGAGTTCACTGTGCTGTAATGATTGAATGAGTTCACTATGAGTTCACTGTGCTGTAATGATTGAATGAGTTCACTATGTGTTCACCTGTGCTGTAATGAGTTCACTGTGCTGTAATGATTGAATGAGTTCACTGTGTTCACCTGTGCTGTAATGAGTTCACTGTGCTGTAATGATTGAATGAGTTCACTATGTGTTCACCTGTGCTGTAATGATTCAAGCGCCGAATGGCTCAACTAAATAAATGAAACTGAAAACTAGACTTGCTATAATATAACTGCCAGAGGAGCAAAGCTAACCAGACCTGCTCACAACCGAGGCATCGACCCACCGGTGTGGGTCGATGCCAGGTTTAATACAACCGGCCACCGATGTTTAATTGTGAAAAGCATTCCTGTTGTTCAGCATCTTTAGACATTATTTATTTGAGACAATCTATACATTAAAGTTGTATTGTACGATTGTAACGGTTAAACGGGGGTGGGACCCCAAACCTCAAGACACACACACACACGTGGTCACGTGGGGTGGGCACACGGCCGGTACCGCAGGATTTTGCATTTTATAAATCGGTGGCAGCGCCTCGTCGGGAGGACTTGTCTGGCTCCGCTGCCATGGGGCGAGTGCACCGGGCACCTCTCACTCACGCAGATGTTTTCGGTTTTTTTTTCCCCCCTCCAAATAAAGTTTTATTGACGAATCCAAAATGAGCTGCGTCGAGCCGAACTTGACCATGCCTGGGAGTCGCATGCGGCGCACGACCCCCACGTGGTGTGGTCACTCCTGGTGCATAACTTGAGCCAATGGGGGGGGGGGGGTGTCACGAACCCAGCGGACAACATGCAGAGTGGCTGGCTCTTCATCGTGTCTGGGGACTGCTGACAAAAGCTGCCCTCTCTCACCTAGGGGTTAAACAAAGGTCTCTCTAAACCCAAAGCCATTCATGCCATGGGACAGAAGAAAAATATAAACCATCGACAAAACCAAAAACACAGCAGTGTCCTTGAAAAGAGCGTGTGGGTGGCTATACCGTTTCCCGCGTTGAAATAGATTGAAAATGGCACTCCCAAATTTCAGATATACCTACTATAATCACCCAGGAACGTGTCCTTAACGCTCGTGACGTCACTCCACAGCGACCAGCCCCCTCATTAATATTCATGAGCAGGTGACGTCCTCCAAATGGACACCCAGCCTCCATACATAATAATTAGCGGCTGACGTCACTCCACATGGGGGGGGACGAGGCGCCTCCTCCCCCCTCCTCCGCGTCAACTTACAACCCTCACTACAAAGGCAGAACCCTCACGTCACGTGATCTCCGTGACGCTGTTGAGACATCAAAGTAAAAAGGACGTCATGATGAACAAGGGATTATAACCTTAAAATGAAATAGGTCTGTGTCACCGCACCCTTACAAATTGCACACGCATTAATGCAATGAATATCACGTCGCGGTCTGATTTTTGCTTACAAGTTTAAGATTTACTGCAATACGCCCGTCCTTGGACCGGGCAAAAAGCGAGTTTGAACGTTAAAAAGCAAAGATACGCCGACTTGGCTGTCCACTGTTAACCTCGCGCTGTGCCGAGCCACCACGTGCCAGGCAGTCCCAGTTTTGTATTGCACTGTACTGCAGAGTACCTCTTGTAAAGTTACTGCTTCACCACACCTCCAGACCGAGTTGCTACATTTAAATTGTTCCAAAGTTACGTTATAACATTCACGTTCGATGCTATGTGGCTTAACGTAACGTGAATGTTACGTTAAAATCACAACCTGAAAATGGGCTCAATGTTGGGTCTTCATGGAAGTAACGTAGTTTTGCGAAGAAAATCGGATACGCTAGGGACACTAGCTCTGAATCACCCCGGTATTTCGAGGACCCCCACCGCTGCACCTGTGTGGATTTTCTTAAACCCGACAAATGCAGACCTAAACCCAAAGCAGAACGGAGGTCAGGGGTAAAATTGTCTCCACTCAAATCGCTCCTCTTCTTCTCTGCGGTTTTTATAAACGCCGCAGGGAGAGAACGTGTAAAACCTCAGTGAGTGCAGGTGGGCGCTTGGCTCGCTCGTTACACCCGTCCAGGCAACGTTCAGCGCTGCTGGCCAGCACTAAAATCTCAACTTCATTGTGTACCCTCTGGAGGAGGGAAGAGGGGGAGAATGATTCAGGGAGATAAACGAGACGCATGGAGAAAGGGGGATACAAGGCAGGTACAGTACGTCGCATATCCGACCGTCACATATTAGTCATGACCAAGTACGCGCCCGCACCAAGCGCAGTATGGGCGCACGGCGCGATTCGCATTTGCCTAGACGATCAAAAATGTGACTGTTTCACGGAGTCATGCTTTTTCTTAACTCTGTGTACAATCGCTCACTTCTCAAGTACACAAGTAAGCATTTCCCCACCTTCACAAGAGTCTGCGCTTCATTTTTTTACAGTCGCCTATTTGCGCGACTCATTTTCCACATGTCCACCAATCTGACCACGTTACACACATGAGAGTCGGATATGCGACGTTGTGCTGTAAAGGAGATGCACTGGACAGGCACAAACAGGAGGAAGCAGTGGTGCAAAATTGGACACGCAAAAAAAACGCGAGGCAGAGAAAGGCCCACGAGTGGGCGTCGCGTGCAGCAGGTTCAAGGGCGGACGCAGAAAAATCTGGGAGCGACTGGGGCAGGAATCGTCATTTCTGTCCGCACACCGATGGATACTTTCCAGGTCGCTGATAGTCTGGAGTAGGCGGTAGGTGACTTCTGTACACAGCCATAGAGCAGGAGTTATACCAGAAATGGTGTGACGAGTGCCGATACATTTTTTGGGTGACCGAGTCGGACAAACCATGCAGAGATTAAACTCTCGACGGTGGGGGGGGGGAGTAAGATGATGGTTTTGAGAAATGCTAGGAGCTGGGTAAAGAAGGACTGGGGTACAAGAGCAGCAGGATCAACTCACGCACACACACAATCTTCACGCAAGCACGGCACACACACACACGTCTCCCACAAAGTGGAAACAGAGGCGTCACTTCTTTTTCACCTCTCATAATTATTAACGCTATCGTCTCGTCTGTACATGCAGTGCAACAAGTGTGCAAACTCATTCCCCGAAGAAAACCGTGTGGGGTTTGTATTTTTATAATCGTTAAGCGTAAAGCATTTTTTCCATTGGCACATCCGAACCGAGCCGGCGCAAGGCGCTCGTGGTACAGGGGTCGTTTTTCCACTTGCCGTTTTCAGAGTCAAAAACAAATTGTGATCATTCTGGCCTTGCAAAACATCTGAATCCAGCGTGGTGCCAAACAGGCCCAGGGGCAACAGAAGTGCAACTCAAAACGCAGCATCATGCGTCTTCGAATTATTCATTACGTGTTAAAATTGCGGCACACGGCTCGGATTCTACAGTGGAAAAACCAGGCGCCTCATGAACTGCGCCAAGCTGGTTCGGCACAGCCCAGGCGAGGTTCGGTAGTGCAGTGGAAAAATGGCAATAAACGCGCGACATTGCGCAACGGCCAATGGGCGGGCGCACGGCGACCAGGACGCACAAGCGACCATGATCCCTCCCTGGGAGGGAGGGAGGGGGGGCGGAGGTCACAGGAGATCAAAAAAACAGACACAAGCGACCTGGCGAGGGTCTCAACACACTGGATGTCACGACGCAGGAGGACGTGGGTCAGAGTCGCTCTGCAGGGGAGGAGCTCGTACCAACTCTCCACGTGCTCCCAATAACCCCTTACAAAACAGCCACGCATGGCAAACCGACTGCAGCCCGGCTCCTGGGACTTCAGTTCCTCTTCCTCTGTGCACACGCACCACTCGTGCCGGACGATTGGAAGGTGTGGAGACCTGCACGAGCAAGAGTTCATCCCCGTGGAGCGCCTCTACGGTTCGCCCGTCCGGGTTAACCCTGCCCAACGTAGCCTGACATTGAGGTCACAGCCGAAAGGGGCATGGAGGGACGGGCCACAGGTCCTGGAGTCAGAGAGAAGTGCTGTGGATTCCAGACATCACCAGTGACACACCCACGCTCATACCCCGCCACATCCTCCCACGACGACGCCACCCGCAACTGTACAACCCCCGATCCAGAGCCACCACTAACCCCCGTTTCTCTATGACCTTCAGGATTCCAGAAGCAAGTTTGTAACAAACTCCAGCAAATGACAACATGTTGCGCTTAAACAGGGTAATGTAGTACTAATCATTAACACCGCCAAATATGTTACAGTAGTATTCGATGTGTCATACTGCGGATACCCCACGATAAATGACTTATAACGATGTTTGCGTATAATAGAAAACCCAATAGGTAGAAACAATTAACGATTTAGCAACCTTATTTCATATTCAAATTAAAAGTAAGGGACTCAATCGGTGTTGTTATACAATCCGCGACCTTTAGCGGAAAGTAAATAAACTTCCCACAATAAAAAAAGGAGAGTTTGGGGATGGACGTGCAACAAAAATAGGAGCCCTGCCACGTGCTACTGACGAGTGAATTTTACACAAACCCGCGTCGCGAGGAACCGATCAGATTATGACCGGAACATCGAGCCGTTTCCAGCCTGTGTGGGTGGTGTGGTAGAGCCGCTGGGTTTTCTCGTGGATCAGTGCTCCGCAATCGACGCCGCAAAACGAGCACGACCGAGCGACGACGCCCTTCGCGATGCGACTCGCTTCAAACTACGGAGGAGAGGCGGGGATTCTTTTCTACGACGTCGATTGATACCACAGATGTCAAAATATTCCGCTGAACTTTCCCTGCCCCCTCCACCCCACCCTCGGCCCACCCTCACGGTCGCCGCCGTTTGTCGAAGACCTCGTAAATTTTGACCGAACTCTCTTTTTTTTTCGCAGCTGAAAACGTCCAGTGGCTGCCACTGGAAAGAGGGACTGGGAAACGCGGTCCAGCACCGCCACCACCCTGACCGCCACCGCCGCCACCATGCCCTCCTCGCTACCGCATCATCAGTCCACCTCCTCCATGTCGGTGAATGCCAGCGGGGAGGCCGGCACTGCGGGCTGGGCAGGCGGCTCGCGCAGCCTGGCGCCGGCAGAGGACAGCGCCGCCAGCTCCGCCGCGCCATCGCCTGGCGCCTCATCCTGCAGGCAGTACAGTGGGGGGGGGGGGGGCGGAAGCGAACGAATGGCACACGCGGTTTTTAGAAGCCACGTGCGGGAAACATGCAGCGAGATTCGCGTGGAGTTTGGATCGTTCATCGGTCAAATCCAGTTGATCGCTCAGTGGGAGGTCGCTCATTCTCCTCTGCTGCCACCCCCTTCCGTGATCCCCCAGTGGTCCCCCAGTGGTCCATGCTGTCAACTGCCTGCCCCTTTTCAAGTATTGGTACAAGTCCCTATTGAATTTAGTAAACCGCATTTTTTTTCTGTCCACTGCCTGCCCCTTTTCAAGTATTGGTACAAGTCCCTATTGAATTTAGTAAACCACATTTTTTTGCAACAAGTGAATTGGAAACCAGGTATGTGAGAGTCAATCCATCCGCCTCTCTCACCAGAGTAAATTTTGTACGTAGAATTGGAGGAAAATATTCGTCAGACTCAAGTTAAAAGTAAGAATCACTCGCTAAGTTGACCCTGCTCCCGTCCACGGCAACGAACCCTGAAGCAATGGTCGGAGTGCGCACGTGGGACACGAGTGAATCGACCAGAAACACGACATTCCTTCCGCGATGAAACCGCCGTGCGTCACTCGCCCTCGTCACGCTCGCCATTCCAGAGAACCCCCCCCCCCCCCCCCCCCCGGTTGGCACGCGGGCGCTTCGGTGGCGTAAAAAACACGTGCACTGAAGCCAACTCCGTTCACCGAGTGAGGTCGGAGAGAGGGGGGGGAACGCATATGATGAGACACGCCGACGCATCAACCAAACGTTGCAGCCGGTCGCTCCCGTGATGTACTTACATGATATGACAACTATCACGAAATCAGCTTCTCATAAATTGTCATTGTATTCAGCATTTTTTTTACCGCTCTGCTGTACTTCCAGGCACAAAAATACAGTAAAACCTTGGATTGCGAATAACTTGGTCTGCGAGCGTTTTGCAAGACGAGCAATTTTTTTTTATATAAATATTAATTTGATAAACGAGCGAGGTCTTGCAATACGAGTAGTAGTACGTATACGCTTTGTCTGCCGAGCGTCACGTGATCACAACTGATATACGAGTGCTTTGATATACGAGTGCTTTGGATTACAAACACGTTTCCGGAACGAATTATGCTCGCAATCCAAGGTTTCACTGTATTTTAAATCTAGCGCCATTCATGCAAATTAAACCAGAAAACATTAAATATGGCAAACCACATTGAAATCATACATTGTACGAGAACACCAAGAAAAATAACACAAAACCAGATCAAGGATACGGCGGTGAACACAACACGAACACGAGAGAACACCACAAAGACAACACCGACACAATCATGCCCAAAGGAAGAGAGTTGCACAACGTTAGTGCGACCCACCATAACTTTTAAGCCCACACACAGTGTTTCTGAAAATGTAAAATTTGTTATAAACAGAATCGATCGCTGGATAAAACCACGCCCCGCGAGCCGCTCACCCTGGTGCTGACGGCGCCGGCAGCACCAGGGTCAACCCCAGCGTGCGGGGCTGGTGGTGCGGAGGGGCGTGGCACGGGCGAGTCGCGGCGCCGGTACAGCAGCACGTAGGCGTGGCGGGTCACTACATCCGACTCATCCACCTCCACCACCGCGCTGTCGTCAAACAGCCGCCAACCTACAAAGCAGAGTGACACGGGGCGGTGAGCGACTCGCGCGATTATGCGCGCGGTGAGCGACACGCGCACGGCATCTGCAGCAGACGTGCGAGGGCGACGTGAGCGAGTGCGGCGAGCGATGTCCGCGGTCGAGGTCAGAGTCGCAGTGCAAGTGCACCGAGTGTAACGCGTCAACTGCTGCGATCGTGCTGTGGGTGTGGTGTGCGAGGGCCAGTGAGAGTGCGGTGAGCACGGCACGCGCGTGCGAGAGTGTGCGGATTGCCGTCCGAGTCCGGTAAGGGTAGCGTGATCACCACCGCGATCATGGTGGTGATGGTGTGTTGGTGGTGCTCCGAGCGGTGGCTGCAGTAATTGTGGTGGTGGTGCGGCAGTGCTGGCGATGGTGTGGCCCTGATGGTGTTTGTGCTGGACACATACCGATGTGGTTGTGCCTTGTGTCGTGAGCGTGCGGCAGTCGTGCGAAGGCCGTGTAGTGGCCCCCCACCATGCCCCCGTAGTGGTTGATGACTCCGTACAGGTCGTACACCGGTGGGGGTCCCCCACCCCCGGGGCCCTCGCCCCCCCCGGCACCATCCACGCCGCCACCGCTGCAACCGCCTCCGCCACGCGTCGCACGCACCCCAAACTCACTCAGGTCCAGCTCCCTACGGGGTCACCAACATCACAAGGAGGTCAGGGTGGTGAGATGTGAACTTTGCTAAAGTATGCGAGTGTGCACGCGCGTGTGTGTGTGTGTGTGCAACAGTGTGCGTGCTTGTGGGGAGCAGTGGCACAGTGCTGAGCGCATCGCACGACAAACCTGGCGAGTTGAATTTGATTTCCGGCCACGGCCAACGTCAGTGTCAAGTGTGTGTGCAGGTGGCTGTGTGCAAGTGCAGGAGTGTGTGTACACACACCGGTATGCTTGTGTATACGTATGGTTGTGTATGTTAACACACGTGCAGGTGTGCGTGTATACACACAGGCATGTGCGTGTGTCCATGTACGGGTGCGCGTGTACATGTATGAGTGCGTGTACACACGCCACCACACCTGACGGGGAAGGCGACCATGCTGTTGAGCTTGTCGCGCCACAGAAGGTTGCGGAAGGAGAAGCGCTTGAGCTGCACGATGAGCACATTGGGCAGGCGCCACAGAGACAGCTGCTTGGACGCCTGCCGGTGGGTCTTGCACACGGGGCAGTACCTGCCGTGACACACGAAGACAAAGACCCCCCCCCCCCCCGCGTAGCCTTTAACAGTTGGGACAAGTGGTGTCAGCGAGCAGCACCCATGGAGGTTGGCATAGGACACGAGGGGGTGGGTGGCCAGCACCACGCACGGTAACCTTCGTCTCCCCAGAGCTGATGTTTACACACCACGCCAGGTACTCATGGCCTATTCGACCTCCAGGAGGCCCAAGGCCGGTTCAGATACTTGTCACCGGTGTTGGCTGTGAGTGGAAATCGAACTTGGGTCACTTGGTTCTTAGCGCAATGCGCTAACCACTGTACTGCCACTCCACTTTCAGATCTATATGGACAATAGACAAACATCCCCTGTATAGCCTTAACAGACTTTTGAAGCAAGTGCTGTTAGCGAGCACCGATGAAGCCCGGCACGGTACACGAGGGGGTGGGTGGTTCAGCTACACATACAACACACATATGGATGCACACAGGTATGTGTGTGTGCGCGCGCGTGTGCTTTCTGCACCCACCAGGCCTCCTCCGGTGCCAGTTTTTCAGGCCGCGTGAACAGCTGCAGGCACTGCTGCAGGGTCACGACCCCGCCGGTCGCCCCTCCCATCTCCCGGGTCACCACGGCGACAGCGTCGCGGTAACGCTCGTGGTTCCTCCACTCCAGCACAAGATGCGCGTCGACGGGGAGTGCCAGAGGCATCTCGCCTGAGTCCGAACACACGACAGAGACGCAGAGCGACACAATTCGGGTACAGTGTGGATTGATACAGCGAGGTCACAATGTGACTGCATCTCAAGACGTTGTGCAGAAAACAGTGGCTCGTACACTCACACAAAGACCCACAGACTCCCATAGACCCAGACTCAGAGAGCGCCAAAATGTGAGGGCATCCCTATGCAAGTCTAAGCGTCTCCCCATGTGGGCATGTTTCCGAGTCAATGCAGTACTAAGTGGATGTAATAGTAACACAATGGGGCAGTACTTTGGGATTATGTCTCAGATTGGGTCTCACATTTGCCTGAAACATGCACACAGGTGTACACACACATGTGCCCGTGCGTATGTGTATACGCATATGCACGTGCACATGTTTATGCAGGCTGATAAAAATGTATACGTGCAGTGTGTGTGAATGTGTATGTGTGTGCATGTGTGGAGATCTTTGATCTTTGATGTGTGGAGAGCGGAACGGTTAGCGTGCGGCGCTGCGAACCTGCCGACCCGGGTTCGATTCCCACTCATGGCCAACACCATCGACGATTATCTGAGCCAGTCCTGGGCCTCCCCTAGGTCGACTCAGCCTCAAATGAGTACCTGGTGCGATGTGTAAACATTGCCGCTAGGGAGACAAAGGCGGCCGGGCACGGTTTTGGTCACCTTTATAGTTGCTCGCTAACAGCACTTGCCCCTACAGTCTATTAAGGCTATACGGGGGATCTTTGTGTGTATGTGTACGCGCGAGCAAGTGCGCAGACGTGTACACGCCGTACCTTTGTCATCGATTTCCGACTCCTTCCCATTCTCCACCAGACGAAGCACGAATGGAAACTGGGCTCCGGCTAAAATAATCCACGGTCAGGGAGAGAGGGGGAGAGGCAAGAATAGGTGGGTGGACAGAGGGCAGGGGGGGGAGTGGAATCAAAAACTTGCCCATAGTTTAAATCGCCATGCCAGGAAATCGAACCAGCCACATCTGGATTGCAAGTCCAGTGTGCACAAGGAACAACATTCATCAGCATTGATCTTTGGATCACCTTCTTCTAAGTACTCCGAGGTCAAGGCTTTGGTCCTGGGGTGATTGGGATTTTGCGAGTGCAGCTCCCAAGCTTTGGAACGCTTTTGCCTTTGCTATTAAGACAATCAGGATCGTTAGCTATATATAAGACCGTCTTGAAAACGAACCTCTTTTAACTGGACTTAAAACCCTAGTTCTGGCCGTGAACCCAGGTTCTGTTATTTCCTGCTTTCCATACACAGTGTCGCATTGGATCTACAGATGAAATGCCCCGCGTTACAAATGTAAATTATTATCATCACCTCCGGCGACGCTCACCTGTTCGTGCCACCCCCCCCTTCGCCGCAGCCTCCTCTCCCTCGGCGGACATCGCCGCCGGTGCCGCGGCCCGGGCCCCGTCAGGCTCCGCCGAGCCCTGGGCCTCGCCTGACACCGTCGGCCTGGGCCCGGCTTCAGCTTTTGGGTGGGAAGAGCAGGGGAGAGCCGGCGCAGCAAGGTGGTCGTCGCTCGGGGAGTCGCGGGGAGGAGGAACGGGAGGAGGAGACTCCCTGGGCAGTGGCGTCACCGTGACCGACAGCCTGACGGACAGAGACAGCACGCGTATGAGGCGTGTGTCTAGGTGCATGTGTGCGTGTGTAGGTGGGAATCGGTACGGTAGCGGTGAGCACGCTGCACTACAAAATCCGGCAACCCGAGTTCAATTCTCGCTCGCGGCCAACAGCGGTGACGATTATCTGGGCCACACCTACGTCAACTTAGTCTTACATTCATACCTGGTGTCGTATGTAAACATCAACACTGGGGAAACGTAGGTGGTCGGGCTTCAGTATTGGCGAGTGTATAAGGTGTGTGTGTGTTTTTGGCGAGTCGCGGCCCGTAACCACCTGGCCATGCTGCTGGCTGCCTCTGCAAGCGCGGCGTAGGTGAGCCGCGTGGCCGGCAGTGCCAACACGAAGGGACTGCCCACGGGCTCCGGGCGGCACACGTGGCGATGATCCTCCCAGTGGCTCTTCTGGCATGAACTGCACAAAAAAAAGATCCCCCATATAGCCTTAACAGACTGTTGGGGCAAGTGCTGTTTGCGAGCTCCTAAGAAGACCTTGTATGGGTATTTACACATGCATAAATACGCAGGGTATACGAACAAAAACTCACCACAACAACTATTGTATGCACACACACACACAGAAATACATACATCAGTACCAAATCACTGTCAACCACAGTGGCTCTGGTTGTGGCTGTTTTTGACAGTGGCTGTGGCTGACAGTGGTAGTTGCGGCTAACAATGGTGGCTGTGGTTGACACAGCTGGTGGTCCCCTGTCTTTAACAGCATTCTCTCACGTGTTGCAGTAGCTGACACAGAAGCACTTGGTGCATCGGCGCAGGCGGGCGGCAGGACCCGGCGTTTGGCGGCAGAACGCGCAGGCGAGCACCGGCACAGCAGACACCATGAGACGCTACGTGCGGTAGGGAAGAGGGGGCGGGGCGGCACTTAGCACAACGCTTCAGCATCGGACAGAAATGGATATTGGAAGCCAAACAGGATTGAGCCTGGTAAGGAGTTGGATGTCAAACTGTAAGGGAATTACAGGTGTTGTAGACTCGAGGATTACGGGGCCAGCAGAAGAGAATGCGTGATCTTCCAATGATTCCGAGTGGTCTGCACTTACCAAAGGAAATTCTTAGCTCCGTAAAAATAGGATGCGCGCGGCTCGCGGTGACCGGGGGGGGCTCAGAGGAGAGAGACACTGAGCCGGCACTGCTGGTATCCTGGGCTTGAATCCTAGTGTCGGCTGCCTGTGATTAAACCGGGTTCTAGCATCGCGAGTTCATGGTCTCAGCCTGGTCATCAATGATTCGCATAGAGCGGTTTCATAATGGCTGTGTCGGGGTAAAGAGACGGGACCTCTGAGACGCCATGATTAATCACTGGTGGTGGGTCTATCAAGGGGATCACAATGGCCAAGTCCAGTGCACTATTGCCAACACCATAAACTGCCTGGGTTCAATCACTGGTGCCGGGCGCGTATCCCAGGAGGTCCATAATGGCCGCGTCAGAGATACTGCGCCATCACTGCTGAGATTCTGGGTTCAATTCTACTGGGACTGGGTGTCTCTCTCAGGAGATTCATAATGGCTGTGTCAGTGTGCTAGCCCGGGCACGGGTAAGGGAGTGAGCGCACGGATGGGCGGGCGGACGGGCGGGCACCTGCGAGACGGACATCACCACTAGCTGCTCGTGCTGCCCCGTTGGTGCCGGCAGCTCGAAGCAGAGGAGGCGGCCGCCCGGGGGCAGCACCTCCAGCGGCTGGGGGGGCAGCAGCACGCGCCGCAATGCCGAGCCGCACACCTGCAAAGGCAAAGATCCCCCGTGTAGCATTAACAGACTCTTGGGGGCAAGTGCTGCTAGCGAGCAGCTACGAAGGCCGGCACGGCCAACGAGGGGGTGGGTGACCAGCACCAAGCTCGGCCGCCTTTGTCTCCCGAGTGCCGATGTTTACACACTGCACCAGGTACTTATTTGAGACTGAGTCGACCTAGGGGAGGCCCAAGACCGGTTTAGACAATCACCACTGGTGTTGGCCATGAGCGGGAATCAAACTCGGGTCACCGGGTTCGTAGCGCAATGCAGCGCTAACTGCTCCCCACACATGCACGTACACGCACACAAACACGCGGGCGATATACACAAACACACATGTACACATATGTTTATGCGAGTAAGCATTGTTTTACTGAGCGAGCGTGTGCTTTTGTGAGTGTACGAGTGGGTGAGTGACTACGCGAGTAGGTGCTTGTTGTGAGTGAATGAGCGGTGAGGTGTGTGATTGGGTGAGAGCACGTAAGTTGCTGAGAGCGCAGCGAGTGGGAGAGAGGGAGAGTGACTAGAGTGCGGTCGTGCCTCAATGAGACGCAGGTTCTCCCGCTCCACACCCGTCTGCTCCGACAGTGCATCCAGCACCTCCAACACCCTGGCCGCTTTGTCAACGCTTGCCGTCACCTGCCCACGGTGCCAGCACATGGGAGAAAATGGCGTCACCCGTGCTGGTGGTGACCACCTACAAGTTAGGCACGGGCAGTCGCCTCCCCGGGGATCGCATTGAACAGGGGCGGCCGTGGCTCGGACTCGCGAGGGGGCGTTGTCGGCAGATGCGACCAACAGGGGCGTGAGCGGCAATCGAACTCGGGGCGCCGGAATCGTAGCGCGACGCGATGACCATCGTGCCACAGTGTCTCCGAACACAGGGGCAGGGCTGTAGCTGCGTTTCACAGGGGGCGGCTGTAGCTGCGTTCAACAGGGGGCAGCTGTAGCTGTATTTGACAATCGGGGGCGGCCGTAAGTTGCATTTGACAGGGCAGCTGTTGTGTTTGACAATGGGGGTGGCTGTAGCTGCATTTACCAGGGGGCAGCTGTCGTTGTCGTTGACAATATGGGGCGGTTGTAGCTGCGTTTAACAGGGGGTGGCTGTAGCTGCGTTTAACAAGGGGCAGCTGTAGCTACGTTTAACAGGGGTCAGCTGTCGTTGTGTTTGACAATAGGGGGCAGCTGTCGTTGTGTTTGACAATAGGGGGTGGCTGTAGCTGCGTTTAACAGGGGGCGGCTGTAGCTGCGTTTAAACGGGGGCAGCTGTCGTTGTGTTTGACAATAGGGGGCGGTTGTAGCTGTGTTCGTTGGGAGCGGCAGTGTTTGTCACCTCGCGCGGCGAGGAAGCCGCGTCTCGAGAGTAGAAGTTCACGTTCAGCATCCTCTGCTGCTGCGGCAGTGGCACGGGCAGGTACAGGAAGGGGTCAAAGGTGATCGACACCTGTTCGGCAGAAACCATGGGCGGGGGGGGAGGGGTAGATACGGTACGGAGTAATGCGATACGTGTTAGGATGGCCGCGGGCTCTATCGCACAAAAAAACAAAAATCTCCGTGTAGCCTTAACAGACTTTTTGGGGCAAGTGCTGTTTGCGAGCATCGATGAAAGCCAGCACGCCATATGAAGGGGTGGGTGGCCAGATTACTTGGCAGTGACGGTCAGTGCAGGTTGAAGGCAGAGAGCAAGAACGTGGAAGCATATATCCCTCTGCATTACCCTCTGCTGCCCTACACGTATCCTCAAAGCCCTGCAATTAACGTGTTTGTGCGTGGCGGTTGCCCATCCAACCACTATGCAGGCTCAAGCCTGTTTAGCTTCCGAGGTCTTACAGGGTCGCGGACGCATACCAAGTGATCTGGTCATGGGTTCAATGTCACAGCGGCGGTGAATTGACATTCTGCCTCGGGTACACGTTGTCAGCAGAGGTCACGCATGGGTCATCGCCAAAATGAGTGGCGTAGCTTCCGAGTGTGCAGCAAATGCAACTGCACTGGGGCCCACGGGCCGGAGGGGCCCAGGTGCTAGGCTATTAAGAGAGGGGAAAACTGCATAGGTGTGGAGGGAGGGGGGGGGAGGGGGCCCCCACCTTGCTGCAGACCGGGCACACAAGGGTCGACTTATACTGCCCCTGGAAGAGGTCGACCACGAAGGAGTCGTTGCGTTGCCGGTGACGCGCCCACGCCTCCTCCGCCACGACCTGCATGCGCGGGTGAGCAAGTGAGCGAGCGAGCGAGCGCCGGCGGCGCCACGGTGAGCGGGCGAGTTGGTGAACAGGAAGGGGGCGAACGTAGTGCGAGGAGAGGGGAGGATTAAGTTAATTTTGTTCAACCAGGTGAGAACTCAAGAGACCAGGATAGGAGTCTCATTTAAAAAAGTTACCTGGGGCATTAGTCTGCCAGAATTAGTCTGCTGCTATGTGGGTGATCCCAATTGAGTAATCTGCAGTATATTTGAATTTGGCAAATTTGGACTCCAACGCCGGCACACGATGGCCTACTCTTACGAATGAAGTAAGGAATATATTAATGTCCACTGGGCGAAGCAGACAGCTCACGATGTTTTTAGGGTTATCATACACTGCAGTATTAACCAGGGCAGCTGCTGGAAACCGTAAACCTCTGCCGCTGGGCTGCGTCACCGCCCGGCAGAACAGGCGACCGAGGATTGCGCATTTGAAGGATCTCACAATTAGCTCTGATGAGAGCAAATTATGCAATTAATTTTCGCCCAGTGCCGAGTGACACCGCTACTGCTGTCAAAAAGCGATTCATTTGTGAAAACCGTGACGAAGCGAGAGGACGGAGCTGGTTAACAATGCGAGGATGAACGAGCAGACAACTACGAAGGGGCTCAGTGGTCGCCCATGTCAACCGTGTCGCACCGCGTCGGGCCGCCCGTCCGAGTCCACGGTGGCCGTGTAGGGCTTGTGCCGCACGCGGTTCAGGTCTTCGTGGAGCCCGTCCAGCAGGAAGGCCATGAACTCCTGCGCGTCATGCTGCGAGTAGCCTGTGAACTGGCACGCCTTGCCACCCACCACCGACTGCACACAAAGACAAAGACCCCCACCCCCCAAATAGCCTTCAATAAGACTGCTGGGGCGAGTGCTGCTAGCGAGTATAACCTACGAAGGCCGGCACGGCACACGAGGGGGTGGGTGGACCGCACCACGCTCGGCCACCGAATGCACAAATGCGTGTGCACGCACACCCCTGTCCCTCCTCCCCTTCCTCCCCGACGTGGCACCTTGAGGCGGGCAGGCGCCACGGCGTCCTGCGTGCCGCTCCACAGCGTATGCAACAGGCGGCCGAAGCAGGAGGCGAGGCGGCCGCCCGTGCCCAGAGGATTCTCCATGTTCAGCTCGGCCTCGAAGCCCTTGTCTGCACGAGTCAAGTAGCGGAGTAGCGCGGCGAGGGACAGGGGGGAAAGGGAAAGCGGGGCGAGGGAGAGAGGCAAAGGGGAGAGTGGGGAGAGGGACAGCGAGGAGACAGTGGGGAGAGCGTGGGGAGAGCGTGGGGAGAGCGTGGGGAGACGGCATACAACCAGGTCAACGCCACTGCTTAACAACTGTTTGGTTGCCATTCTCAAAGCAGCTGCTGCCCCAACAAGTACTGCCAAAGCTGCTCGTGCCACCGCAGACATGGCTACCGTTACAGGTGCTAAAACTGGTGACATTGCCGCTATTACTGGTGCTGCTGGTGCTGCTGGTTCTCACCAAGGAAGAAGTCCCTGAGCTCGCGCGTATTAGACAAGCACTGGATGACGCTGCTCATGAAGCAAGTGTTGCCCAGATTGATGAGCCCCGTGTAACCGTGGCGACGGCCCTCCACCGCCTCCCGGTCCCCGTCACCGTGACAACGAATAGCCACCGCTGCCCCTGCCACTGCCCCCTCCTCCTCGTCGTCGTCCTCCCCCTCATCGTCGTCACGGCGACCAGAGCGGACCATCGGGGGCTGAGGACGGAACATGCAACAGCCATCAATATCACCACGATGATTAATCAGCCGTTCAATTCTTCCCGAAAATTTCTACAAATGACACTTGAAGCTGTGCAAATTATTATTTCAAATCAAAAGTATATCTGAAGAATGACCCCGCCCCTCCTTCAAGAATACCCCGGAACTTGTTGTTGCTGCCCTGGCTGCCCCGGCCATCACGGCTCCTTGATATTGTTGGTGGTGGTGCCGGACCCCAGTTGCTCGGTCCCAGGCCATGCCGCTGTATTGCTCTCTTTCCTCTTTCCTACGTTGCTTTTGTCGCGCAAACATTTTTGGCCAGAACGCTTATCAAAAATAAGTTAATACCTCAGTGGGCTTTGCCTGGTAGGATGGGGATGGTTTAGTTTTATTTGTATGTTTTTGGGTGATTTATTCTTGATTTGAAGTTTTCGTGACAGCGAGGATCCTTAACTCTTTGGTTCTTTCGGTAAAGTCACGTAGGTGAAAAAATAAAATAAATAAATGTAATCATGACGTTTCTGGCGCAACACAGGCGCTCGTCGTCAGGTGGGACAACCACAGCAAGAAAACAATTGCTGAAGTGGTCAAGAGAGCCGCTGCAAGGGAGGGGAGGCAGAGGGGGGGGTGGAGGGTGGGTGGGGCGGGAGGAATGGTGGGGCTGCTAGAGCACGAGGGAAGGGAGAACAAAGGGGGACGGGCCCATCCCCACTTCAGCAATTTGTTTTCTTGCTGTGGTTGTCCCACCTGATGACGGGCGCGCGCTTGTGCTGCGCCCGAAACGTCGTGATTTAATTTTATTTTTTTACCTACGTGACTTTACCGAAAGAACCAAAGAGTATGGATCCTTGCAGTCACGAAAACTTCAAATCTAGAATAAGTCACCCAAAGGGTTTGGGTGACTTGTTTACCTTTCTTGTACTTTGCACTACTATCGTGTTTTTGTACTGTGTTGTTGTAACGTTCTTACCCGTCCCTACCGGACAGCTGTGAAAAAGAGCTTTATAGCTCATCGAATTCCACCAGTATATTCTGATTAGCATGGCTGGCTACGTACGGTGCAAAAGAAGTTCAACATACATACATACAAAGCGTCTCGAAATGCAACTGCATTTCGACGCTACGTCGATTAAAAGTGTTGTTGTCTAAGTAGAGACGGGGTCTTTAACTATACTTTCTGGCGAGCCGCATAATAAAAACGTGTGCTGGAGGGCAACATATGTCACGCGATGTCTTAACGTCGAAGTGTCACCATACACTGCTCCACATTGGAATTCCCTCCTCCAACGTTTCGTTCCTCCAAGCTCTTAAAATAGCCTTGTTAAAATCAATAAAAGTATTACACTGTTAGTTATTTCAACTTTGACATTGCCGTTTGTTGTTTATTATTATAAATGTTTATTGTTATGTTTATGGGTGTATTGATGCAATGGTGCTTTGGGTGGCATATCTGTGCCAGAAATGTACTATGTCGTTTCAGGCACAGATAAGGCGACTTCACTGTGTGCTTGTCTTTGTGCTGGTTCACTCTACTTGGATGTCTGTGTGTGTGTATATGCGGTCTGTATTTTGAGTTTCATACTTAACTTGCAATTTAGCAATCTATGAAATAGCGTGATCAACCGGACTATGCGTTAATTGTGTTTTGACCGACCGTCTGTGTTGCTTTATATGGTTTCCAAATTTTGCTAAACCCTGTCTGTTTGGTATGCTTCTCTCTCTGTGTCCCCTGTTGGATCTGTGTTAGTTCCCCCTACTTGGGTGTCTGTATATACATCTGAGGTTATGTGTTTCCCCTCTCTCGTAAATTTAGCTCTTCTGTACCTGATGATGGCTGCTTGTGTTGCAACCGAAACGTTGCACGCTATTATGTTATTTTATTATTTCTGATTTATACGTGACTTTACCGAAAAAAAACAAAGAGTAACGTACTATGTGTTAAGCAAAAATAAATTGCCTTTGTACTTGCTAGCCACTTGACGTTTTGGGCCATTTGGTCATTGGGCCTGCAACTCAGAACGTCACGAATTCAAAAAAACGTTGTTGGTGCAAGCGAGCAACGCGTTACGATCACGTGGGCCGACTCGCCGCCTCGCCAAACACACACCGCGCCGCGATCCAGCGTCCTCTGGGCCGCCGCGGCAGCGCCCCCGCTGCCGACGCACGGAGCGCAGCCCAGCCCCGCCGGCGCCACCGCCACCTCCATCTCGGACTCGGCGACATTCGCGGCCCTGGCGGCCGCTGTCGCCGTCGTGTTGGCGGCGACACCAACGGTGCGGTTGGCCCTGGGCTCGGCGAGCGGTTCGCCCAGCTGGCCCACGGCCGGCGGCTGTCCCACTTGCTGCCCGGCGGGCGCCGCAGTCTTCCACGCCTCGCTCGCTGGGCACGCCACCCTGGCGCCTCCAACTGCACCTTGGAGGCAGCGCAACGAGACCTTGCCATAAGCAAACACGCGCCGCACGGGGTTACGGGTCCACGAGCGAGGTGCGGGGATGGTGAGCGGGGCCAGGGGTCGACGGACGAGGTTAGATGTCTCCTAGGTTGCACCGCGTGTTGTTCTCTCGTCTCGAGGATGCCCGACGGAGTTTCAAGCGAAACGTCGTATCCAATTGACATATTTGGTTCTGAGAATTGTCCTTCAAACTTACCGTTTGGTCGAAACAATTACAATCAAACGCATTAAATCCTCCTGGCCGTGTCAGTTGGCGGAGGCTCTCTAAATGCCATGAAACAGACCGGATCACTACGCGGCGTCACCCAAAACTCGATCACGAATCAATCGCCACGGCGGCGTCCCAGTGGGCACTGCCGGATTTTGAATGAAGGATTCCACCGATTGAAGGAACCGGTGAGGGGCGACACACGAGCACACGCCACGCGCTTGTGCGTGATCGCACCAGACCTTGGTTGGACGGAGCCTCGAGAGCGCCCCATTTCTGGCTCTGCTTCTTGCGCAGTTTGATTTCCACCACCGCCATCCGGTTCACGAAGGAGCACTCGTCGGGGGTGATGCCGTTCCTGCGTGGACGCACACAAAGAGATCCACCCTATAGTCCAAACAAGAATGTTTTATATTTTTATTATTTTATTGTTTCCCTTCTAAGTGACTTTACCGAAAGAACCAAGAATAAGAATGTTCGTGCTGTTAGTGAGCGCCTATAAAAGGTAACCTCCACCTTTTCCCCGCCACCCCCCCCCCCACCGTGGACTCACCGCAGCTTCACCTGCCAGCTGAACACCGTGGGGCCACTGCCCGCCACGCCCTCCTTCTCCAAGAACTTCCGGTCGCTTTGACAGTCGCGCGCGCACACAGAGGGAAGCAAGTTAATTGCTCAGCTGTTATTTGATCAGATTGGTCGATAAATCGACCGGCAGAGTCATCGGCTGCCAAGGAATTCAGAGCCCGGCTATAGTTTTATTAGCCACGTATCTCCTGCGGCGACCTCACCTGCTGGTGAAGATGAGCGTGAAGTCGTGGTCGCGGAAGATGACGTGCGTGTCGCTGGGCGCAATGTCGCGCTTGTAAACCTGCACCCCCACCGCGTCCGCCCCCACCTCGTACCAGCCGTGTCGTAGGGACGACACGCGCCGGGGCTCCGGGGCTGGTTACCGAGGAAGCGCCGGCAGTGGCACACGGGGAGCGACACGCGGACACAGATACACAGAGGTGGTGACACAGGGGAGAACATTGTGCACACACACACAGGTAAAGAAACAGGTAAGGACATTGCGCGCACACACACACGGAGGTAGAGATGCAAGTAAGGGCACACACACACACAAACTCACCTGCTAGCGCACATAGTCTAACTCACCAGTGCACATCAGAAGTGGGCTGTTGAAGGTCTCACACCCCGCCTCCGATGATACCGACGACCCCAACTCCTCCCGGTCCACTCGACTTGTTCCTGCTTTCAGCTCTGCTGCATTGGGCTGCAGACTGTACTCTGCCACCTTCAATACAAATCACAAATGCGGCTAAAGTTGAATGGAATACTGTTGGCATACCTGCGGTGTACAATCAAGCCCCACACCTCACTGAATTCAAGTCATAATAAATCATAATTTACATTTGTAAGGCCCACTCCATCCGTAGATCCCAATGCGCCGTGTGTGGAAATCAGGAAATAAACAGAACCAGGGTGAACGGGACAGAACTAGCGATGAAGGCCAATTTAAAGATGAGTTTTCAAGACAATAGATCTTAAGACTCGGATTGTCTTATTAACGAAGGCCAAGTGTTCGATAGTCTGGGAGCTGCGCAGTGGCAAAAGCCCAATCACCGCAGGACAAGAGGATGTGTAGTGAAAGCACACACGGTATACGGGTTCCACTTGCAAAGATCACCTCCTGTGGGGGTTCCACGCTCGTCAAATCCTCCTCCTGGGGCGGCGGCGGTGACGACAAGGACGCCACCGTGCGATGGCTCGATCCACTCCCCTTGCCTGTTGCTCTCAGCGGCTGCCCCCCTGAATCCAAAGCCGTGGTCACAGGTGGACTGTCTCCCACTGCCACCTCCATGTCCTGCCCCACGCTCTCAACAGGGGTCTCCACCTGGCTCTCCATGAGTGTGACGACAGGGGTCTCAACCTGGCTTTCCAAAGGGGTGTTTAGAGGGGACTCAACAGTGGTCTGAACAGGGGTCTCCACCTGACTCTCCATAGGGGTTTGTACAGGGGTCTCTACCTGACTCTCAATTGGGGTTGGTAGAGGGGTTTCTACAGAGGTTTCAAGCGATGTGGTCTCAACAGGGGTCTCAACCTTGACTCCCGCCGGGGCCTGTGTGTCAGGCTCCGTCGAGAAACCATCGGCGGACACCGGCGTGAGGTCAGGCCTGGTGGTCGACGCAGCGTCCTCCACCACAGTAGGTGGCGATACCGCCGCCTCCACCACCGCTCCCTGTACAGCCGCTTTCACCGCAGCTTTGCCACCGCTGCCACCACCGCCGCCAGAGCTGCCTTTTTTCCCAACAGGCCTGGGAGGGGCGTTTGCCGGCGGCGCTGCCTCAGCCAGCGATGGTACCAGTGCTGGCGCCAGAGCCGCCACCGTCTCCTCGGCTTCCCTGGCGAGCAACCGGTGGGGCACGATGCCGGTGCCGTTGCCGGTGGTCGCTTTTGCCGATTCCGCAAGACGGGGTGGGGAGACACCGGATGTTTCGGTCACCTCATCCGCCGGTTTCTTCTTCTGCAAAAAGAACCCAAAATGTACAGGGTCTCCGCAGCGTCCCATTCATCATCATCAGTCACCGTTTATCGACTGCTGGATGAAGGTTTACCCACGTCATCTCCATCCCTCACGGTCCATTGCTGCTACAACCGATCTCACTTCCGCACGTGAACTGATGTCATCGCTCCATCTCAACTGCCCTCAAGCACCTCTCAGATTACCCGAGTTTGTGTTAGGCTTATCCATGCTATCTTGTGAGGATGGCTCGAGGAAGACTTCATCCAGCAGTGGATTGATCATGGCTGATGATGTATGTTACGTTTGTCACAAGTGATGTGAAAGCTGCTACAAATAAACATGCCACACTGTGTGACAAACAACAGCTCAAAGTGAATGCTGCGACGGCTCTCGGTGTGAACAATGTCGAAGTAACCGTGTTTTTGTGTGAACTTTTAGAAAAAGTTTATATTTAATAAAAATGCTCATGTCAATCCACTGCTGGATACGATTCGATAACGGGGTTATGTTTGACCACACCTCGCCAAACTTGTCTCATCCTCTTACTCTCAATTCCCATTCTCCCGTTTTTTTCTCTTTTCCCACGCATCGCCCCCCCCTAGATTGTACCCCCCTTCTCGTGGTGTGCCGCCACGCAATACAACAGTCGCTAGTTTAACACAATCACAATTACACTAGTCTTGCTGCTATGTTACTTTTTGACTTGTCATTTATAATCAATGGCGTGCTGCTTAGAAGAGGAGATTGGGGGGAACGGGACAATGGAAACAGTGCACAAAGAACCCTACACTAAGAACCCGACATTCACATGGGACTGTCTCACAGAAACTTTCTCTCTGAGCTGAGCCAAACAGTCGCTGGGCACCAACCATTAGCGCAGGTGTGCTGGTGAGCGTGCAGGTGTGCTGGTGAGCGTGCAGGTGTGCTGGTGAGCGTGCAGGTGTGCTGGTGAGCGTGCAGGTGTGCTGGTGAGCGTGCAGGTGTGCTGGTGAGCGTGCAGGTGTGCTGGTGAGCGTGCAGGTGTGCTGGTGAGCGTGCAGGTGTGCTGGTGAGCGTGCAGGTGTGCTGGTGAGCGAGACTCACCGTTGTGGTGAGTGCGGGCCACGTGTAGAACGGGATGCGCTTGGGCATGGTGAGTTGCAGCACCCCACCACGCTCCTTCACTTCGGCGCGGCAGCAAGACGCCTCCACCTCCCCGTACAGCTCACAGCGCCACTCACCTCCATCTGTGCCCACACGCACACGCGCGCACACACACACACGCGCGCACGTAAACATCACCACATGGACACTGATGTTGCACATCATCGATTACAATAGGTATTCACAACAACACTCACAACACACGATGACACAAACACGCACACACTGATAACGCACACAAAATCACAACGCAAAAACAAGACTGACAACACTTACTAAGCTGCACCAGCCGTCTGGAACTCTCCCACTGCACACAAGCAGCATCCAAGCACCATCCACACTCAAGCAACAGCTAAAGGCTCACCTGTTTATGCTCGACTATGCAGGCTCAACCTGCTCAGGCTCACACGCTCAGGCTCACACGCTCAGGCTCACACGCTCAGGCTCACACGCTCAGGCTCACACGCTCAGGCTCACACGCTCAGGCTCACACGCTCAGGCTCACACGCTCAGGCTCACATGCTCAGGCTCACATGCTCAGGATCGGCTGGCGTACGAGGACGAGGGACTTTGAGCACTGGCTCCGCGCCTCCGAGCTATCGATCGAACAGTGTGTCCAAATTGTGAAATATGAGTGCAAATAAATTGTATTATTAATATTCTTGAGATGGGTATGGGCAGGCCCCCCACTCACACACACACGATGACATGCACAACTACATTAATCTGATTAAATGCACAATGACAACACAGCCACACACACCAATGACAACAGTCGCAATTCGTCATTAAGCGGCAGTGACGTCACCATAGTGTGTGTGTGTTAGGATAAATGCACCGTGAGGTCACGTGAAGTGTAGAAAGCTTGCTGGCAGATCATGAGACAGACCTAAGTGTTATGGGTTAACTGAAATGACTGGCAGATGCAAATCCTTTGCTCGCCACTATGCAAACTTGCTGTAGTTTAGCAACCTGGCGTTTTGCTCATTGTTGTGAGCATCGCTTCCACCCTCCGTTATTATTGAAGAGGGACTACTTCCAACTGCCCAGTAGCATCCGTCACAAGCCTGCTCCACAGAAGCCGATTTGACAATGCTGGTACCGGTCATTGGCAAGTACACCTCTGCATTCTTCTGTACATCTTCTGTAGGCCATGCTGCGCCAGTATCACCCCCCCCTCACTATTCAGTCAAACAGACGGTACTTGGGCATGCCGACTCACACAGACGCATATATGGTAGGCCACAAACATAGACACAGAAACACAAACCTGGCAGCGCCACCATACACGCGTGGTCCGTGAAGGTTGCCCCCTTGTGCAAGTCGCTCAGGTCCCCCCCTCCTGGGCCCCCGCCACCCGCACCGCCCCCGCGTGGTCTCAGCCGCACCGTCACCTGGGTTCCGCTCTGCGTCCACTCCATGCCCATGTCACTGTCGCACGCCGCGGCGCCACCGGTCCGAGCTGCCGCAGCTGTGTCCATGCCAAACACGGCAGCACCGAAAGGTCAGGGGTCAGTGCATATACTCGGCCAAGTGGCAGCGTGAAAGTCTCTAGTCATCATCAGGGTAAATACGAGTCTAAGCAACCACAGCGGGGATATCCGATATTTAAATAAATGATTACCAATTACATGTTTGATTACTCACCTAATCGGATAACATGAAAATAGCTCGCAAATTATATGCATCATGTGATAAGTTATTATTTTGTGTTCATGTAAATTTCCACACATGTTTTTGCATGAGGCTGGTGATCAGAACAAATGTGACAGAATGAAGTAGTAGGGATATCACGTAACTAGACAGGGAGCAGAGAATGCCTGGACACAACAGACAAGACAGGCAACATATAAAATACAAAAGGAGATGGAGAGCAAAAGATCGATAGTGCAGGCAATACAAACTAGACAGATCAGACACCGATAGCACAAATGTGATAAATATATAATATATACATTTATCTTCTCAACCTTTTCCAGCACACCCAGAAAAACTGTCACCACCTACAGGCGACAGCACGAGAACAAGCGTTGAGAGATGACACAATCCATGGAGTGGAAAAAAGAAGAGGAAAGACAGGAAGAGACAGCTGCAGCAAAACGACATCACACAGTTGAGTGGCCATGACAGGACAGAAGCAACTAAGTAGAGGAATGGGATGAAATTGGCAAGGTATCTGTATAGCAAGGGAATTTACAACAGACTCTTATAGAGATACCCATAGATTAATACAGAGTTCACATAGGAACCCACTGGCTTACACACAGGCCAGGCTCAAAAAAGAAAGAAAATAATAGAAGAGAATGGGAGAGGCCTTTGCCCTCCAATGCAAGATCACAGGCTGACAACAAGAAATTAGGCTTCACCATTACCAGCGCCTCTGCCGACATCACCGCCCACTTCTTTCTGCTTGGCTCGCATCGCTCCACCGCCAGTGCCCTGCCCCTGGGCGCCTTTGTGCCGGTTCCTACCACCACCGCCGCCGCCACCGCCGCCACCGCCGCCACCACCGCCATCACCGCCGCGCCGCCCGCCCTGCTGCCTGCGTGTCCGCGCCGCTGTAGCGGTGGCGGTGCCAGTGCCGGCGTTCGCCATGCGGCCCTTCTTCCCGGCTCCTGCGCCTCTCTCGCTCGGGCCCGCGCGCTTCCTCGCCTCCCTCTCTATCTTGCGTGTCTCGTGGCCGTGGCTGCTGCAGAGAGAGATAAAAACCGCCAGGGAGAGGAGGAAGAGGGGTGAGAAGGTAAAAAAAAACCGTGGAACACCTAATGCGTTAGAACTACTCTTATCTGTGTCGAGACGGGATGAGGGATGCAAATGCCAGATGTTCCAATCAATTCCATGTATGATGCTTGCCCATCTAAGCACTAATCCAGGCTCAAACCCGCTTAGCTTATGAGATCTGGTGAGACCCGGTCGGATTCCGGGCGATTTGGCCATCAATTGGCTGTCATAATCAGCCTTGATTAGTCCACTGCTAAATGAAAACCTCCCAAAGCATTTGCCAGATATCACGGTCTCGATATGCAGCAATCCATCCAGCTGCATATGAGCCAGTTTCATCGCCCCATTAAGGAGGTAGATGTCCACTCCAGGCATGTTCTCTCCTTTGGTTGCCACTACATCGTTAGCCCCTACCAATGGCCATCGTCCATCCAAAGAACGTGTTCTGCCCAAACCCACTTTTATTCAGAATCAATATGGTGTCTCCAACCTACGTGCTCTCTAATCCAAGCAGTCTTGTTTCTGCCTCACAGCTGTGATAATTTCCTTGTACCGGTCATTGTATGATCTGTGATAAATATAAAAATCATTATTACCAGCCATGATCAAACTACTGATGGATGACGGACTCCTCAAGCTGTCCTCAACACATAACAAACATGGGTAAACCAAATATAGTTACATAACCTGGCGGGTACGAGGACATTGGAGATAGAGTGATGAGATCGGCTCATGTGCATGATATGGACTGTAGCAGCACTGCACCTTGATGGATGGTGGCAGAGTGGAAAGGTTTCCATCCAGCAGTGGATAGACAATGACTGATGATGATGCATTGCAACACTGCACATGGGCAGAAAGCTTATGATCAAAATACCTGGAATGCACCCAATATCATGGCAGCTCAAATGCAAAGCAAATTTAAGCCTGGATAGAGTTTAAATTGGATAAGTCAAGGTATTTTATTTTAAAGCTGAATTAGCATTGAGGTGATGCCCATCCTAAGCCAGTGGTGGAAATTCCACATTCCTACGGCAAAAGAAAATATATCCAAAAGACAACTATTGTTGACTTACCCCCAAAAGTGGTGTCTATTTTATCGACCCTGTTTGGAAGATGGGCGGTCATGAATAAAGTGTCAAATTGGTTATATAGGTTGCTCAGAGCTACACAGGGCAGTACAGCAAATCTATTCATGCACGCTACTTCTATCCTGTCAAGGAAATGCCACAGTTTATCCCATCATATTGAATAATGATATTCTCAGCCATAGTAAAACCATGAATCTGCTTGGCACAATAACCTTATCTGACCCGACTCAGATTTCTCTAACTCGGGAATGTAAGGCAGTGATTGGGGCCATGAAGCCACTGCTAAGGGGATTTGTGCCACGTGCTCACACTGACAAACATTCCCACAATTCAATGTGCCAGCAACATGCCAGCAACATTTTATGTTACCTTTAATGAAATTGAGTCAATTTAGTAGTTTAACACGTAGGCTTTCGCGACCAATATCATCCATAAGAGGTTTTTTGGGTTAGATCGTGTAAATATTTCCATGATCTAACCCCAAAAAAACCTCTATTATGGATAATTTAGTGGTGATGCTTCTTGATTATCTAAGGGTTTTGTTTGTTAGCCAATAGCTACTATTAGGTAACTAGTCACGAGGTGCAGTCTCCAACTCTTACTATCCATGACCTCTCTAGCGTCTCTTATGTATGTGCAATGAAGGTGCATTGTCAGAAATGTCGTCCATTATGTATGCTCCCTTTTAAGGTCACGGTGTTATTTACAAATATGTTCAGAGGTTTTATGTTGTCATGCCATGGCCGAGTTACTAATATGGCAAAGCAGACATCCAAGAATATTTTTTTTGAGTGCCAAAACGTCCAACTCATCTATCACTACTTTACAAATTTGCCTCAAGTTAGAATGTTGTTGTTGTTGCCCCAGACCATGAACCCATGAACCACCCCCCAACACCCACTGCTTGCTCTTGAACCCAGGAAACCCCCCGAAACGCCCAATATCTGCCGCTGAACCTACGTCCGCACCCCTGAAACCCAGGTACACTAAGCTCCGAGCCTTAGGACCCCAAAACACTGGAACTCCGAAGCTAAAATCTTCAGATCTCAAAACCCTTGACAAACACCGAGACACCACCCATTACACTTTACAACTCTGCCCGCCCCCCCTCCACCCTCACAAACATCATCGGGAGATCGAAGATTTTGAACCTGCTGTACACTCGCCGTAAACCCCCCAGTTAAGAACCCAACCCCCCCGCAAACTCTCAACCCCCGGCGTTACAACTTCTCAGACTCGACGGTGCGGGTCTTCGAGCACAGGCATCCTGTGAATCCCAAACCCCAGATAACCTAAAATCAGGGACCCCCCCCCCCAAAGCTCAAGAAAACTGAAGCATAAGACTCATGTACAGCACACAGAACACAGCCCCAAACCAATGAAATCTCGCATTTCCCTCGGCACCCGGAGCCCCGGTCACCCAATACCTCTCACACGCCGGTCTCCCACACGCGGTTTGCCCTTGGATCTCCAACCCAGGTCCCCTTTGATCCCATACACCAGGCTTTTCTTAGAACCCAAAACCCTTGGTTCCCGAAGACATGGCACTCCGGTCTCAAAACCCCCGATCCCCTTGGCCGAAATCCCCAGGTCCCCTCGGACCACAAATCCCAGGTCCCCAAATCCTGATCCCCTTGGCCTCAAACACAGGTCCTCGTGGACCCCCAAACCCAAATCACCCTCGACCCCAAACCCCGATTCCCCTTGAACCCCAAACCCCGGTCTCCGTTCCCCCTTTTGTTGTTGTGTAGGCCGCGAGGGGCCTGGCTTTAGGGCTCCCGTACCCCCTCACCTTGCCTGGTTGAGCTGCGGGCGAAGCGGCGCCCTGAGCCGGGCGAGACGCCCAGCCGAGACCGGGAGGTGCAGGGAGGGCGGAGGAAGCAAGGACGCCGCCGGGCTGGGCCGAGTCTGATCGGGCCGTGTGTGGAAGCTGCGGTGGCGCTGTCGTCTCGTCAAGGTCGCGCGAGTAGAAGAATCGGAGAGTTTAAACTTCGATATAAAATGATCAACGAGGTATTGTCGCCGTGAGGGAGAGAGAGCGGGGGGGGGGTTACAATTGTTATTGTTAACGCAAGACGCCTTCCGTTAAATGCCCAATCAGGGCCCTGACACTCTGCGCCTTCCGTCTTCCGGAAGATGGCTTCTGGAATCTTCGGGAACTTCCGGAAGATCTCAGCGCGTCGTGGGGGTGGGGGCAGGCGACGTTGACCGCCCACCCCAGGGCGCGTAGCCTGAACCAGGTGTCCGTGTTTTATTGGTAGACGTCTTCCGGAATTCGGCAGACCGTCTGACACACTTCTTGCGGTGTCGGTGGCCTGCTTTCCGTAGCGGGAAGATGCACGCGCGCGAGGGGGCCGGTGACGTAACGCCGACTTGGAAAGTCCCTCCCCTCCCTGTGACGTCAATGCAATCGGAGCCAATCGCGTTGGAGCAAGGGAGTCGTGTGTGTATATATTATTTTGGTCTGGTCGCATAAATAAAATGTGTCGTAGATCCTCCACCACCCGTAAACCTCGGTGTTATTTTTTTCTAATCTAATAGCGATATATATTTTAATTAACCTTACAAACCAGATCCTGAGGTGATTGAACCGGATACTTTTATTTTCGGATTTTGAATGCGATTTTGACGTGTGGCTTTAATATGGAAGGTGAATGTGCAATACAAGCACCAGCTCTTTGCACTTTGCCCACTCATACAATACATGTGTTGTAGGCTTGGGCCGTGAGGTGGACAGATGACAGTAGAGCCATGCTTGAATCTAGCTGCCCAGTAAATATGGAACGTTGGGCCAACATCGGTACAACAGCTCCAACCACATTCCAACATTGGCCCAAAGTTGCTCTGAGCTAACCTCTTGTATTCATGGTGGGTTTTCTCCAGGTACTGTATTTTTCTCCCACACAGTTACATAGATCAACATGATCCAGAGTTACATACAGACCAACAGACATTCATCTTGTGAACCAAAAGTGACATTGTTGCATGGCGTCGGTTGCCCGAATTCTCTCTCCGCGAGCATATTTGCCGTGCCTCTTCACACATCGCATCCACCAAACTCACACCTCGTTCCACTGCATCCTCCCCTCTCACTCTTGGTCTCTTACCCTTCCTGCCCCGCACCGGCATCCATGGCGAGTCACATGACCGTGCAAAGTGAGACCATGCGGAGAGCATCGCGAAGGCAGGGCGGAGATTTATTATTTTACAAACGCAGATAACGCACTCTATTCAGGCGCCTGCACAGTTCCGCTATAACTTCACCAAAGTTTTGACTTCATCGCTTGTGATGGCTGGGGAGTTCTTCAAAACATGTGTTTGTAAGGGACTCGGGTATCATAGATTCACAGATGATAACAGAAACTTGGGATGCAACGATTCACTCATCTGCAATTCAATAAGCCGTGACATTTCTGTAGTCGCGCATTAATTTAAAAAAAAAATTGTTTTGCGATGCCCCGTTTCAATTATCGGGCAGGTTGCCTCGATTACGCCCTAGCATTCTCAAACAATTTGCATGGAAAATATATCCGGTCGGCTCGTATTAAATCATTTATTTTAATCGATGAATTGTCACACCCCAAGAGGCAAAACGACACCCGAGTTGCAGAGCTCGTTGCAGAGACCCCAAGTCTACACATGTATGTACACGAACTCATACTTGCACGCGTACACACGTGTGTGTGTGTGTGTGAGAGCTCAGCGGGAGGTGGCTCCACTGGGCGGCACCCAGGACTCGATCTTTGGACGCACGGTCGAGTAGGGCACGTACTGCTTGTTGAAGCCGCTCATGTTCATTTTGTGCTCCTTCCATATGAACGGCCGCTGCTCTGGCGGATGTGTGGTCGGAGGTTCGTCTGCGATGCTGTGCAGCCAACGGTGCCTGTGGCGGAACAGAGGGCAGAAGGGAGAGGGCGGTGGAGCATTGGGAAACAGCCAAATAATGGGATGATAGCATATATATAAATAAACAGGCCTCCCTTCCGAGTCTCAGCATAATATCAAGATCAGGCAGCACAGACAGTAACCGGCTAGGTGGGAGGTGGTTCAGTATTACAGCACGCAGCTCCCAATCGCATGTTTGAACTCCTGGTTGGGGGTTGACGAAGTCCATCAATCCTACAGGGTCCATAAAAGTACCACTTGAGGGGGAAGTCAACAGCGTTTACCCGAGACAGGCTCTCCCCTACAATTGGAACGTCCAATTTGCACCACTGGATCAGGGCTGTAAAAGGAGATGGGCAATCACTTTGACTTTTGACAGACAGTGAACACGAGAGGGGAAGACGCACCACTCAGGAGGCACCATGCTGCCGTCCTTGTCCCAGAACGTGTTCTTCTCATTCATCTTCCACGTGTAGTCCACCCAGCGGTGCCGGCCTGAGTATAACACGGTAACGAAGACAGACGAAGGAAGAACCCATTATTCCACCCCCCACCCCCCCACCCCAAACCTCATTGTATTAAGCGGTCAGCCAAATTATGTACTCAGTGAAATTTTTCAAATAGAATTATATACCCAATTGTTATGTTTGATCTCTAATAATGTAACTAGATTATCTTGGTCTGCATGCTCATTGAGACTCGTTAATTTCATCAAAGACTCAAGTCACGAAACAGTCGTAGCCTTATCAAAATTTTCAATTTTCATTCATTCAAGGCCATTGTCAATTAACAAGATTTTTTTATTAACGGACAAACTGAAAGGAATGAGAGAAAAACCAATACCCATAGGCTAGCATGGGAAAAACAAAATGCACATAGCTTAAAATGGGAAAAATGAATGCCCATAGAATAACATGTATATAATGGAATGCCCATATTCTATAAATGGAGAAAACATTTGTTTTGATATTGACCGCAAAATTAACACATTGACGTAAGCGATTGCCTCATTGGTGGCACGGGGTAGCAAGGCAAGTGGTTGGTGATAGGGGTCTCTGCGGGGACTCTTACCAAAGAAGTTGCGCTTGTCCTCGTAGTATTTGTTGCCATACTTGTCCGTGCCGACCAGGGTGCCGATACGGAACTCGTCCATCCTGGGAGCGACACAGAGAGTCCAGTCACTCGCTCAATGCCTGTTTTACTGCAGTCTACCAGTCTCACTGCTTTGTCTCATCAATACTATTCAATCACTGCAATGCAGGTCATAACAACACTCACTCACTCCTTCACCAACTCATTAACTCAAACACTCACCCGCTCAACACACTGCAAGTCACATTTCTCTCTGCATCTTTTCTCGCATTGCTTCACTTTGGAATTCCCTCCCATAATCTTACCCCCAAGCTCGTATAATATGCTTGTTCAATGTAACAAACGTGTTTAATAGTGCCGTTCATTGCTGCCCGCTTGACGTTTTGGGCCTAGGCTCAGTCAGCATAGTGCAGAAATATATGGCAGTGGATGCGCTAAAGGACTCGATGCGGGATGACAACTGAGACACTCGCATAGATCTGACACCAACAAAACATTACAGAGCACAAGGCGATGCAATGCAGTCCGTCGTCTCTAATGGGGATAAGGGAGGCAGGGGCGAGTCAATGGAGGATCTTGAAGCCTATGAGTGCGACCTTGTACAGCAATTATTGCACTGGCAGCCTGGTGAATGCCAGCCAGTGGAGGGAGTGGAGGGCCATTTATTTGGGAAACGTGGTCGCGTTTAAGGCTGCAAGTGACACATCTGGCAGTGGTGAAGTATGGCCATGCAACCTCTGACTGACAGTGTGGGGAAGCGCTTCAACAAGCAGTGTGTGACCTTTTTTGCCAGTATCAAACTATATTTAAAAAAATAGGAATAGATTTTACCCTTGGTGGCAACAAAACATGAGGCGTTAAGTTACTCTTTGTGTTTTTTCGGTAAAGTCACGTAGGTAAAAATAAAAGAAATTAAAACTAAATTAAATCACGGCGTTTCGGAGGCAACACAAGCTTCTTTGTGTTGCCTCCGAAACGTCGTGATTTAATTAAGTTTTATTGTTTTATATATTTTATTGCTTTGTTGTTTCCCTTCAACGTGACTTTACTGAAAGAATAGACTTTACCGAATAGAACCAAAGAGTATTTACCGAAAGAACCAAGAATATGAATCACTGCAGTCACGAAAGCTTGAAATCAAAATGTAATTAAGTTGTTTTCATTTATTTTTATTTTATTTTTTACCTACGTGACTTTACCGATAAAACCAAAGAGTGTGAATCATTGCAGTCACGAAAGCTTCAAATCTAGAAAGGTGTTAAGTTGTTCAAACACCAAATAGAAACCGTCGGCAAGGAATCAGTCTCCATTAACCACACGTACTTGTGGTGAACATGCAAACAAAAACATTCTCTGATAATATATGCAGCCTTCTCTAGGGCCTATTCTCACCAGTGTCAGACCAGAGAACAACACCAAAAAGCCAACAAGTACAAAGATCGCAGACACGATTCCTTGCAAAAGCTTTATATTTGGTTCTACGTCACGCCTTTTGGCGTCATCTGGTCGAGCACCAATTGAGACGAGGCTCAAAAGAAAGCTGTCTCTGGTGTGGACCAATCAGTTTCAAGGACAATGCATTTATTATCAGAGTATGTTTTTTGTTTGCATTTTGACTGCAAGTATTGTGGTTAATGCAGACATGAATCCTTGAAAAAGGTTTCAGTTTTGTAGCCAGAAAGAAAAGGGGAAAACCCCTATTATTATACATTCTATTTGGTGTTTGGACATCTTAACACCCATTTTATTGCCAGAAAGGGTAAACCTATTTTTATTTTTTCATACTTTAATACCGGCAAAAGGTCCCATTTTGTAGCTGCTCAACCCCAAGCTATAAATGCTCTGACAAATGCATTGCCTTGGTACTGTCCGCCTTTGGCGTTGTTCTCTGGTCTGACACTGGTGGCGAGACTTGGCCCCAAAGAAGGCTCTGGTGTAGAGCCAATCAGTTTTGAACATCTTAACACCTTTGATTTAAAGCTTTCGTGACTGCAGGGATTCATATTCTTGGTTTTATATTTTTATTATTTTGTTTCCCTTCTACGTGACTTTACCGAAAGAACCAAGAATATCTTAACACCCGTGTTATTGCCAGAAAGGGTAAAACATATTCTTTATTTTGTTCAAACCAGCAGTGTGTTGACAACGGCCTCGACGTTAAACTTAACACATTTGGTTGCCACTGCGTTCCAAGCGGCGTACAATTAACAACAATTCAGCTCAGCACAATCGTCAATAACAGGGGCCTGGGAATGAAACACGAACAGAGTCAACGTTACAGGCAACAGCTCTTCTTTACAGTACACTGAAAAAGGACCATTGCTCGAAACGGTGGCAAATATTTAGTTCCTGCTTCCGTCACAACAGAGCTGCCTTCAAGGCATATTTGGTGCATTGTAAAATTGCATTCGACACCGATAATCTGCCCTCAGGGCGTTTATAATACGCACGTGTAGCGTGACGCTATGACCCCTGTCGCAATGACAGCGAGGAACGCGGGCCCTAGGCCGCGTCTCGCCGCGGGTCCTCACTTATCCTGGTCCCCTGAATCCCTGATCCCCTCGCGGTCCCTCTCACCTCATTATCTGCCACAGCGAACCGCGCAGGCCGCCATAGAAGCGGTACGTGTCCCACACCCGCTTCACCATGCGCATGTACTCCATCGCGACGTCACTCGCGCGCCGCTCTGTCGTGACGTCACGAGAACGTGACCCGGGCGACGCGAACGACTTGATTACGTCATTGGGTCCACCTCCAAGTGCTACGTGGTGACATCACCCTCTCTATAAGGACATACCACAATTTCGCCACGCGATGACGTCCATCGATGTGTTAAGTAATTACGTCAAATTCGATTTGCGCGGCCGCACCGTAAAGTATAGTTTAGGCAGCGGAAACGCTGTGTGGGAACGTCACACCTAAGCAACGCGATCGCGTCAGCTGTTGCGTGATGACGTCACCGCACTGGAACTTGATCGCGTCGGGTGTTGCGTGATGACGTCACCGCACTGGAACTTGATCGCGTCGGGTGTTGCGCGATGACGTCACCGCACTGGAACTGGATCGCGTCGGGTGTTGCGCGATGACGTCCCCGCGGAGCGACGTTCTTTAAGCGATGACGCATTTTCGTGGCATGTCACGGCGGGACAATGTGTGTCATGCAACAGGTTATCGCATGAATCTTTAATTATTTTCCCTCACGCGAGATTACATTCATTATCATCAGCCGTGTTCTATCCACCGCTGGATGAACAGCAACAAACCAACCTTCCTCAGTAAAAATACAAGGGGGCGTCCATAAATGACGTCTCGCGCTTAAGGGGGGGGGGGGGGGGGGGGGGGTCAGACATTTGTGACGACGTGTGACAAGCGGGGGGAGGGGTTTGAGAAATGTGACGTCACATCAAAATGCGCAACTTTAAATATAGACAACACGTTCTACTTAATTAAATAGACTTTTTAATAAACCAGGATTTCAACATCAGCGTGCAGCGGGACATTAAATACGCACTACAATTACAATAGTTTAAAGCGATTTAAACTGCCTGCGAATGGACTGCGGTCTGAAGGTCACCGTAAAATACATCAATTAAGAACCGAAATGGTTTATAACATCTTTCCAATGGTTACTAAGCCAGAATCCATCTTCTCGGTTGAAATTGTCTCAATCGAGAAGATCGCACTGCCTCTTAATACCTTTCACACGACGGTCAATGGTATGGCTTATAGCATGGTGTATAATAATAAATAGTATAACATTGTAATATTTTATCATAATTCATGGGGCAATATATAGTATCGTAATTGTATAGTAAATATACAGTAATGTGGTATACAGTAGGGTTGATAGAATAAGACAGTGTAATTTTACAAGTCTAATATTTTATAGTCTAAAGTATAGGGTATTATATTCTTGGTTCTTTCGGTAAAGTCACGTTGAAGGAAAACAATAAAATAATAAAAAATATATAAAACAATAAAATTCTCACGTTTCGACTGCAACACAAGCAGTCATCATCAGGTGTCAAAACCAATGGCAAGAACATTTTAAAGAAGTGGTGGTTTGTATTTATTTATTTTTAAATGTTAGCACCACGGATAGCGATTTGACAGTTTGTTTAGATGGACGAGTCCATCTATGTTCGGAAACGAGGGGGGGGGGGGGGGAGACGAAAAATTAATGTATGCTGTCTGAAAGCCACCATAAGCGTGAACAATCAATTAAGACCCGAAATAGTTTATCAAATCCTTCCAATGATTGCTAAGCCAGAATCCATCTTCTCGGTTGAAATTGTCTCTGTGTTTGTATATGTGGATAGCCTCATGAACGAATCTCTCATGGTAGCCAGATGGCTTGCAAAGAACCTCTGTCTTGGAGAAGTCAATGTCATGTGAACCTACTGAATTATAACAGTGATCTGCCACGGCCAAGGTGTTGGTCCTACCGTGTTTAAGGTCTGCTTTGTGTTCACAAATGCGGCCCGAGACATGCCGTTTGGTTTCTCCAATGTAACTACTACCACAGAGGCAACTTAGTTTGTAGACACCAGGGTACTGTATGTCCGGAATCACATCTTTTACAGACGGAACCAGATCACGGATTTTATGTAATGTGTTGAAACGGACCTGGATCTTGTGTTTATTCAAGAATTTGGAGATCTTTTTTGTGATCCCTGCAATGTAGAGTAAAGTGATGGTTTTGAAAGGCTCTTCAAGAGGGTCATTCTTCATGGTTTGAGTGATAGCTTTGCGGATTGTATAGTCGGAGTAACCATTAGCCTTAAGAGCTTGGTGTACGTGCTTGAGTTCACTGCCTATGTGTTCCTGGTCGGATATGCATTGGGCTCTATGGTGCCGTCTTGATGAGAGAATTCTTCTGTGATGGATGGTGGTGGGAATCCGGTTTCAGATAAGCATCCGTATGGGTAGCTTTCCTGTAGACAGAGTTGCTCATTGAACCATCAGGTCTCTTTTTTATTAGGACATCCAAAAAAGGTAGCTTGCCATCTTTTTCGACTTCCATGGTAAATCTGATGGCTGGGTGTATGGAATTGATGTGGTCAAAGAGTTGGTCTTGAGCAGGCCGGCCATGGGGCCAGATGACAAAAGTATCATCCACGTACCTCTTCCATAAGGTTGGGCGCAGAGTGGCAGTCTGGATGGCGTCAGTCTCAAATTTCTCCATGAAAATGTTAGCTATAACTGGAGAAAGGGGGGAGCCCATTGGGGTGCCCTCAGTTTGTTTGTAGAAAGTTCCATTCCAAGTGAAGTATGTATTGGTTAAACAGTGTCTCACCAGGGGGGGTACCTCAGTGTTTAGTCCTTGATGAACCAAGTCTTCAATGATTGCAATGGTGTCAGGTACAGGAACCTTGGTGAATAAGGAAAATACATCAAAACTGACAAGCAGGTCGTCTGGGGACAGGGAAATACCCTTGATTGTTGATACCAGGTGAGTAGAATTTTGTACCACAGAGGTGGTCTTTCCAGTGAAAGGACGCAGGATTTCAGACAAAAAACGAGCTAGTTTGTAGGTGGGGGAGCTGATAGTAGAGACTATGGGACGAAGAGGTGTATCAACTTTATGTATTTTTGGTAAGCCGTATAATCTTGGTGGCCTGGCAGCAGAAGGTTTCAACGAAAACTGTTTAGATTGATCAATTAATGCGGTTGAATCATAAATTATTTTGTTGGTTTGTGTGACGAGGCTGTTGGTGGGATCTCTTTTTATTTTTGTATAACTACCATCGTCGAGTAATTCTTTAATTTTGTTGTTGTATTCTATTTTATCCATGATGACAGTAGCATTGCCTTTGTCAGCTGAGAGAACTACAATATCATTCCTCTTTTTTAATTTATATAATTCAAAACGCTCATCTTTGCTGAGGTTGCTAGCTGGCATCTTAGCGTTTTTGAGGGTTGCAGCGATTTCAGATCTTGCTACGTCTGCAGCGATGTGACCCAGGCCCCTGAGAGCAACGTCTACTTGGGCAATTATATCATTAACTGGTATGTGTTTAGGTGTGACTGCAAAGTTTAGACCTTTAGCTAAAACGGATTTCAGACCATCGGAAATAGAACTGTTACTGCGATTAATTACGACTTTATTAACGTCTAACTTTTTGGTGTGTGGGTCCGGTCTTTTGTTGAAGAGGAGGTTAAATTTGGAAATCAGGTTTTCCTTACATTTGGTCGACATAGTAGCAGCTGAAGAGGCAGTCATATTGTCTACATGTTCCCAATCCGATGTGGACATTATTGCCGTCAATGATAAGTGTGATTTGTAGAGTGTCTTGTCTAACTGATCTAGTTCTGTGCGTATAAGTCTGATTTTTTCTGAGATAAGAGCTAAGCTAGTTTTGAAAAGAATTCGTTTCGCATTAGAAGAAGTTACAGCAGCAGAGGTCAGTGTAAATGCGATTGGTATTACCCCAGAGTCGCGGCATCTCTTCAGGAAGGTGAGAGACTCGATCAGCTGAGCTTTCTTATCCCGGAGTTTGTTGAAGGATCTTAAAGTTATGTGAAAACCCTCCCCGTAGAGGCGATTAAATTTTGATTTAAAGCTTTCGTGACTGCAGTAATTCATATTCTTAGTTTTTTCGGTAAAGTCACGTTGAAGAGAAACAACAAAATAACAAAATATATATAAAACAATAAAAAATTCTCACGACGTTTCGACCATAACTCAAACGGTCATCATCAGGTGTGTCGGTTTGCATAAATTTATTTTTAAACGGCACATTTATTTATTTATAAAAAACGTTGGCGTCACGCGCAGCGATTGGCAGTTTGCCCAGGACTAGTCCATCTATTTTTTTTCTTGAAAAGAGGAGGGGGGAGACGAAATTTTTTATAATGTATGCTGTCTGAAAGCCACTGTAAGCGTGAACAATCAATCAAGAACTGAAATGATTTATCAAATCTTTCCAATGATTGCTAAGATAGAATCCATCTTCTCGGTTGAAATTGTCTCTGTGCTTGTATATGTGGATAGCCTCATGAACGAATCTCTCATGGAAGCCAGATGGCTTACAAAGAACCTCCGTCTTGGAAAAGTCAATGGCATGTGAGCCTACTGAATTAGAACAATGATCTGCTACGGCCGAGGTGTTGGTCCTACCGTGTTTAAGGTCTGCTTTATGTTCACGAATGCGGTCCGAGACATGGCGTTTGGTTTCTCCAATGTAACTACTACCACAGAGGCAACTTAGTTTGTAGACACCAGGGTATTGTATGTCCGGAATCACATCTTTTACAGACGGAACCAGATCACGGATTTTATGTAATGTGTTGAAACGGACCTGGATCTTGTGTTTATTCAAGATTTTGGAGATCTTTTTTGTGATCCCAGCAATGTAGGGTAAAGTGATGGTTTTGAAAGGCTCCTCAAGAGGGTTCTTCTTCATGGTTTGAGTGATAGCTTTGCGGATTGTATAGTCGGAGTAACCATTAGCCCTAAGAGCTTGGTGTACGTGCTTGAGTGCACTGCTTATGTGTTCCTGGTCGGATATGCATTGGGCTCTATGATACAGAGTCTTGATGAGAGAATTCTTCTGTGATGGATGGTGGTGGGAATCCGGTTTCAGATAAGCATCCGTATGGGTAGCTTTCCTGTAGACAGAGTGGCTCATTGAACCATCAGGTCTCTTTTTTTAATTAGGACATCCAAAAAAGGTATCTTGCCATCTATTTCGACTTCCATGGTAAATCTGATGGCTGGGTGTATGGAATTGATGTGGTCGAAGAATTGGTCTAGAGCAGGCCGGCCATGTGGCCAGATGACAAAAGTGTCATCCACGTACCTCTTCCATAAGGTTGGGCGCAGAGTGGCAGTCTGGATGGCGTCAGTTTCAAATAGATGGACTAGTCCTGGGCAAACTGCCAATCGCTGCGCGTGACGCCAACGTTTTTTATAAATAAATAAATGTGCCGTTTAAAAATAAATTTATGCAAACCGACACACCTGATGATGACCGTTTGAGTTATGGTCGAAACGTCGTGAGAATTTTTTATTGTTTTATATATATTTTGTTATTTTGTTGTTTCTCTTCAACGTGACTTTACCGAAAAAACTAAGAATATGAATAAGGCTACTTGTGTTGTGGCTGTGACGTCGTGAGAATTTTATTTTATTACGTTTTATTATTTCATTTCCATTCTACGTGGTGGTGACTTTACCGAAAGATACTCTTTGGTTCTATTGGGTAAAGTCACGTAGGTAAAAAAAATAGAATAACAAAAATCACGTTTCGGCCACAACACAAGCGACCTTCATCAGGTGAAGGGACGAGACTGTCTGGAGGACAGCGCTGGAGTGAAAAAAGCCACGTGACTTTACCCAATAGAACCAAAGATTATGGATCCTTGCAGTCACGAAAGCTTTAAATCTAGAATTTACCGAAAGAACCAAGAAGATGAATCCCTGCAGTCACGAAAGGTTTAAATCGGAATGCGTCATAGCTACCACCCCCCGGTCGCCCCACCCCCTCCACCGCCTCGCGCGCGACGCATCCAATGAGGTGCAATGTCATCCGGTCACTCGAAATATGAGAAAATGACGTCACGTGGTTACCGCACGCGTCGAGCTGAGCGCGTCACGTCATTCGAGTCTCGATGCGAGGGCACAAACGCGTGACGTCGGCGGCTCTCGCAACGACTCGAACGACGTGACGCGGATTCGCACGACGCGTGCGGTAACCGCGTGACGTCATTTTTCTCATGATATATTTAGAGTGACCGGATGACATTGCACCGCATTGGTTGCGTCGCGCGTGAGGCGGTAGAGGGGGGTGGGGTGAAGGGGAGGGCGACGGGGGGTGGGGCGACGGGGGGTGGGGCGACGGGGGGGGCGACGGGGGGGCGATGGGGGGGAGGGCGACGGGGGGTGGGGCGACGCGGGGGGAGGGCGACGGGGGGGGAGGGCGACGGGGGGTGGGGCGACGCGGGGGGAGGGCGACGGGGGGGAGGGCGACGAGGGGGAGGGCGACGGGGGGGAGGGCGACGGGGGGGGGGAGCGCGATGGGGGGAGGGCGATGGGGGGGGAGGGCGATGGGGGGGGAGGGCGTTGGGGTGGAGGCGGTGCTAATAGCACGGGCGACCCGCCCCCTGTTGAGTTATTCCTCAGCAGCGATTGGCTGGAGCGCGTCTCGCGACAGGGCCCGGGGCGGCCTCGCTGCCGATTGGGCTGCGTGGCGGCGGGGGGGGGGAGGGAAGCGCGCGGGGCCTTCGCGCGCGACCTTTGCGCGCGGCCGCGTCGAGGCGATTCCAGGTGGGGTGAGGTGGGGGGTGTGGAGGGGTGGGGAGGGGTTACGCGCACGCACGCGCGCGCGCGCCACACACGCAAGGAGACGGAGAGACACAGTAACTCGCCTCAGGTAAAAACAAATATATATACAAAAAAATTCTCCGCACAAGTCATTTCGATTTATTTCCGCCCCGCCCCGTAATAAATTTTAGTTTTGCTGTTACCGCACCTCCTATTGCACGAATTGATGGCCTCGAATGTGTTTTATGTTGTTTTGTTTGTTCGTTACCGTTGTTAAAAAAAAACTGCTCTACGCGCACCGTTGTAAAACCGCGAATGTTAAGTTAAATGTACAATGGCCACTACGCAGTGTTGTCTGTCCCTCTTTGTAAGCCTCGGGCCGTCGAGCCTGAAACTTGGCGCCAACTGCTCCCCCGTCGTCGTTGTATTTGTTTGTCACACGCGATAGCAGCGAACGAGCGAGTCGATTGTGATCCGTGCTGCTGCCTCCGCCCGCCGTTTATATAACTCGAGGGGGGCTCGCTCATTCATCAACGACAGTGGCGGGTGGGGGGGGCCGAAGCATCGTGAGGGAGATCACACAGCCACCCCCCCACGGCTGTCTCCCACCTGCAATGCGTACGACTCGCCAGGCAAAGGCCGTGGTCTATCCACTGCTGGATGAAGGTCTGCCCGTCATCATCAGCCATGAGCTGTCCACTGCTGGATGAAGGTCTGCCCGTCATCATCAGCCATGCGCTGTCCACTGCTGGATGAAGGTCTGCCCATCATCAGCCATGCGCTGTCCACTGCTGGATGAAGGTCTGCCCATCATCAGCCATGCGCTGTCCACTGCTGGATGAAGGTCTGCCCATCATCATCAGCCATGCGCTGTCCACTGCTGGATGAAGGTCTGCCCGTCATCATCAGCCATGAGCTTTCCACTGCTGGATGAAGGTCTGCCCATCATCATCATCAGCCATGCGCTGTCCACTGCTGGATGAAGGTCTGCCCATCATCAGCCATGGACTGTCCACTGCTGGATGAAGGTCTGCCCATCATCAGCCATGCGCTATCCACTGCTGGATGAAGGTCTGCCCATCAACATCAGCTATGCGCTGTCCACTGCTGGATGAAGGTCTGCCCATCATCATCAGCCATGCGCTGTCCACTGCTGGATGAAGGTCTGCCCATCATCATCAGCCATGGGCTGTCCACTGCTGGATGAAGGTCTGCCCATCATCATCAGCCATGCGCTGTCCACTGCTGGATGAAGGTCTGCCCATCATCAGCCATGGACTGTCCACTGCTGGATGAAGGTCTGCCCATCATCATCAGCCATGCGCTGTCCACTGCTGGATGAAGGTCTGCCCATCAACATCAGCTATGCGCTGTCCACTGCTGGATGAAGGTCTGCCCATCATCATCAGCCATGCGCTGTCCACTGCTGGATGAAGGTCTGCCCATCATCATCAGCCATGGGCTGTCGACTGCTGGATGAAGGTCTGCCCATCAACATCAGCCATGGACTGTCCACTGCTGGATGAAGGTCTCCCCATCATCATCATCAGCCATGCACTGTCCACTGCTGGATGAAGGTCTGCCCATCATCATCATCATCAGCCATGCGCTGTCCACTGCTGGATGAAGGTCTGCCCATCATCATCATCAGCCATGCGCTGTCCACTGCTGGATGAAGGTCTGCCCATCATCATCATCAGCCATGGACTGTCCACTGCTGGATGAAGGTCTGCCCATCATCATCAGCCATGCACTGTCCACTGCTGGATGAAGGTCTGCCCATCATCATCAGCCATGCGCTGTCCACTGCTGGATGAAGGTCTGCCCATCATCAGCCATGGACTGTCCACTGCCGGATGAAGGTCTGCCCATCATCATCATCAGCCATGGACTGTCCACTGCTGGATGAAGGTCTGCCCATCATCATCATCAGCCATGGGCTGTCCACTGCTGGATGAAGGTCTGCCCATCACCATCAGCCATGCGCTGTCCACTGCTGGATGAAGGTCTGCCCATCATCATCAGCCAAGGGCTGTCCACTGCTGGATGAAGGTCTGCCCATCATCAACATCAGCCATGGGCTGTCCACTGCTGGATGAAGGTCTGCCCATCATCATCATCAGCCATGGGCTGTCCACTGCTGGATGAAGGCCTGCCCATCATCAACATCAGCCATGAGCTGTCCACTGCTGGATGAATGTCTGCCCATCATTGTCAGTGACAAGTGGCTGGATGGCTCGGAGCGCTTTCGAGCCCAGGCCTGTCCAATTGTGATTAGACTGGGCTCACAAGTGTACCGATGGACTTCAACCCAGTCAATAAATCTGGTTCGTCGCTTAATGAGGCCGAATTCCAGCTCTTTGAGCATTTAAAAATATAGTATCTCGGTTTGACAGGCATGCGATGAACACCTGTGTGGCAGGGCAGGTGCGAAAGTACCGTGTAGTGCCTCTTGCTGTGGAGAGATCACGGCTGATAAGTAAATGAGCTACCCTGTGTGGAGATGTATGAGAAGCACGCGATGTTTGCGCTGCAGAAAACACTGACGGTGTTGAGAAATTCCCCCAGTGAATATTGCTCTCCGATTATTTAAATCATCGACAACTCTACCAATTATCAGTTCGATTTCTCGACCCCAACCCTAATTGGATAATGCAAAAAAAATTGGTGCAGGGGCGGAATCTAATCTTTGCCCCCTCGTGTGCCGCTGGACAGGAGGTGATAAGCGTTACTTAATGATGTCATCAGGATCATGTGTGTGGCCTGTAGGGAGCTGCCCGCCTTTGGGAGGTAGAGTGTCGGAGCGGCCGATAATATTTAGAGGGTCCCAAGTAGCCAACCACGAGTATTCATTACCGTTTTTAGCTGATTAATCGACTCTGCTGACCAATGTTGACTCGTAACGTTTCTGTTTGTCTCAGTATGTCCACAAACACGGTCGCGCTGGTGCTGGTGGTCGGCGGCACAATATCGGTGCCGGTGATCACCCTGGCGCTCGCCTGGTTCCTGTGCCCCACCGTCTACCTCCATGCCTTCAACTGGTGCGCGCCGAACCCTCCTGGCGGCAAGAGCGCCACGGGGACACCCCCACACATTCACGGTTACTGTCACCCTCTTTCTCTCAGGGGAGACCCCTCCAAACAAACACAAACTGCTCCAGTCTTACACCCAACTCAACGTCAGTCTAACATGTACACGCATCTGCATTGAACATCATCTCAACCCCAACTTAGCCCTGGCACCTAGCCTGGCACAAGTGCTGTGGTCACATCAACGGCACTTATTGGCGAAATGCGGCTGTTTTTATTTTGTGAGGAGTGGTAGTATAGTAGTTAGCATGCTGCACTATGAACCCAGCGACCTGAGTTTTATTCCCACTCACAGTCAACATCGGTGATAAATATCTGAACCGGCCCTGTAACTCCCTCGGGTCTACTTGGCCTCAAATGTGTACATGGTGCAGTGTGTAAACATCAGAATTGTAGAAATAAAGGCGGACGAGCGTGCTAGTCGTGGCAACACCATCCCTTTGTGTCCCGTGCCAGCCTTTATAGGTGCTCACTAACTGTGCTTGCTCCAACATTTTGTTATAGGCTACATGTCGGGGCCTTTGTTTTTCTGTTTGTTTGCGCCAAGGTTCTGGAGGCAGAGACTGGGCCTGCGTGTGAAGCACGTCACTGTCGCTGGCTACACCTTCTGCTACATGGAGCGCGGCGGTGCCAAGAGCAACGCGGGCCCGGCCATCCTGCTGCTGCATGGCTTCTCTGCGCACAAGGACATGTGGCTGCCGATGCTGCGGGTGCGCACGTTTGTTCTCCTCTCAAGTAATGGCTAATACACCTGCTGCATTAATCATCGCTGGCTGCGGGATTTCAACCGCGAACCTCTGCAACAAGCGGTGAACGCGCTGTAGCTAGGCCGTGTCATGTTCACCACTCTGTACCGCATGAAGAGACACGTCTCGCCGCGACAATCCGGAATCCTCCTGTATCAACTCTATTGGAGACCGGTAGTGTAGCAGTTAGTGCGCTGCGCTACAAATCCGGTGACCCGAGTTCAATTCCTGCTCACGGTCAATGTGTAAACATAGCCACTAGGGAGACAAAGGTGGCCAGGCTTTGTGCTGGCCACCCACCACCTCGTGTATCGTGTCGGTCTTCATAGGCCCACACCTCCGATTAGCACGGTTGGCTATGTACAGTGCGAAATAAGTTTAAGATACACACCCATCAACGAGACCACATCTCCCCAATACCCGGATCCCTCCGCTGGTTCCAACTCCAATCATAACCACAAGATCGCAATCTCCATCATCAAGATCCTCCATGGAGTTGCCCTGGGCCTACATCCCCCCTTTCACTTTTTACTCGAAGGGGAGATTCTGAGGTGGTGACATCGCCTCGGGGTGGTGACCCAGCCCAGGGGTCGAGCAATCACCGCTTGTTGCAGAGGTTCACGGTTTGAATGCAGTGGCTGCCCTGGTTATTACTGTGGGTGTCACAACCGTAATAATACCACGACGCACCGGCTACTTCTCAGTGGACGTTAAAGGTTACCTGGCATCATTTGCGAGAGCAGGCCAATGTGTTGCGGCATCAGGGTTCAAATTTGCCAAATTCAAAATGATACTACAAATTCGTCAATTGGGATTCTACATCACAATGGTAGACCAATACTGGCAGACTTATGCCCCAGGTCACTCTTGCAAATGAGATCATCCTGGTGCGAGAGTTCTCACCTGGTTAAACAATATAACCTTGAACGCTCTGTCTTTGTTGCTGCCGCTGTGGCCTGAAGCTTCTTACCCCCAACCATTCGTGCTGTCAGCTGCCTTCCCTGGTTCAAGTCCGAGTTCAAGACATCCTTCTCTTCTCCCTGTGTTTCCCCTCTTGTCAGTTCCTGGAGCTAGAGTGCCGCGTGGTGAGCGTGGACATGCCGGGGCATGAGGGGACCAGCCGTATCGCCGGGGAAGACTACAGTATCCAGGGGCAGGTGGCACGCATCCACCAGGTAACCTTGGATACAGTTGCAAGGGACGGAGGGCAAAGGAGATGTCACATCGAGCCAAGAAGCACGTCCATGTGTTGTGTGGTGTGTGTAAAATGCTTGCGGTGTGTGTACTGTGTTTAAGGTGTGTGTGCACGCTTGTGGGGAGCAGTGGTGTCGTGGTTACCATGCTAAGAAACTGATTCCCGCTCACGGCCAACACATGTTATGATTATCTGAACCAGTCCTGGGCCTCCCTTAGGTTGACTTAGCCTCAAATAAAAATGTGTAAACATTGCCACTAGGGAGACAAAGGTGGCCAGGCGTGATGCTGGCCACCCATCCACTCCTGTGCCATACTGATCTTCATAGTTTCTCACTAACTGTCCTTGCTCCAACTGTCTGTCAAGGCTCTATGGGGGATCTTTATCTTTGTTTGCCTTTGTGTTTGTTTGGCTCTACCATAGTTTGTGGGTGCCGTGGGACTCGACTCAAGCCCGTATCACCTGGTGGGCACCTCCATGGGGGGCTGCATCGCAGGGGTCTATGCTGCCCATCACCCGAAGGAGCTGTGCGCCATCACCCTCATCTGCCCCGCAGGTGATTGTGTCACACACGAACACACCAACACACAATGCAGAGATCCCCTTGCAACTTTTAACGGCTTGCTGGAGCAAGTGTTGTTAGTGAGCACCCATAAAGGCCACCACGGCAAATGAGTGGGTGGCTGGGCATCAAGCCCAGGTTGGCAGTTGTGTAGCGTAGTGCGCTGACCATCGCGCTTACACTGCTCCGAATCATAACAACACACCTCATAAATTCGAATATTTTCGTTAGTTTGTTTGTAAAACCCGAAACGTAACCTCTTTATGCTTGTCCCGTGGTACCCTTACCTCGCTGCTCCCCCCTCCACCCCACCCACCTGCTCATCCTACTTTGTCATCCTCCCCTCCCAACACCCCCCTGCCACCCTCCTCTTGCGGTCGCGGTGCAGGCCTACAGTATCCGTGCGATACGCCCTTCATCCGCGAGCTGCGCGCCCTGGAGGGCACGGACATGCGCAACGCTCGCATCAGCCTCATCCCGGAGACGCCGAGCGAGATGCGCGGCATGCTCGACCTGTGCGCCTACGCGCCCATCCGCCTGCACAAGCAGGTTGGTGCGACTGCTCATGCGCATTCACAGCCCCGTTGTCGAGCCACTGCTGGGTGAACGCCCGTCCGTACCGTCGCCGTTCCAGCTCCTGCACGTGAGCCAAATTCGTCACTCCCTGTCCGCGGCGGACGAGCTCTCGCGGGTGTTCTGTCGTTTGGATGCCGCTCCATCGTTTGTCGAGACTGCCGGCTATCTTCATTCCTTACCGTGTGTGACGCGTCCTCCCTGAGCCCACTTTTCCGAATGCGCAGAATGATGATGTATCAAGCTTGCGCGTGTTTCTTAATCCACGTGTTCCTCTTTCCGTCCCTCAGTCTAATGTCAAGTGTTCACCTCTCCATGCTTCATTATGCACTTTTAGCTTTTGTTCGATTTTCTGTGTCAATTTCAATGTTTCCAATCTATATTTCAGAGCAGGTAACATATACACATGTATTATGTTATTACCATAATGTGTTGTTATTTATTATCTTGTGTACGTGTAACATATACAAATTTTTGACGTTTGCTTCTGTAGATCCTGAAAGCCCTGGTGGAGTTGCGGTGCCAGAACAACGACTTTTACAGAGAGCGTGAGAGACGCGGCACTGCACTGCTCATGTTACAAGCACCGCACAGCACTCTCATTTAGCTATTCTCACCAGTATGAACCCTGCAAAACGATTACGGCCACAACGCTACCACAGCTCCCCCATACGTGTCCACGCCACCTGCCAACACAGCTCACCACACCGCTGGTGACTGCCGCACCAGGCTCATCGCGGGTAGGCGAGAAATTGGGTGAGTGGGCGAGGGTTTGGGCAGTTTGGTGAGTGGGTGAGTGGTTGTATCTGCAGTTCACCAACTCCTACACTAAGCAATGAAATGGCTAAATCACTTAGAGGTGTACCTCTAATCGTTGCTCTCAGGCTGTATGAAAAAAAAAGGAAGACAGTGGTCCGGTTGAACTGACGTGGTTTGGCACTGTGGCTGTGCGTGTTTCTCTGTGTAGTGTTTTTGGCGATCACCAGTGAGTCATCTCGTCATGCCCTGCAGGAGGCCCTGCCACTCATCACGACCCCCACGCAGGTCATATGGGGCCAGGAGGACAAGGTACGCATGTGCACGTATGAGCCGAAAGATATTGCTCACTTAGACATGTGTACGCATGCGTGTCTCTCTGTGAGCGATTGTCAGCCATGCAGTGATTCACCATCCACACGTGCCAGCAGTTTGATGGTGCACAGGATGCTGGGCCATGATTAGATTCAAGTTTTTAGGTTCGTTTTGTATAACCCAGTGAGAATTCAAGAGACAAGGATTGAGTCTCATAAGAGTTATGTGGGTCATCAAACTGAGAAAATGAAAAACATAAAAACCTAGCACAAAAATGAAGCATAAACATAAAGCGCACCTGCAGGTGGTGGACGTGTCTGGCGCCACCGTGATGGAGGCCGTGCTGCCGTCATGCCGTGTGGACCTACTCGAACGCTGCGGCCACTCGGTGGTGATGGAGCGGCCCCGCAAGGCCTCGAGCCTCCTCGCTGCGTTCCGCCACAGTCTTGACTTCGACGGCCCGAACGGCAGCAACGGCGGTGGCGACAGCGGCGGTGCATACTTGGAGCCCCGTGCCGGCAAGCGCGACTGAGCGCCCACTCGCACCGCCACCTTTCACACCTGACCAACCCATGGCATTTACGAGGCCACAAAGTTTACGAGGCGGCGTGTATCGATCCATCAGTCATTAGTCGATTCTAACAGAGGGTGGCCCGGTAGCTCAAAGACACTCAGCCGTCACCGCTGAAATCCTGAGTTCGAATTGAGGATTTTGCTGCCCAGCCACTGTGAATAAACCAGGTTCTCAAGCGTAAAGAGCTAATGGTCTCAGCACAAAACTTACTCAGATACCAGGAATTGCACGCACACGTGCATGCAAAAAAAAATTATGAGAAAAAAGTTGGTTCCCCGCTTGATTTGAATAAATGTCACCGTGTGAGAATTACAAGTATCAGTTTAACTGTCATGTGGGAAACATTACTTTCTGTGGCAGTGGCAGGGTAAGTGTCATCCTTTTCTGCGGGCCCTTCTCTAACGCGAAGAATCGCACTGCGGGAAGTCCAAAGGGATTCTTCGTCACACGCCCTGACATTGATACCGTTTGGGATTAATCGGGGATAAGAGATTTTTTAAATTAAATCTTGCAAAGTTGACGTGTGCATTTAAGCGTTTATCTGACTCAATTGTTTAATTTATACGCGTCACGTGTAATTGGTTCACGTGACCTCTGTAACCACTAGAGGTGCTGCTCGCACCACAGAAACAACCGGCGGTCCTTGAGTCGAATTGCGGTACTCAATCGTCGCGATTGTGTGGAATCTGGATTGGCTGGAATCGTTAAACGTCTGTCGTTTACCATAAATCTGTGGCTCAAACTTACCCACGTGGGCCTGGTCAGCTGACCCATTACACGTCAGCTACAGAGACACGGAGGGATGATTTTTTTTATATTGGAGGGTCACTTTCGAGGCAGTTGGGAACATAGCCAGTTTAGAAGCAGTTGGCGGTGCCAGGGTTGCACTTTGAGAAGTGGGATTGTGTCCTGGGTCGCATAATTTTCTTAAACACTGGAAGCAATAAGCACTAATGTAGGTTATTGCACTTACTCATTGCAATATATTGGTTGAGTGGACGAAATGTAATGTACTGCGATAAAGCATACGCAGCTTAGGAGAAACCTAGCGAAACGACGCATAGGGTAATATATTGATTTTCAAGATTGCGATATTATTTAAAGTTGTGAATCGCGTGTGTGAGGATAGATGTTGTTTAATTCTGTCTCCGTATAATTCCAAGCATGCACCTCTCCATGCTTCTTTGTGCACCTTTCAACTGGATTTCAGAAACAAGCGCAAGTTAGAGACATCGTAATGACCGTTAAGAAACAAAATAGTCGGTGGGCTGGGGTCGGAACACGTTTCTATAAAGGACGATGGCCAAGCCTGATGACAGTGGCAGCTTAAGGACGGAGCACATACGAGAATACGTTTACTGCGTGGGTCGACTCCGTGGATTGTTGCATCACATGTCTTTGAGAGATGTACGATGATGTGTGTAATCGGTTACCATGAAACCTGCAGCCACTAGAGGCGCTACAATTCGCTGAAATATTAAAGAGATTCCTCGAAACGAATTTCGTCCAGGGACGTTCGGTCAGGGGAGGCAGGGGAGGCAGAGCCTCACCTGTCATTATCCAATGAAAATAGCTGTTACGAAAAGTAAAAAAAAAGAATCAAATAAAATAAATATTCAGATTTTTCCACTGATCTGTGTTATAAATGTAATTTCTGTGTTGATTCCAATAATTTTTAAAGTCAAAATCACCAAATTTGCGGAGCTCCACTGCAAATACAGGAAGAGATGAAAGGTGAGGCAGCAACGAGCTCAGCCTCACCTCTGATTGTGCAACCCCTCAGTAACTGGATGTTACTATCTTAGTATGTCACCAATGTAATGTTTGTAGACCCCTTCATTTCATGTCCTCGCCTTCCATACTCCAGGTAACTTATTTCACGTATGTGTATAAAGATATTTAGGCTCGCTGGTCTCGGCATGAAACTGCAATAAAGAAGCACCAGGGGAGGCAGCTATTACATCTGCCTCACTGAAGGGGACGTGTCTAACACGCCCCCCTCAGTGTGTGAATCTGGCTCTGACACTAGCCAGTGCCTCCCCAGCCATTGACCTCACCGCACGTCACTGATTTTGTCCAGCGATTGAAGCGCGTTGGCTGAGAAAATACTTGCTGACGCCAACACGGTGGCATGTGGCGTACAGTGTTGAGTCAGTATTTCTATTTTCGTTCCAAGTCTGGTCAACGGCAACCTATGGATGATTTCAGAGTCATTCAGTCGGGGCTACGAAAGCAGTCTAAACAGTTCCTCCCAAAGTATGAGGGGCGCTCAATTATTTCCTCCCAGTATCAGCTCAGCCAATCGGTGAACACGGTCATGTTTTTGAATGCTATACGTTTCTAGCCAATTTCCATTTTCTCCTCCAGTGCACTGAATAATAATGAAAATGTATAAAGCGCCCGTAAGCAATCGTTCTCTGGGCACTGCAGTCTCTAACTGTATTGGTGTCTTCGTAACACGAACTGCACTGAGCTAGATTTTTAAAAAAAATATCTTAATAACGTTCCAAAATTAGCTCTGTGTTTTCACTCAAACTCGTTAATTTCGTATCAGTCGTAAGCTAAACAAAAAAAAACCCATTGAATATCTCTTGTCACTAATTTTTTTTGAAAGCGATTAACACTGGCGGTGTTACTCGGCAACCACCCACGGGGACCCACGCTTTGCTCTGTGTAATTTATACCGCAAATACTGTTGACGTGTATCAAGGTTACTGCAATAATAAAGTCATAATCTCAAGCTTTGTCTCTTTGCGTTGATGCAATAGTTTCACCACTTCACATTGGATATTTAAATTGTTTTACCGTGCAACATTCTCATAATTGATTTCCGAGTGAGATTGCCTCGCCGCGCGTGCCAATGTGTGTCGTGCACACTCCACCACCCGACACAGCCAAACAAACGCGCCCATTTACGCGTGAACACAGCAGTGCCCCCACGACTAAACATACACTGGAATTGATCATCACTTTGACTTTTTGCAACCGGTTAGCCGGTTAATAGTTTGCCGGTTATCGTTCAAACCTTAAATTAACAGTTTGAAAAAAAATTAACACATTCAATAACACTGACCTTAAAAGAAAATATATAACAGGCGACGTTTCAGGCAATGGCCCTTCATCGCGCCGAGTTAATAAGGCATACCTGTCAACCCCATATCAGTGCCTACGTTATTACAGACCAATTTAGACCTTATTGGTCACACCGTGCTCTTATAAATCTCAACGCTCATCCTAAAAAGTCCCATCACAAGGGAGAAACACAAAAAATGTTTGCCCGTATTGAAGCAGCTGTACGCCGTATGGACTTGAAAACTCAATTTTCCTGTACAAGAATACGGGTTAACAGTATGGGCTGACAGCTTTGATAAGGTATTCTTTGGCGGCTCTCGGATCTTACATTAACATGCTAAGCTCTTACATTAACATAGCCACCTCAGCGTGCTCGTCGTGGAGGCCACTCAGTGATCTTACATCAACATGCTAATCTCTCACATTAACATGCTAATTTCTTGCATTAACATGCTAATCTCTTACATTAACATGCTAATCTCTCACATTAACATAGCCACCTCCGCGTGCTCGTCGTGGAGGCCACTCGGTGATCTTATTAACATGCTAATCTCTTACATTAACATGCTAATCCCTCACATTAACATGCTAATCTTTGACATTAACACGCTAATCTCACATTAACATAGCCACCTCCGCGTGCTCGTCGTGGAGGCCGCTCTGTGATCTCACATTAACATGCTAATCTCTCACACTAACATGCTAATTTATCACATTAACATCACTAGCCCCGCCCACTTCGTTTATGACCCTTGGGCTACACTAATTAAAAACTATAAAAACAGCCTGCCTTCAGCAGGTATCCTACTCTTTTTTTCCTCCTGATGAAGATCGCTTGTGTTGTGATCGAAATGTAGTTTTTTGTTTTTAAAATAAATTTTAACCTATTAATTCCTGCAGTCACGAAAGCTTCAAGTCAAGATTTAGCAATGATAAGGGTTGGAGATCCCACTTAACAGCATTCATATAGCGACTGCCTTTCCTCTCCCGGTAAAATTAACATAATTTATTTAAAAGTGTAGTTTGGGCCCCGCCTTTGTATTGCACGAGCATAGTTTCATAGTTTAGTTTCATAGTTTCATTTATTTGGTATAGCCCTGTGAGCCATTCGGCTCTTGAATCGGGTGCAACCGCAACAAACAAAAAAACAAAAACATGAACAAGAAAACATCTTAAAGTGATGATGTGACTGTGCAAACAGAAAATCCAGGAAAAAAAGATCAAAATATTCCTGAAATAGCACCGTACACCAACGCTGTGTGCAAAAATCCCAGTGGGATGCAAGTCAAACAACAACAACAAGAAAACTTAGATTAAGGCCATCAGTCTAACTCCGTACTACAATAAACAAAAACATGGCCAAACCAACAAACTTTTAGAAATCACCAAAATAAAGCCATAAATGCAATGTAACAGTGATCATAGGAACTGTGACTGAATTTTTTACAATAAACTACATAAATAACATGTAACACCAAACCTTAGAGCCATAGCTGGCTGCATGAGTGACTCCAAAAACGACAGGAGCATGAGTCGGAGTATCACATTTTTCAATGCACCTTTAGGATCAGCACACTAAATCAAAATACAGATAATACTTTGCAACGGTCATCCGGAGCAAAACATTTTATTTTATTTTAGGCCACTCAATAGCAGTGGCAGCTAGGGGTGTACGACTCCTCTAGAGCAGTTTTGAGTGAAGATCTCATAGGTAGTGATTCAAGTTGCAGTTTATTGGCAATAGCATTCCAGACCCTGGGGGCATCAATAGCAAAGGCCCTTCCTCCAGTTTTTGTACGGCAATAGGAAATGTGAAGCTGGTAAATGAGCGAAGACCTGAGGTCAAATTTGTTCTTTGAAACAGAGAGGAGATCCAGCAGGTAGTCTGCGGATTTTTATGTAAGTACATCGTGAATAAATAAGGTCTGGTGCACAAGCCGTCGAACATTAAGAGATGTCAAGTTTGACCCACCCAACATTCGTATTAACATAAATACGTTTTTAAGGCGCTCCAACCCGGCAAGCCGCATATACAAATTAACATAATTTATTCAGATATGTCGACGTACCAAGCCACGGCGGCAATATAAAAATTAACATAATACATTCAATGTTTTCACTTGGCCTCGCCTGCATATATTAGCATAGCTAATGAGCAATAACAACTTATGGCGTCACCATGCCAACGCGTTTACGGGGCCTGCGCGGCGCTCTTGGGAAGCGGTCTCCCTTGAGGTTATTTTTTAAAGGCGAGGGGAGATTACATTTTCTAGAGCCATCGTAACAAAGACAACAACTTAAAGTTACAAACAAAACTACGAGTCGTCATAAAGACGAAGGGGGCAAAGGCACTGCCGACGCTGCTGGACAATGGCGAGCGACGCAACCGGCTCGTGGGTGAGAGACGCCGCGCATTACAACTGCACTGTAAATAATAATGATGCTAAGAGTAATAACAGTGATGTAAATGTGTGTGTGTGCACATGTTTATTCGGCCCGTGCTGTCAATTCCCCCTTGCCGGATTAGGGCCTCGACACACCACCACCACGTGCGAGCCGTGGTGGTGGTGGTGGGTGGGGGGTATTTGACCATACTTCACCACGCCGGTCACTGGGTCGGTGAAAGCGACGCGGGGGGGAGCATCAAGGCAGAGTACAGCAATGGACTTGTTGTACTGCCCACACCGTAGCCATGAAGCAGCCTACGACACCTTGCTTATGCACGGTGGCCCATTCGAGCATCATCCAGGCTCACGTCTGCTCAGCTTGAGACAACGCGGAGTGCATTCCAGACCATGTAGTCATGAACCGCGGTCGTGGTTCATCACAATAATGACTCGGCAACGATAATGTAAATTATTTACCCGGCAAAGCCTCGCTGGATCTCAACTATCCCGTCACGGCGCCGCAACAAGTCGTGTTGGGCCAGTCCACTGCTGGATGAGGGCCTCCCCACGCGGTTACGGGTCGTGGGGCGGGTTAGTTGGCCATACTTCACTAAGGCTGGCCATTGCTGGTAGATGGCAGCACGGCAAGTTGATTGAATCCATCTGTGCGGAAGTGTGGCGCGCCCTAAATACACGAGGGATTTCGCCGTGGGTCTCGATTTGTGGGGTGGAGTGGTGGCGCAGTGGTTAGCGCGCCTCGCAATTAATTAACGATGGCGAGTGATTTATTAATCGGTCGTGGGCCTTTTCCAACCCGCGCTTGACCACCGTGGTGAAGTATGCTCAAACGACCCCCGAAGACCCACATGGACACGACTCGACCCTCATCCAGCAGTGGTTTGCATCCGTGCACACGAATATGCTGGGCTCAAGTCCGTTTTTTTTCTTTTACAGCCAATATCGAGATTCATAATTGATCTTCGGGTTGGGCCACGTAATCTTAATACCGTATTCCAAATGTACCACTTTAGCCATGTGCGTCAAGGTCACGCTGCACGATCACCTCTTCCCGAAGCTACGTTATTGTCCTTCGTTGGTTCTTTCGGTAAAGTCACGTAGAATGAGAATAAAATAATAAAATAACACAATAAAATTCTCACGACGTTTTATTGTGTTATTGTCACGTAGAATGAGAATAAAATAATAAAATAACACAATAAAATTCTCACGACGTTTTATTGTGTTATTGTATTATTTTATTCTCATTCTACGTGACTTTACCGAAAGAACCAACGAAGATGAATCCTTGCAGTCACGAAAGCTTTAAATCGAAATTCAACGTTATTATAGTTTACAGTATTTACACACGCCAGTTACAGGATTGTTTTTTTAGGGCACTTGTTTTAACCTGTTTGCTGTAAGTTATGAGTTTTATGTAGATAGTTGTCTTCGCTCCTTGTTTGCACATTCCCACCCTGCAGTGTTCTTTTAACTGCGGCCGCTGCCGGACGGTCTTGGGCTGCTGCGTTCGCCGTTGCAAAAACAACAAAAAAAGAGAGCTGTTCGGCTCGATGGGCCCTTACGAGCTAACATAATAAAAGTTCCAGTGTAGAGCAAATGACCTGGCCGCGCTTTGTTGTCGCCGTCCCAGTTCCCAACCGGATTCCATGGACACTTCAGGAGCCGCTCCCGCAACGACATGGACCAGACGTTCCGGCAGGCCGCGCGGCCCACGCCGCCTTTGGCGTTCGCGCGCCGCCTGCACCACCCGCGGGTGAGCCCCGGGGGCCGGGATCGGGCCGGCCTGGCCGCGCGTGTTGCCGCCAGCTCTTTGGAATCGAGGGCCCACCGAAAATTGAGACTGAAAGTCGCCTCGATCAGGGGTCCGGCAACCTGCCGCGCCGAAGCCGGCACGCGAATCTTATCTGGATTCCCCCTTGCGTGTAGTCGATAATAATAAAAAAAATTAACAACACGTAAATCTTCAAACATAATTTAACTTAAAGATAATGTATTAAATATGGCAGAGAATGGGTCGCTATTAAATGTCTGTAAACTGAATTGTTGAAGAATAAAGGGGGCGGGGGAAACTTAATAGACGCAGTTTGTTCCATCACATACTTTATTAATTTAAGGCATGTCTTTGTTACCTGCTGTATACCTGTTGCCGTGTTTGTGTACAAGTAGCTCTCTCTGCGTGTGATGCCGCTCACGAACTATTTTGGTCAAAGATAAAAAAAAATGGTTCGTCTTTGCCGACCCCTGCACTCGATTTCGCTTGCTGGACGGTCAGTCACCTCCTTGTCACTCTGCTAGCGCTACCACCATTGTTAATGTTCCTGTGAACTTCACTCGTTCATGTCTCCACCATATGTCGATGACTCGGTTTACCAGACCGTCTTGTCTCATGCAGTGTTCAACCAACACAGAATCCTAAACGCAGCACCCTAAAAACCGCCTTGGAATCGCTCCTACATCTGCATCATCCTCAATTCAGAAAGTTGCTAGATTTGTCACTCGTTACTTTGACAACATTTTGTTGCTCGGGGAACCCAAAAGGCCACTTGGTCGAACCACAAAAACTCCAAACCGGCAACGCTACTGTGGCTTGGAAAGTGTTGTGGCTGGGACTGTGTTTTGGATGAGATTGCGTTGTGAATTCTATAATATTTTGTATTCATGAAGGACCTTCTACCAATGCGCTTAATGCTTGTAGACTAGAGTTAGATTGCGTTGTGGCTGGGAATTGCGTTTCTCCTCCCTTACAGAATGGGGCACACACACACCCCTTCTCCTGCCACGACAACCGCCACGCCGGCCTCGGCAGCGTGGGATACTTTCAGACGGTAAACGGGCACAGCTGGCATGAGTGCGCGTGGCATGGTGCGGTACGGTGTGGCACGGTGCGACACGGTGTGGTGGGCTGGCAGAGATGCACGGCCAATGCAACCATCTTGCGCCTGTCCTTCGAACACAACACTGCTGATACAACTGCCATTCATGACTAAGCGATGGCGACATCACCATGGAATCACGTGCCAGGCTAGGTGTTCGTTGATGGTACGTTGATGACAATCCCAGGTGTCATCGGTTAATGGACCGAGTTGACTGGCAGACGCACGACATGTGCTCGCACATTCCAATCTGGAGCCTCTTCCACGTGTGATGGCCAATCCTAGCACGATGCACATACTGTATGCCTGCCCCCTCACCCCACCACTCTCCACGTGAGCTCAGGGTCTGGGCCGCAAGCGCGTGAGGACTCCGCTGGCTCTGAGCGCCGGCGTGTACAACGGCGAGTTGGTGGCATGGGCGGGCAGCGCGGGGCACGAGGAGCGGCCCCTCGCCTCCACCTACCGCCTGGATTTCCTAGGGGCACGGCCCCCACGCCCGGCCTCACTGCCCCCTGCCTTCACCTCGTCGTCATCGCCGTTTCTGCTGCTGCCCCAGCTCATCGCGCCCAGGGCGGCCCTCACCAGTGCGCGGGGCAGCTCAAGGCCTGACGATGGCGGTGGCGGTGCCAGCTCCGGCGCCACCACTTACAGGCGAGTGGAGAGAAATCCTCGGAAGCTCCGCGTCCACCCACACTGGGGGTTCTGGTTTCAGTGCATTAAGAATCTCATTATTGACCTCAGGGATACACACACAAGCAAAGAGCCATCTGGCGACCTGAGTTTGTTTCCCAGCCACGGCTAACATCAGTGGCGAGTAATATCTGAACCCATCTGGGCCTCAGCTTGGTTGAATGAGTGCCTAGTGTGGTGTGTAAACATTAGCACTGGGAGACAAAGATGGTTGCGAATGGTGCTGGTCAAACCATCCCCTTGTAACAAGTCTTAAGACTACGCAGGGTCCGCAGTGCTCCGTGTATCAGCCTGAATAGGCACTCGCCAACTGCACAACAGCGTAATGCTGAACAGGGGGTGTTTTGTTTGCGCAGGGCTGCCCACGGCCGGCCAATCGACCGCACGCAGATCGCGCTTCACAACGCTGTGCCTCCCGGAGAACCGTGGGGCCAGCCACACCACCACGGCCGGCCTGGCACACGTGGCGCCTCCGCCGCACCATCTCCGCGCCCGCTTGGCGTGGCCGACTGCCTGGTGTGGTCGGATGAGACACAGCACCACCAGGTCCAGCACAGGCTGCCGGCAACAACAGTGGCGGTGGCGGCTATGCCCCGGCCCTCTCAGGGATCAGAGGCTGCGGGGCCTGTAACGATGCATCGGCCCACCATTTAAAATTGATTCCCAACCTCGCGAGAGGAAGTGTGGCACGCCCAGGGTGGCAACAGAGAGGGCAGTATTAATTGTCGGGTAGTCTCCGGAGTTTGCAACGAGTCGGAAGTGATTTAATCAAAACGTGTAGCACCTCAAATTTGCACAAATGTTAAATCTACAGCGCTCACACTGTGATAGCCTTCAATATATTTTTTATTAATGTATAATAAAGATTAGAATTAGTGTACGAGTGCGGATCTTTGGTGCCAAAGTTTTCCCAAGAAATTACAGGCTGCTGGATGATTAAAAAAAAACTTGATTTGTTACAGCTTACAGCAGATTGCATATTTTATTGATTAGTTCACAAAACGTTACAAAAGCTTTAAGACATTTACTATGATAAGCTTAGTGCATTGTATTCATTTTTTGGTTTCAACAATCAATAAACATTGAAATGATAATCCAGTGGAGCTGCAAGCCGAGTGCATTAACACGAGCAGCAGAGGGGGTGTGCAACTCCCACCCACCTTTCACCGCACCTCGTGCACCCAACCCGCTATCCCGCAAAGTAGGCACATAACGATTCGTCAGTTCAAGTCGATTCATATATACGGCGCGATACATGGATCGCGCTTGTGCGTGAGAATCGATTGCTTGCAATGCACAAATGTTTCCCTTTATAGTCAACGTTCATAATGAAGGAGACGTAAAAAAAACGGACGCGGTACGGACAGTACAAATTAGACAAATTGCAGGCAGCGCAAATCGGCACAGATGAGACGGCAGGTGGGACGAGCGATAGTGGTAAACTATAAACAACGAGCCACAGGAAAACACAATGGAGATGGACGTAGGCTTTCGCGACCAGTATTATTCAGACAGTAGTGGCAGTACAAATGAGAGGCAGTTCATATAAGACCAGTACTGACAAACAGCACACACTGTGAAAATGAGACCAAAAGGAATAGATTCTGCAATTCAATCAAAACACTCATCCATGTCAGTTCGTTAAATCACTGCACACCAATCAGCACAAAAGCATTTTGATTGGGCTCACATTCACCCACTGCGCCTCTGCTGGTAAGTGCAATCACCTTCCCTTTTTAGTGGTTTAATTTTTTCGTGGGGTCTGGGCCTGGTTGGCAGCCATGAGGCCCGAGGGTTTGACGCCCTGGCCTCCCACCGACGCCTACCCCGAAGCCTTGGAGGCGTCCGTCAGGTCGGCCAGCATCTTCTCACACATGTAGAGGGCGCGGGGTACGTGGAAGCAGCCTGGGGCACATGTGCACAGCGAAGATAGACCGAGAACAGAGGTCAAGGTCAAAAAGTCATCGCAGACAATGCTGTCCATGCCACTACACATCACGGTTTCCTTATCTGTTGATAGATCTGAAGGGTATTGTCAGGTCGCCAGCAAAACTTCGAGGACCCCTCTTAAAAAAACTCCCACGGGACACCATTCACAGAGCGCGGTTGCCATTTGCCAGAATGCAGTGGCAAGGTCACCACAGAACTTGCGTGAAGTTAGGTGCTCTCTGAGAATGTACTGAAATGCCTCCTATTATCCACTCTTCCAAATATCCACACCCAAAATCATTGCGCTGATTTACTTATTATCTGCACAACGGTACTTCCCATCTTGCGTGCTCATCTGGCAGGGCGTGAAACAACGCATGCTTCACGATGTAACAAGAAAAAGCACAACTTGTCTACGCAGGAGAGCCACACCGAGTCGTAGGACTCTTTTTCGCGAGGCTTCTGCATTGGGTTTTTACTTCAAGTTGTTTTCAGCCAATTATTGACTGATGTGTTCACGGCGGTAGTGGCGACTAATAATTTGGAGATTATGGACACAGCGGGGCTTCATTTCTCACTCTATATGTGTCCAGCTGCTGCTAGGCTTGGCTTGGAATGGAGATGATTGGCGGAAAGCACTGGACATCTTTGAAAAAGAGCTTCATAGCTCATCGGATTCCTCCGGTCTAAATAAAGATGCTAATTCTGAGTCCAAGGTACACCTATCCATAATGATGGCGGTGGTGTTCACACAGTAGCTCATCAAAAGATAAAGACCCCTGTGTAGCCTTAACAGACTGTTGGGGCAAGTGCTGTTAGCGAGCACCTTTGAAGGCCGGCACGGCACACAAGGGGGTGGGAGGCCAGCACCACGGCCAACTCAGATCGCTGGGTTCGTAGGACGGCGCGCTAACTACTACACTGCCGCTCCCCACTAGCCCATCACACACAAGCGTGCGTGTGTAAACGTTTGCCGGCTGACCACGTGACCGCGCTACCTTTGAAGGGGCCGCCCTTGAACGTGTGCGTGACGCTGCCTTGGCGGTCCAGGTACCCGTACCATTCTCCGTGATCGGCATCCGAGAACTATAGACGAAGACGAGAGAAACACGGCCAACATGGAGCACCGATCCCACGCCACGCATCACCGTCATCATCAGCCATGGTCTATCCACCGCGGGATGAAGGCCGTCGCTCACAGTCCTGCCATGGAACAATCCATCTCGCTCCCGCACATCAGCACAAGTGTCATCGCTCCCAGGATGATGGTGTTGGTCGTGTTGGTAGTAGAGGTGGTGATGGTGGTGAAAGTGATGGTGTTGTTCTTGGTAGTGGAGGTGGTGGTGGCGTTATTGGTTGTGTTAATCGTGGAGGTGGCGATGACGACGAAGTTGGTGGTGTTGGTCATTTGGTGGTGGAGGTGATGATGTTGTTGTTGGTCATATTGGTGGTGGACGTGTCAGTGGAGTTGGCGGTGAAGCTGGTGGGAGCTCCATGGCGGTACGCACTTTAGAGATGGAGTAGTCCAAGACGCGGGTAAAAGAGTCGAGGTGGCGGGTCTCGCGGGTCTCGCGGAATGCCATGAGGAAGGCGATGAGCGCCTCACAGTGTGGCCACCACAGCTTCATGGACCATTCCAACTGCACACACCCCGCAGGAGGGACACACACACAATCGCAAGTATACACACAATCGCAAGTATACACACAATCAGATACACGTCCACAATATCACACACACGACCAAGTCCACGCGCACGTGTCCACGCGCACGTGGACACGTGCACAAGTGCACATCTGCACCCGCAGGGTGCGTAGATATGCCAGTGGTCGAGATGAGCGACGGAGCGACAGTGCCCAAGAGCACGTCCACTGCGGAGACGGAGCAACGCGTGCTGTTAAGTCGCGGCACCACGAGGGATGGACACGGCTTGGGAAGGCTTCACCGCAGCAGTGGATAGATCATGGCTGATCAGGGGTAGATCTAGAAACTTCCCAAAGGGGGGCAGTCCCAAGATGTAATACTTATAAATAGGGCCAAACATTAATAAACAGGCCGCGTATTTTCTCAAGTAAATGTCAATTAATAAAATGGGTTCTCAAGGTGTTGGGGGGGGGGGGCATCGCACAAATCGCTCCCTCCCCCAGGATCCACCACTGTGGCTGACGATGACAATGACGATGATGACAATCGTGACGACGATCAAAACGATGATGACGATAACAATGACGATGACGAGAATGCCGTGTGTGTGTGTGGCCATTGCTGCCCGTGCCTGTGTGGGGGGCAGCCCGTCTGCATCCAGGAAGTAGAGGAGCCCCCCGTGCTGGGGGTCCCAGCCGGCACTGAAGGGGACATCCACGAAGCTGGCGAGCGCCGTGCGTGCCAGTGCCGCGTCTCCAAGGCGCGACGCGCGCTGTAGCAAGAACCAGCCGGCCTCGATGGCGTGGCCTGGGACCCCCCCCCCCCCCCCGAGAGCCGGCGCCATCACCGCCACCACCACCACAACAGTGTCAGCAGCGGCAACACGAATTACGCACAAAAGTGCTTGCTACTAATCAACCACAACACCTTGCTGATCTCGTCAAGGAGCATAAACCATCATGCGAGCACCGGCCATCCTCGCAGCAGCGGCTTTTGGCTGACCATCGAACAAACACGGTCACCGCATCGCGTGGCTTTCAGATGCGCTTCTGTAGCGGTCTGGAACACTCTTCCTTCTGATATTAGGAAGTCACTGGAGCTATGCAATTTTAAATCTAGATTGAAAACTAATTTATTTGGAACTGCTTTTTGCGCTTAGTTTGTTGTCCTTCCCCTGCACCTCCGATTAGTCTGGTTGGCTACATAGAGTGCGAAAGAAGTTCAACATACATACATACAACACAACCAACACGACTAACACGACTACTAGCACCAGCACATACAGCAACAGCTCCACCACCACAACCATAACCTCTATCAGCACCATTACCAGGACCACGGACAATCTCACCCGACCAGTATTGGCACAAACAGCAGCGCCACCAGCAACTCTGTCGCCACCACAGCACAACTAGAACCAGTAGCCGTAGAACAGCCAGCGCCACTATCAGCATGACGATAGCATCATCAACAATAGCTCTGTTGGTTACCCGGGTTCTGGAGGCGCCCGGCGCTGCCCGGGAGCTCCTCGCCATCGGGAGTGACCGTCTCCAGCACGACGGAGCCGCCCCTCTGTCACACACGCACACACGGACACACGGGGACACACGGACACACACGGATACACACGCACACACACAAATACAGACACACACGGATACACACGCACACACACGGATACACACGGATACAGACACACACAGATACACACGCACACGGATACTCACACAGCGACCCACGGACTCGCACGACGACCCGCAGAGTCACGGCGTGTTCCACTGTTTGTCACTGTGTTTGGCCGATTCTCTATGTTTCCGCTTGTGGAGGAGGTGAGGGCACCGTGGCTACTATGCGAGGCACCCCGTTGCTTGCGGCGGGGGTGGTGGGGGTGGGTGGCAGCGAGCCCTGAGATGGCCGAGTGGCGATGGTGGTGATGGTAGCGGTGATGGTGGTAACCGCGATAAGAGGGTTTAACCGGGACAATGTTTGCGGTCTCCCACGCTGCCCGGCGTGCAGCCGGCTCTCCCGTCCATCGCTCGTGCGAGGAGCGCAGCCAGACGCTCGCACCTGCAGGTGTTTGAGGATCCGGTCGACGCACCAGCGGCCCAGCTCCGCATTGCCATCGCCCCCGCCCACCGCCCCCTCCCCCTCCTCGCTGGCCTCCTCCATCTGCTCCAGGAGGCACAGCAACATCATGGGCACGGCGAGCGAGCTGTCGGGTGTCGCGCCGGAGAGCTGCGGACGCCCGAGGCCGGAGGGGTCCTCGCGCACCCAGCGCACGATCTGTGACATCATCTCCTTGGCAGCCACCTGAGATAGAAACGCGTGCACGTACGTGCAAGGAGAGGCACGGGCACGTACACATACAGTCACATGCGTAGACATGCACGCACATGCATGCAAACAAACTCCCGCACAACGACAACGATGCCCCATGCAGCTTTTAACCGGCTATCAATAATAATGCAATTTGTAATGGGCACATTATTTCACCAATGACTGCGACTCTAAAGCAAGCACAGTTAGCGAGCACCTTATTAAGGCTGGCATGGCATATGATGGAGTGGGTGGCCAGCACCATTCCCAGTCACCTTTGTCTCCCCAATACTGTAGATTTTACACACCACAACCAGAGTATCATTTAAGGCTGAGTAGACCTCGTGGAGTCCCGGGACCGGTTCAAACATCCGTCACCGATGTTGGCCGTGAGCGCGAATCGAATTCGGCTCGACGGTTTCACAGCGCGGCTTGCGGACCGCCACGCCCCACGCCGTCCCCCCTAATTCCGTGACCCCCCCCCCCTGCTGCGCCCACCATCCCCCGTGGACCCCTCCTCCCCGCCGCCCGCCGTGCAGCCCCCCCATAGCCCACACACCGTGTACTTGGCGTCGCCGGTAGCGCGGCCCAGCTCGCTCATGGCCAGCACATAAAAGCACTCGCTGAAGATGGTCCTCTGAACCTTGACGGGACGGCCGTCACGTGTCAGCACAAAGGCGCACTTGGGCGAGTCTGCGGAGACGCGCGCATGGCGCAGCAGGAACTCCCCCCCTGGCGGAGCACAGTAGCACGGTCCGACGGGCACCGCCGCATGGGGGGGGCAGGTGGGGGGGGACGACACAGGGATGGGGCGCACAGTGGTACAGTCCGAGCATTACAGGTGATCTAGGTTAGGACGAGGCTGGCGGTTGGAGGCGTGGTAAGCAGCAGAGCGTGCATGGTGTGGTGTGAGTGAGGAACACAAGTAAGCAGTTTATGGGGCACTGTGCGGCGAACACGATAGGCACTGTGTGAGCATTGTTGTGGTGAGTTGCGAATGGTGACCGGCGAGTGTTGAGCAACGAGCGGTAAGCCGCGAGTGGTGAGAGTGGTGAGAGTGGTGAGAGTGGTGAGAGTGGTGAGTGTGGTGAGAGTGGTGAGTGTGGTGAGTGTGGCGAGTTTGGTGAGTGTGGCGAGTGTGGTGAGTTTGGTGAGAGTGGTGAGAGTGGTGAGCGACGAATGCCAAGTGATGAGCTGGGTGCGGACCTTTTTTGGCCGCCTCGAGGATCTGTGGCGTGCGGAACCTGGGCAGTTCGCGGTACAGACGGCAGTACATCCACACCTACAAACGCAGCACACACACACGCAGCACACACGCACACGGCACACACGGCGGTGTTTGCGAGTTGGTGAATCATCATCCTGAGCCTCCAACACTCAGTAGGTCGAGTCGTGGCGCCCACACCCGTCGGGTGCCTGGTGAGACGCCAGGCAACGTGTGCAACCTACGCCGACCTGCGACGGTCCCCCATCTCCAACGATGCTTCCCTACGGCGTGGTCGAGTAGGGTGAGGAGATGCGGGGTGGTACAGTGCCCCACGTTGATTACAAAACATGTCACGTATTGGCTCTGGTGTTGCTGTATTCACACATCGTGCCTAATTTTTTGTGACAGACAATTATTAAAGAAAATCTACTAGTCAAAATCAGATTTGAGGTTTTTGGGGGGGAGCGATCACCTCCATCGCCCACCTTTGGATCCACCGCTGTACAGGTGAAACACTGGGGGGTGAGGTGAGGGATTGAGAGATGAGGGCTGAAGGGAGACGGCTGAAGGTAGCGTCACTCACCTGCCGTCCCTGTAGCCACACATACTTGAGCTCATCGTAGACGGCACCGTCGCGGCCCAGGCACGTGAAGAAGCCTCTGATCGCAAGCCGCGAGGTGGGGAGTGGGTGGGAAGGTGGGGGACCACAGTGCGGGCCGTCTCATCGGCAGCAGCAACAACAACAATAGTGATCTTCTTTGGTTCTTTCGGTAAAGTCACGTAGAATGAGAATAAAATAATAAATTGATAAAATAAAATAACACAATAATATTCTCACGACGTTTCGGCCACAACACAAGCGGCCTTCATCAGGTGAAGGGACGAGACTGTCTGGTAGGACAGCGCTGGAGTGAAAAAGCCACGTTCAGATCACGACCTTTAAGCTGTGTGAGAGGCTTTTTCACTCCAGCGCTGTCCTACCAGACAGTCTCGTCCCTTCACCTGATGAAGGCCGCTTGTGTTGTGGCCGAAACGTCGTGAGAATATTATTGTGTTATTTTATTTTATCAATTTATTATTTTATTCTCGTTCTACGTGACTTTACCGAAAGAACCAAAGAGGATGAATCATTGCAGTCACGAAAGCTTTAAATCGAAACAATAGTGATGATAAACAATGGTCATGATGCGGTGAGATTTGGGGTGGGGAGATTGGGAAGGAGGGGGAGGTCAGTCCCGTCAGTAGCAATGACGATGATTTGATTACATCGCTAAAAAAGATGGCAATGACGACCACGATGATTGTGATGATAATATGTAAAGACAATGATGATGAAAATTAAGATTATCGTGCAGCGTTGATATCAATGATGACGCTGATGATAATAATGCTGAGAATGATGGTAATAATGATGACAATGATTATGCGTTTGTTGATTATTATCACAATGACTATGATGATACAATGATGATGCTGCTGCTTATGATTATTATGACAATGCTGACAGCAAAGTTATCATAGGTGACAATGATAACGACTGCTGAGCCTTTTTCATCCCGGAGGTGTGTGGTCTGAGGTCAGGGGGTCAAGAGGTCAGGCTAGGACGTCGGTGCCGTCCCCCTCTGCGCCATACCCGTGCTCCTGGTCATGCGAGTGCCGCAGCCAGAACGCCATGACGCGGTCGAGCTCCGTCCGCACCCGGGTGAGCAACTCAGGCAGCCGCTTGGTGGCCATCACCCTGTGTAGCGTGACACGCGCTGGTGGTGGGGGGGGGATAACGGTGCTTCAGCTGCTTGTGGTCCTCGTGGAATCGCTCCCTTTAGGTGTTGTACTTCCCCCGCATCTCAAATTAGCACGGTTGGCTACGTACACTACAAAAGGAGTTCAACATACAGACTGTAAATACGACCGTTCGTAGCGAACGAGGCAGTACAAACCAGACATAGCGTAAAAAAGGTAGACATAACACGGGACGGACAATAAACACGTGTAAAAAGCACGCGGCCTCTATGCACCGTGCCAAAACCATCAGCAGTTCCTGACGTTGTGCGTTTCAGAGGTTCGAGTGGTGTGCACGGTTTTCGGGCCCGCACTATTACTCCGTTGCGATGGCGAGTGCTCTCTCGCCATTTACAGATTTCAATGCCGGCGACACGTAGCGGGCGGCAGGGTTGGTGGTGTGGTGGTGACACTCGTGCCTCACAGCAAGAAGGCGTCTGGGTTCGATTCCCGACTCCGGTGCCTTTCTACGTGGAGTCTGTACGTCATCACTCTCTCTCTCTCCGTTCTACATGGGTTTCCTGCAGGTTCTCCGGTTTCCTTCCACAGCTAAATACACAACACACACACACAGTGTAACTGGGTATTATACATCCCAATGCTGAGATATCACCTGCAAATCACTGAACTCGGATCACACTACACAGCAGCTACATTGCCCTCCCCCCCCTGGCTACTGCGAACAAACTTGACAGGACCCTCCTGAAAAAGTTTTGAGACTAGGTGAGGCTTTTCTGGGACAAGTAAAGTAATACTGGTAGGAACCTCCTGGTTACACCACCAGCCCACTGGGGATTATTGTGTCCGTCCGTCGCGCATCCAAAAATGGGAGGGGCTGGGTGGAGGGTGGGAGGGGCTGGGTGGGGAGGGGCTGGTCACCCCGTGGTGCCCTTATAAAACTCACCGTTTCACCTACTCACGCCGGCTTGTGCCCGCCCTCACAGTCGGGCATATTTTCGGAATACACCACGTGGTGCCGCCGTTGACCCTGGCCATTGACCGAGCAACCCAACGTTCCTACCAGCTCCCTCCGCAGGAGAATGTGTTTTATCCAGTCCCAACAAGGTGATCAAAGCAAACAGACCGCACACACGAAGCTACTGCACGCGTGGCGAAACAAAACGAGGACGTGCCAGCTGAGCCAGGAAAAACACAAATGAGGCGGAGAGCAGGAGTGGGCACCAGTCACGCCGAGCCCCCCTTCACGGGGAGTCCAACTCATGTGGCACAGAGTCCGCGGAGCCGAATGCAGACCCGACGCTCACCGCAAAGCGTGGGACGCGACAGCCTCCCCTGTGTGCACCCCCCCCCCCCCCACAGGCCAAACAACGCCGACAAGTTCGCCGGGAATGCAGAAACACGTGTGTCATTATATAAGCAACCCAGCACACGTGCCAATAACACTGCGTGGCCCTAAGAAAACATATATAATGGGCGACGTTTCATGGAAAAACGCAAAAAAAGTGCCATTTCCCGAAACTTCGCATATTATATGATTTTAAGGGCACGCAGTGTTATTAACGAACGTGCTGAGTTTTATTGTCACTTATGCACCACTAGCAACGCAAGAGCGTCACCAAATAATGTACACTACGATGGAGTAAGCACGGCGGTGGAGTGGTGGCGCAGTGGTTAGCGCACTGCGCTTCGAACCTAACAAATTTTAAAATTTGAATTCCCGACCCCAGCGAACATAAGCGGCGAGTGACATCTGAACAGCGCCCCAAGTTTTAAGCAAACGAACACACTTAAACAAAACCCGCATGGACCAGCGTGGTGAAGTATGGTCAATAAACTTCCCCTCCCCACCCCAGCCCCCATGACCGACACGGCGTGCTTGGGGTCTTTCTCATCCATCCAGCAGTAGAGTGGAGTGGCACAGCGAGCCAGATGTGGCTCTTTTGATGACTGCATCTGGCTCGCAAATAAATCTTAGCTGACATTTCCTAACATGATAAGTAATGAATCATTCCGCTAACATTAAAGTAACACATTACAGAAATCACAGTGTTAAAAATAACATTTAAAATATAAAACATTCTCATGCATTTTAATCCATCCATCCATTTTCTACCGCTCCTGCTCAGGGTTGCAGGTGTCTGGAGCCAATCCCAGCTGTCCGACACCAAAACTCTTTTTATTGGATAATGCGGTAGCCTACGGGTCGTTGTGAGGTCAAGAAGTAAACTTCCGTCCTTTTAATCAAATAGTCAGCTAGCTAATTTATGCAGAGCAAACCCTTTTGATGAAGAAGATGGCGAAAAGTAAAAAAAAGACGAGGACTACCGCACATTTCAGCACGAATGGACAGAAAAATTCGCCTTTGTGGAGAGAGCAGGTTCTGCGGTGCATCTAATATGCAATGATAAAATTTCATCGATGAAACGGTCAAATATAAAGCAGCACTTTGACACACGCCATGCTACATTTGCATCGAAATATCCAGCGGGGGACAGCAGAAAGAAGGCATGCGCCAAGAGCTACTGTCAAAGAGTGCAAGCTCGTATCAACCAGACTACAAAGCCATCAGCAAAACCATGCAGCACCAGAAGTCGCATTAATGGTAAGAAGTATTTTATTTATTATTGGTTGTTGGTATAACGTTATTAAAAAGGATATATTCAGAGACTTATTATATTCCAAAATTGGTGGTCTTAGTTAAAAATACACGCATTTAGTTGTATTCAGTGTTAAAAATTTATTATATGGCTCTCACGGAAATGTATTTTAAAATGTGGCTTTCATGGCTCTCTCAGCCAAAAAGGTTCCCGACCCCTGCTCTAAGTGCAGGCTGAATTAACAGGTGGTTTGAGCGGAGCGCAGATGTTCGCGTTAACCATTAACCCGAGAAGCGCTTTAGCTAAATGCAGCAGCTGCGTCGGGATTATTATCCCGTACTAATAACCTCGCCAGCAGAGTTCACATCCCAGGCACGGCTAACATCAGTGGCAAACATCTCAACTGGCCCTGGGTCTCTTCACCACCAACCACAGCCCCCCCCCCACTCCACCCCCAACCTATTCACCAACCCGCACTGACCAGCGTGGTGAAGTATGGTCGAATCGAACCCGGGAGACTCCTCCTCTCTCCCAAGCGCTCCTACAATCGTCATTACCTCGCTCAATTCAACGCAACTGTCAACTCTTTGGGGCCGTCCATAAATGACGTCACGCGATTTTGGACGATTTTTGACCCCCCACCCCCTTCGTCACACGGCGTCACAAAAAGTCAAACCCCCCAAATATGACGTCACAAAGCTCTGCCCCCCCCGCCCCCCCAAAAATATATAAAACATGCTTCAAGTCGCTTTAAACTATCGTCATTGTAGTGCGTATTTAATGTGGCGCTGCACTCTGATGTTGTAGGAGAAAACATTTATTAAAAAGTCTATTTAATTAAGTAGAACGTGTTGTCTATATGTATTTAAAGTTGCGCATTTTGATGTGACGTCACATTTCTCACCCTCCCCCCCCGTCACACATCGTCACGAACGTCTGACCATCCCCCACCCCCCCAGGTGCGTGACGTCTTTTATGGACGGCCCCTTTACCCACTGCAACTTTGGTGTGTGCCGTTTGTTGCGGGCCGCCTGACACCTCATTGAGCACGTGCTCCGCATATTGCATACAGTACGCATGAATTATACACACACACATAAACCATATATACATAAAGACAAAGACCCCCCCCCCCCCTATAGCCTTCAACTGTCGGATAAAGTGTGTTATCGATAACCAATTAAGGCCGGCAAGTAACGGCCAGGAGGACCACGACCCGGCCGCCTTCGTCTCCCCCGTGCTGATGTTTACACTCGCAGACACAACAACAGCCGCCGCCGTTCACCACCAAGTGGCGGTGACGTCACCACGGCGCTTGTGCCAGGCTATGTATAAACGTTGAACTTCTTTCGCACCGTACGTAGCCAACCGCGCTAATCGGAGGTGGGAGACAATAAACTAAAACACAAAAAGCCGTTCAAAAGAAACTCTGGAGTTTTCAATCTGGGTGTAAAAGTGGATGTGCACTTTGAGGCCGCGTGAAGGTTCGCTGGTAGCAGCAGCAGCACCAGCAGGTAACGGAACACGCCCAGGTGCCATGGCCCGACTCATTTAGGAATGGCTGGTAGATGCGCCAATTGTGTGCTCCGCCACTGTGTTCACTTTCTGCGTTTTACCCGCCCGGCGATCTGCTCGTTGTTGTGAGCGTCGCTCCTGTTTCCTCCTTTTTTTGTTGGAAGTCGCGACATTCACGAGCCCCGTCCGCAGACTCTGAGATTAGGGCTACCCACTAAAAAAGAATAAAACATTTTTTTTCCATAATACAGCTTTTGTTTCTTCTTTTAGATTTTTATTTTAGCAGGTAAGGCCCACTGAGCTATAGAGCTATTCTTCAGAAGCGACCAGGCCACAGATGATATCTCAACAAAGTGGCGCGTCGTGTGGAAATGCATAGCAGCCAAATACTCCCTAAACGCACGATTCTAAAAGAGGTGATAACCCCGGAGGAACCGGAGAAAAATCTGCGCGACCACGGGGAGAGCACGCAAACTTCCCAAATATACAGCAGTAAGGGCGTCAGGGTCGTCAACAAACCCTCGTGTATACCAGGCGAGGTATTTAACTTCTCCCAGCCACCGTAGCCCCATTCACTCACCCACTCACTGTGTGTGTGTGCGTCTCCTGTCGGCACCACCACCAGCAGCAACAGCAGCAACGCCCCGACCGTTCCTCTGCTGCACGCGGGACCCGATCAGCTGATCTACCCCGGTCACGTGACACCCCACCCACCGCCGCGAGACCCACGTGACTCCTCGTCGCACGTGACTCGCCGAAAGAGGAAAACACAAGCTTGTGACGTCAACGGCGCAGAGAGTTTCTATTGGCTGACGGGAAACGATTCTAATTTCCCAGCACGGTTAGGCAGCCGTTTTGAATTGCGTAGTCCCGATAAACCGAGGGGCTGTTGTGTCAAGAGTCTTTATTTAGACCGGATGTCGGAATCCGATGAGCTGTGAAGTTATTTTTTTACGGATGTCCGGTAGGGGCGTGTCAGAACGTTACAACAAACAATAGCATAGCTGTTAACCTATACGGTTTACCCGTATTCTTGTACAGGGGGCTTTTTGATGGGACTTTTTAGGATGAACGTTGAGATTTATAAGGGCACGGGGTGACCAGTAAGGTCTGAATTGGTCTGTAATAAGGTAGGCACTGATAAGGGGCCGTCCACAAATTACGTCACGCGATTTTGGACTATTTTGACCCCCCCTCCCCCAGGTGCGTGACGTCATTTATCGACGGCCCCTAAGGGGTTGACAGGTATGCAATAGGAGTGCAAAATAGAGAAAAGGTACGCAAGTCATGGAAAATAAATAAATATGGCGTATGCTTTAAGTATAAATTACTTTTCGATTTAAAGCTTTCGTGACTGCAGAGATTCATCTTCTTGGTTCTTTCGGTAAAGTCACCACCACGTAGAATGGAAATAAAATAATAAAAAACAGCAAAATAATTTTATTATTATTTTATATAATAAAAAGAAAGCAATAAAGTTATTTTATTATTATTTTATTTACATTCTACGTGACTTTACCGAAAGAACCAAGAATACAAATTACTTATTTACATAAACTCCTGTCGATTTTTCAACAAATGCAAGCTTGGGCAAGGCAGCAAAACAACAACAATCCCAGACCGAACCAAGGCAACACACAGTCAATCCAAACAAATTGCACGTACTAAACTACTCTCTTTATTTTACCATGTAAGGCCCACTGAGCGATAAAGCTCTTTTCAGAAGAGTACTTGCCACACATGACAGCTCAACTAAGTGGCTTACGTGGAAATGTATAGCAGCCAAATACTGTACTCTAAACGCATATTGCACTCTAAACATTGAACTTAAAAATTTCTGCAAGACAGAAAACAATAAGGCGCTATGATCCTTAATTAGATTATTTTGGGTGAGATCGTCGTTTAGTGTACTTGATATCTTTTTTACACGCTTTTATTTACCTCACTGTTGTATCCTCAAATCTTGTAGCTCAATTTTAACCCACTTCGCAATGTGGTATCGACTGCAAACTTAGTATAATTATGTCATACTGATGACAATACTATATTCTATCATTAAAAAAATATATTCTTAAACAATCTTTATTATATGTTATGATTCGGCTTGGGTCTGATTGTCGACGCTGAACTCACGTTGGCTGTAAATGACCACGGTCCCCATACGTTGTGGCAAGCTTCGGGGCCACTTCCTGGAGTCGTGGTGGAGTTCTGCCATTACGAGTACGGTACATTTCATTAAAGCGTGTTTTAAAAAATATATATTTTTAAATATTACTTATTTACTATAGCCTTCCACCATATCACAGAGCCAATTCCAATCACGGCATAAGCAAATATGCCCCAATTTACGACCCCTGCTGGACGAGGGCCTTCCAACGCCACGTGCGTCGTGGACAATGTCTCCCTACACTTGGTTGAAGCTGGGGAGCAGATTGGATTTTGCGACACCGGCCACTTACCGGCCTCCACAATAGATAGTTTTTAGTTTCATAGTTTAATTTATTTGGTATAGCCCTGTGAGCCATTCGGTTCTTGAATCGGGTGCAACCGCAACAAACAAAAAACAAAAACATGAACAAGAAAAACATCTTAAAGTGACTAGATTTGCCACACGTTCCACTGTAGACCAAACCAACACGGTGCTCAGTCAGCACGATCAAAAGTGCAGTTTGCGAAATAAGGGTCAGCACAATACCGGGTTTTTTTGTTGTAAATTATGTTTTAAATGTATTTATATTACGTTAACGCTGAGTGCTGCTGCTGTGTCCTGCACTAGCGCTTTGAGATGCTTAGTTCATAGTTCATTTATTTGGTATAGCCCTGTGAGCCATTCGGCTCTTGAATCGGGTGCAACCGCAACAAACAAAAAACATGAACAAGAAAACATCTTAAAGTGATTATGTGACTGTGCAAACAGAAAATCCAGGAAAAAAATATCAAAATATTCCTGAAATAGCACCGTAGACCAACGCTGTATGCAAAAATCCTAGTGGGATGCAAGTCAATAACAACAACCACAAGACAACTAAGATTAAGGCCATCAGTCTAACTCCGTACTACAATAAACAATAACATGGCCAAAATTAAAAAAAAAACTTTTCGAAATCACCAAAATAAAAGTCATGAATGCAAAGTAACAGTGATCATAGGGACTGTGACCGAATTTTTAACAATAAACTACATAAATAAATTATAACACCAAAATCTAGAGCCATATTTTAGGGCACTGAATAGCAGTGGCAGCTAGGGTTGTACAACTCCTCTAGAGCAGTTTTGAGTGAAGATCTCATAGGTAGTGATTCAAGTTGCAGTTTATTGGCAATAGCATTCCAGACCCTGGGGGCATCAATAGCAAAGGCCCTTCCTCCAGTTTTTGTACGGCAATAGGGAATGTGAAGCTGGTAAATGAGCGAAGACCTGAGGTCAAATTTGTTCTTTGAAACAGAGAGGAGATCCAGCAGGTAGTCTGCGGAATTTTTTGTAAGTACATCGTGAATAAAACTTGATGACAACCGCTATATACACGTAATTATTATTAGTATTAAATAGGCTCCACTAACTTGGGGAATCAACAGTCAACAAGTTGCCCCGCCGTGGGAACGTGGAATCCGACACAGCGATCACGGGGCACGTACGTGACCGGCACTTGACACTCATTTACACATCACGTGGGGGGGGGGGCCTCAACGACCCGGACCGTGGGAAACAGCTAAATCCGACCAATGAGCGAGCAACGCGACTACGGACGTCACTTCCTGCACTCGGGGGGGGGGGGGGTGTAGGGGATGGAGAGAGAGGGGGGGCTAAAGCGGCGGGGCTCTCCCATCGATTCGCCGAGAACAATGCCACGTGACGCCGCGGCACGTGACACGTGACTCCGCTTCCCCCCCCCCTCCCCCGCTCACGAGGGACCGGAGCTGCGGTTGCCGGGGCAACGGAGCCCCCCCCCCACCTCCGCACCTCCCCAACAGTCCTCGCCTCATCACAGCCATCACCAACCACCATCATCATCGGCAGCCTCATTAAGGTGTCGCCTAGCAACGCGAGGCCTCTTTTAAGCGGAGGGGAAATCGCGCAGTGAGTCGAGGGTCTCCCCTCCCCCCCACTGCCTCGCCTCGCCTGGGCCTCCACCGCGCTGGGCACCCCCCGTGGCACCGCGACTCGACTAGCGCCGTGGCCCGGGCGGGGTCCCCGGGGTTGAGGTGTCTCCTGGAAAGGGGTCTCACTTGGTCGCGGTTCTAGGGGTAGACGCTGCCAGGGCTAAGGGGGTCTTAGGGTAGAGGTCATTTGACCGCGGTAGCGCGCGCAGTTCGGAGCGCCTCGTCGGCGGTAGGGGTCCCCGGAGTAGGGGTCCCGACGAGTCGGGGGGGTGGGGGGGGTCTGTGGTAGGGGTTTCTTTGCCAGGGGTTCTAAGGTTAGGACTTTTAGGGATAGGGTCTCAGGTTTGGGGGGGGGGGGGTCCCAGCGGGTAGAGATTTCTTGGACTAATTATATCAGGGGATAGGGGGGGTCTCATCGGTGGGGGCCCCAGGGTCAGGTGCATCCTGCTCCGCTCCACGGCGATGTCTCTGCTGGAGAAGCGCGCCCCCAGCAAGGTGCTGGTGGACGACACGGCCCCACTCGCGTGCTTCATCGAGGCGGCGCACAACGTGCACACGCACACGGTGAGCGCGCACACTCACACCCCGCGCACTCACACCCCGCGCACTCACACCCCGCGCACTCGCACCCCGCACTCACACCCCGCACTCACCCCGCACTCACCCTTCAGCCACCGATGAGTCGCCCTTGTAAACGTGGCCGGGTAGCCCAGCGGTAGCGCTCCAAATCGGAAGGCTTGCGAGTTCAAACCCTGGTTGTGGGGTTATTTAGCCCATCGTTCCTGCTTCTAGGGTCGATACAAATAAGTACCACGTTGTGCGGAAGCCGACACTGTACCTGATGATGTTTGCTTGTGTTCCAATCGAAACGTCGTACGCTATTATGTAATTTTATTATTATATTTTTTTATTATTTCTTATTTCTACTTGACTTTACCGAAAAAAAAACAAAGAGTAATTCCTGCAGAAAGCGTCAAATCAAGTCAACAGTGTGTTTAATGTTGGATAGACTCGCCCCACCATAGGAATGTGGAGTTTCCATCACGGGCTTTAAAGGAGATGAGCACCGCCTCGAGTTCTCCTCGGCCTTCCCCAGTCCCCTTCGATACACCCTCCAGGTTACCCCACAAGTTTTAACGCCTTCGAGATCAACCCCCCCCTAGTCACCCTGAAGCCCCCGCCATGCCACTCATCTACCCTCCACTCGTCACTTCACGACCCGAACTGCGCGGGAAAGGCCCTCGTTCAGCAGTGGATTTGACAACAGCGGCTGTGCGTGTGATTGTTATGAAGGGGGGGGAGGGCGGGCAGTGTGAACCTGGGCTCAGGGCTCGTGGTGAGGTTGCTTTGGGCCGTCTCCGTGTTCGCACCGTCACACTCCACCGTCTGCCCCCCCCCCCGCTCCCCTCTCCACCTCGTGTGTGCCTGTGCAGGAATACATCGTGCGAGTGCAACGGGGACCCAATCCCGAGAACAGCTGGCAGGTACAGAGGACCATCGTCGTCATCGTCACCACAACCATCGCTGACAGCAATATTGCCTCGACAGCCTACGTGTGTGTGTGTGTTTGATTGTGCGTGCTTGTGTATCGGAAAAGCCGGCCGGGCGTGGTGTTGGCCACCAATAGTGTGCCACCCTTTATAGGTGGTCGCTAACAGCACTGGGCCCATCAGTCTGTTATGGTTTAACACGTAGGCTTTCGCGACCAATATTAATAATAAAGGTTTTTGGGTTAGATCGAGTTAGTATAAATGTGTTGTAAACCCTCCACCACCCGACACAGCCAATTAGTAAACAAAACTTTCACGTGACAAATCGCCCGATGATGCTGGATGTCATTACTAGTGAAACGTAATCAAATTGTAAATGTTGTGGATTTACTATCCAACATACTGGTGGGCTGAAGTAGTAACTAATTGGCGTTTTGTGTACGTGACAAATCCCTTACTAATTGGCCGTGTCGGGTGGTGGAGGGTTACGGCACATTTATACTTACGTGATCTAACGCAAAAATCTTTATTATGAGTCTGTATTGGCTTAGCGTTGGATCGCTTTCTTTGTCTGTGTATCCCTCACCAGGTCAAAAAGAGATATAGCGACTTTGACGCTCTCAACACGAGCCTTCAGGTGAGATGTAAACGTGTGCCACAACAACTACAACCACTGCCATCACGATGAGCACTACCAACACTCTCACCGCCACTACCATCACCACCACTACCACTACTACCAACCACATTTACCATAACAATACCAACCAATACCTGCCATTCGCCACTAAGTGATGGTGACATCATCACAGCGCATGTGCCAGGCCAGGTGCACTTTGAGGCCACGTGAGGTGTCGAAGGCTCGCTGACAGGAGGTCTCGGGACAGACCCAGGTGCCATGGGTTGGCTGACTGAGATGACTGGTAGATGCACCAGCTGTGCCAACTTGCTGCATTTTAGCCGCCCGGTGCTCCGTTCTGCCAAGCACCATGGTGGAAACACCAAAATAAGCTTGTGCGAGAATAATCAACAATACAACCTCCATTAGAGGAAATGCATTGTTTTTTTTATTAATATAAAACCTGTACAGGCTCCCTCCCACCCTGCAGACAAGTTTTTAGCTCCGTTTCTCCAACAGTTTGTGTAGGCTGCATAGGGAAACTTTGTGTATTAGATTCTCGCTCACAGCACTTGCCCCAACAGTGTGTTAAAGGCTGCATGGGGGGATCTTTGTCTTGGTGTCTGTGTATCCCTCGCCAGGTCATAAAGAGCACATAATCAGATGCTGCGGTCTGTAGTGATAATAGCGTGACGGTGGCTCGTGCGCTCCAGGTGTCGGGCGTACCGCTGGCACTGCCCCCCAAGAGGCTGCTGGGGAAGCTGGAGCGGGAATTTGTGGCCGAGCGTCAGCGCGGGCTGCAGCTCTACCTGGACGCGCTCACGGCGCATCCTGTGCTGGCCACATGCACCGCCGTCCGCCTCTTTCTCGACCCCGACTCCTACCCGGCAAACTACACCGGTGTGTGGCACGCGAGAGAGAGCCCACCGGCGCGACCACACCGCAACTGTAGTGACAAATACGCTACTGCAACGGCAGCATCAACACACTACTGCAACTACTGCACTACAGCCGCAGTATCATGTCGAGGACTCCACCAGACCGGCTGTTTCATCTCTTCCACAATGTGTGCAACCACCACTCTGTAGGTCACAACGTCTCACTCACTCACCCACTCACCAAACTGCAGGTAACCTCACTTATCTTTCTGCTTCTTCCCTCACACTTCTCCACTCTGGAATTCCTTCCCAACGTCTATTTTCCCAAGCTTTTATAATAAGTAACCTTGCTCAATTCGGAAATGTGTGAACCCTTATCTATCACAACTTTGATAGTGCTGTTGTTTCTACCCGCTTGACGGTTTGTGCCTTTTTGAGCCTGTGCTCAGTAGCTGTGTAAAATAAAAACCACGCCGCTGCAACAACCACATAGCAGCCACAACTACAGTAACACCCAGGGTAATTCACATAAAACACGAACAGTGACAAACATACCACAGCAACAACCACAACATAGCATTACCGGAACAACCACACAACAACGAGGGAGCGACAAACACTACCCCGCTGCAATTGCTACAGCCACACAACAACCGCTCATAATAGTAACAATTGCTGCAACAACCGCTATTGTGTGTTATTGCACGTGACACGTCCACTTTCGTACGTGTGTCTCCTCCCCCGCCCATTCCCGCCGGTGCCCAGAGCTCGCGCTGCAGCAGGTGTCCATGTTCTTCCGCTCAGAGCCGCGATGGGAGGTGGTGGAGCCACTACGTGACATGGGTAGGGGTGTGCATGTGTGGGGGTGCTCGCTAACAGCACCTGCCCCTACAGTCTGTTAAGGCTATACGGGGGATCTTTTATCTTTGTATGGGGATGTGTTAGATTCGCACTCATGGTTGACACCAGTGCCAATTATTTGCACTGGTCCTGGGCCTCCTCTAGGTCGACTCGGCCTCAAATGAGTGTGGTACTGTGTAAACATTGCCACTCGGGAGGCAGGCCGTACACAGTGCTGGCTACCCACCTCGCGTGCTGTGTCAGTCTTCATAGAAGCTCACGAACAGCACTTGCTCCTAAGTTCTGTTAAGGCTATATGGGGGATCTTTGTCTTTGGAAGGGATAAGCACTATGCCACCACTGCGAGAGTGTGCTGCACGTACGTACGCACATTTCCACACGCACCATGGTTAGCGTGCCTGCACGTTGAGAAATAACGGTGCTGGACGTGACATCATGACGCCCGCAGGGTGGAGGATAAGGAAACGCTACTTCCTCATCAAACCCAAGGAGGAGCCCAAGACCAGGCAGCTTCTGAGCTGGGTGAGCATCCACCGTTACCTGCTCGCCCATCTACCAACCCACCCACTCACTCGTACAGGCACCAACCCACCCGTTCGCCCACTCACTCACTTGCCCACTCACTCGCCCACCCATGCCCAATGCCATCAACAAGCTCACTAACTCGATAAACCACCCGCTCACCCAACCACTTGCCCGCTCACCTACCCACTCCCTCGCCCAATCAATGACCTGCGAACCCATTCACCCGCTCAGTCCCCCATCCGCTCACCCAACCACCGACTCACCTTTTGTCGTTGTCTTTGTCCATCCCATTCTGGACTAGGCTGACTTTGGACCGGATCAGTTCCTGTCCACCAAGGACCTGCAGGCAGCCATGAAGCTCCTGCCTAACATTTCTGTGAGAGGCGTGAGACCACACACATACACATGTAACACACACAACACACATGTACCACATGACATACTAACACGTAACACACACATGTAACACACAACGCACACACTACACATGTAACTCAAGCGTACATAAACACACACAACACACGTAACACATACGTAAACATACATGGCACACGTATAGTAGGATATGAACCATCTCAAGCATACCACACTGTGTACAACACGTGTGTTACACGTTCTGTGCCGAACATACCATATGTACCGCAGCACTCATAATTCGTCGTGGGTACCACTCTGTGCATACCATACCATACGTACCATACCGTGCACGCCACTTTGTGTGTAAAACACGGTGTATATTGAGAATATCACATCGTCCGTACCGCACAACATATACAATTCAGTGAATGTCATGGCATGCCTACTGAATTCGGTGTACTTCACAGTGCGTAACATTGCACATATCACACTGTCCGTACCACACTGTACTTACCATACATACCACACCGTGCCTACCGCATCGTGTGTACCACACCTTGCGTACCAAACCCTGTGTTACCACCCCGGTTCTCCCTTCCCCAGCACCCATACGTGGCGCCGGCCGCCTTTGCGGAGGCGAGCGAGTCGTCGGGGTTAGTGGTGCGCACCATAAATGACAAGGGCACGCTCAGGGACCTCATCCACAAGGTGCGTAGGGGTCTGGGGAGAGAACTGGGGAGGTGTGGGGTTGCGACTGTGCCGGGTCGTTGTGCGTGCCGCTCGTTTATGCCGTACCACATGTGCAGTTTAATTTATTTTGAAAGCTGTGTTAGGGGGGGGTTGGTTAAACCATCAGCTGAATTGGAGGTGTTATGTTCATGGTGTTGTCTGTATGGTGTTAATGTTGGTGCCAATTTAATGGCGTGTCGAGTGTCCCCGTGTGTCTCCGTGTCCATGTCCTTGTGTCACCTTGTCCCCTTGTCCGTGTCTCCCCGTGTATCCTCGTGTGTCCTCATGCGTCTCCTTGTGTCTCCGTGTATCCTCATGCGTCTCTGTGTGTCTGTACATCTGCAGACGAAGCCACGTGACCACTTCCTGTACAAGTACTGTAGCCCGCGAAGGAGTGCGCCGCTGGATATCGCTCACGTGCGCCTCTACGGACGCCAAATACTCGAGGTGACGGGGACCGGGTGGCTAGAGTTACACTATGTCCTTGTGTGTGCACGTATAAGTCCGTGTGTGTATTCCTGTGTGGATATGTGTAGTGAGTCTAACTGAGTCGCAGACGTTATACTTTAGAGGCACGACATTTATTATAACACGTATATACAAGGGGGTAACTGCCCCTTTACCAGATACAGCCTAGGGTGGTGAGCACCCAGCTAACTACACTATACGGAGGAGTTACAGCTACGAAGGTTCAGACCCTCACTTGGGTCCTGGCCACGTGTTGATGTCTTGTAGGACGAAGAGCTTCCAGCTTGTAGGACGAAGCGGCCCCAGGCTCCTTCAGGGACCCACTTTATATCCTCCCGGGTCGGGGCTGGCCCCGCCCGCCTTCTCGAGTGTTCTAGCTCCCTCTCAATCCCTCTTGAGAGCTCTCCCCGGACACGTGATCACCCCCTAGCCCCCCCCCCCTCCCACCTGGGGCCCTCTCAGTGGACACTCCGGATCACGTGTCTACAGGGTCAACTAGAGTGCCATGGCTCGGGGCAACCCTGTCCCTGGGCTGACACTCTCCCGCTTCCCCTTGTGGGAGCCCGCACTACTCGCTCTGCGCGGTGCCCGCGCTATCCCAGCGCTCACCAAGTCCCGCTAGGGCTGGTACTACACCGATCTACGGGGTGTACGCGATGACGATGCATCGCACGCCGTGCTATAGTAAAGCCGGCATCAAACAGCGACCCACCCAGTGCTGTCCGCAACGTAGGAACATCGCACGCCACGACCCTCCCGGGCCATTACCATACAGCGACATCCCCGATGTCACTACATATGTATATATATATGTGTGGTTGTAATATGTTTCCCCATGAAAGAGTATCATGGGGCAAATTGGGGTTTACTCTGCTGGACTGCGGAGCCTGATATATTCGAGGAAGTAGCCCACCCACTGCGAGTGAGTGTCTGGTTGTTGTGCTATTTGCCGAAGAGGTGCGGAGAGTGATCTAGAGCCTGAGACCAGGTGAAGTGCCTGGCAAAGAGGACCTCCCATAATATAGGTTTATAGGTTAGATCGTGTAAATATTAAGTGTGTCGTTAAACCGGCAACCACCCGACACAGCCAATTCGTATGTTTTTGTCAATTGGTTGCTAGTTCAGCACTCCGGCGTGTTGGAAAGTATACCCACAACATTTACAATTTGAGTATTACGTTTCGCCGGTAATTCCAACCAGGCTCATCAGGCGATAGCCGGAGTTCGATTCCCACTCACGGCCACCAACACCAGTGACGATTATTTGTTATCTTAACCGGTCCTGGGCCTCCCCTAGGTCGACTCAGCTTCAAATTAGTACCTTGTGTGGTGTGTAAACATTGCCATTGGGGAGACAAAGGCGGCCCGGTGTGGTGCTGGCCACCCACTCCCTCCTGTCCCGTGCCGGCCTTCATAGGTAATTGCTAACAGCACTTGCCCCAACAGTCTGATAAGGTTATTATACAGGGGATCTTTATGTTTATGGTGGGAAGTGGTGGCAGGTTGGTTGACTCACTGTGCGACGAACACAGCGAACTGAATTTGATTCCTGTGCACGGTTACTAATATGTTATCCGGTCCTAGGCCTTAACTAGTGCTGTGTGTAAACATCAGCACTTGGAAGACAAGGTTGCCAGACCTGACACCGATCAAACCACATCATGTGCCGTGCCAGCCTGCACACGGGCTCTCTTTTAGAGCACTTGGCCTCGCAGCCTACGAAGGCTACATAGGGATGTTTATCCCTGCATGTGCGTATACAGGCACTGCGGTTCCTGCAGGAGCGCGGGTTCCCGTACGGACACGTGCACGCAGGGAACGTGAGCGTGGAGGGGGAGGCGTGCCGTCTGCTCGACCTGGAGAACGCGCTGCTCGGGCTGCCCAGTGCCATGCGCGGGATCACAGCACAGTACCGCAAGATCAACGTGACTATGCTTACACACTCGCAGAGCACACACATACAATGCAGAGCACACGCCGATAATGTACACACAGCACTCCAAGATCAACGTGACGATCATTGCACTCTCGCAAAGTACACACCTATATAACGCCATTGCTGGAGGGCGACTGCCTCCATAATGGAAGTTGTTTGGGTTAGATCGCGTAAATATTTAAATATGTCGTTAAAACCCGCCGCCGCCCGACACAGTTAACTAGTAAGGGTTGTCACGTAAACAGAACGTGGCCAATTCGTCACTAGTACAGCACACCGGTGTGGCAACCCTTACTAGTTGGCTGTTTCGGGTGGTGGTGAGTTTTAGCGACACATATTTACGCGATCTAACCCAAAAAAACCTCTTATGGATGATATTGGTCACGAATGCCTATGTGTTAAACATATACACATGTACGTATGTTGAACTTCTTTCGCACCGTATGTACCCAACCACGCTGATCAGCGAGTACACACACGCAACGTGCGCCATGTGCTGCGTGTGCGATTGGGAGTGCAGACGCTGGACGCAGTGGACGTCTTCTCGTTCGGACTGCTGCTGCACGAGATGGCGTACGGGGCGCCGCCCTCTGCCATCCCCATCGACGCCCCCTCACTCGGCCCCTCGTCATCGCCCTACATCGGTAACGACGCGCAAACCCGCACCGGCTTCCCACCTCGCTTACGCTCGGTCCTATCGCTCCATGGCACAGTGCTCCGGGGAGTCGCCCCATTGCACGGTGCCCCGGGGGATGCCATGTAATGAGTCTGCTCCATGCGTCCATCTTCTGTGCGTTTCCAGCGACGGTGCTGGAGTCGATCCTCTCGGCCGACGCGCTCCGCTCAGGGTTGCCCACGCTGCAGCAGTTGCTCGCTACGCCGTAAGAACACACGCACACACAGATAATAATCCCCCCCCCCTGTAGCCTGTAACAGACTGTTGGGGCAAGTGCTGTTAGCGAGCACCGATGAGGCACGGCACGGCACACGAGCGGGTGAGTGGACAACACCACAGACAGCCACCCCAATGCCTGCTGAAACAATTATAATTTATGGCCCTTTTGACAATCCTCTACCTTATTGGTTATGGGAATTGTTTCACCATACTTTACCACACTGGTCCGTGTTGGTTGATGAAGCAAGGCTCGGGATCGGTTCAGATGTCATTCGCCACTCGGCGGAGCGAAGATGCCGTCGTGCATTGCCGCCTTGCGCACGGTGAATGCGAGACACCGACTCTCTTTGTGTGTCCCGCAGGCTCTTCCGGGATGTGACGCTGCCCAACGGCGGAGAGAAACCACAGTTTAAGGTGACCTAGCACGGCTTTTATACACACGTGTCCACTCACACGAGCTCTCACTCACGCCTGGTGAATGGTCACGTGTGCGAGGGCACGCACGTGTTGCTTGGTGTACGAGTGGGGCACCCCCTCAGACCCAGTTAATTACACACGCACCCCTGTGTGTTTACACCTGTGCGCTCCTGTTTTACCTGGGCCTTTCAGATCCCCAGCCGACTGCGAGAGGCGCTGAAGGTGGCACGGGAGGCAGTGGAGAATCGGCTCCATGAAGACCAGCGCACGGTATGGCCCTCCCCCCATCACCACTACCACCACGTGTGTGTGGCTCTAACTGTACACCTGTGTATGTGTGATGATCGTCATCAAAATCGCGTAGATGACCAAGGACCACGTTGCACCAGTGCCCACATTCCAACCGAGGCGTAGATGGTTGTGCGTGCATACACGTGCGCGTGCATACATGTGAGCGTGCGTACATGTACAGTGAGGGAAAAAGTATTTGATCCCCTGCTGATTTTGTACGTTTGCCCACTGACAAAGAAATGATCAGTCTATAATTTTAATGGTAGGTTTATTTGAACAGTGAGAGACAGAATAACAACAAAATCCAGAAAAACGCATGTCAAAAAATGTTATAAATTGATTTGCATTTTAATGAGGGAAATAAGTATTTGATCCCTCTGCAAAACATGACTTAGTACTTGGTGGCAAAACCCTTGTTGGCAATCACAGAGGTCAGATGTTTCTTGTAGTTGGCCACCAGGTTTGCACACATCTCAGGAGGGATTTTGTCCCACTCCTTTTTGCAGATCTTCTCCAAGTCATTAATGTTTCGAGGCTGACATTTGGCAACTCGCACCTTCAGCTCCCTCCACAGATTTTCTATGGGATTAAGGTCTGGTGCCCCGGGGGATGCTGGAGAGCGACTGTGCTTCCCTTTAAGAGTGCTCCTAATCTCAGCTCGTTACCTGTATAAAAGACACCTGGGAGCCAGAAATCTTTCTGATTGAGAAGGGGTCAAATACTTATTTCCCTCATTAAAATGCAAATCAATTTATAACATTTTTTACATGCGTTTTTTTGTTGTTATTCTGTCTCTCACTGTTCAAATAGACCTACCATTAAAATTATAGACTGATCATTTCTTTGTCAGTGGGCAAACGTACAAAATCAGCAGGGGATCAAATACTTTTTTCCCTCACTGTATGCACGTGCATGCAGTTATACCTTGTCGCGGTTAGCGCACTGCACTAAGAACCCAGTGACCCAAGTTCAATTCTCGCTCACAGCCAACACCAGTGATGATTATCTGAATCGGTCCTGGGCCTCTCCTAGATCTATGAAGCCTCAAATAATTACCTGGTGCAGTGCGTAAACATCTCCACTCGGGAGACGAAGGCGGCCGGGCGTGGTATTGGCCACGCCACCCCCTCTCCCTCGTGTGCCATTCCGGCCTTCATAGGTGATACTCGTAACAGCACTTGACCCAACAGTCCTGTAAATACTAAGCGGGAGATCTTTGTCTTTGCAGTTACATCAGTTCCGAAAGCTGTCGCGCGCGCAGTCTTACCACGGCTCCGAGGAGGAGAAGAAGAAACGGAAAATGCTCGCTCGCAAGGTGAGGGCCGGGGAGCCACACGCACCGTTGGGCTCAAGTGCTGTTAGCGAGCACCTATTAAGGCAGAAACTATAAAGACAAATGCTCATCACTATTAACCTCCGAACTCCAATCTCTGGCCCCATTCCCTGCCCCCTGCTTCAGAGAGCAAAGGTAATGTTTCGTGTGCCCCCCCTGCCCCACATCCCCTCCTCTTTGTTTTACTGTGAATTTTGGGGGGGCTGTTAATACTCGTTGCGCTAACCCTCATCGCAGTCCTGGTCAGAGTGATAAACCAATCGCTAATCCGGACATAACTTTGACCGTGTCCATCCACCTGGCCTCACCGACAGCGCCGTCAATCACCTACATCCGCTATCCCCCCCCCCCCCCCCCCCACCATAGAAATCGCGGCAGCTCACGACGGACGAAACGGAGGAGCCCCCCACAAACGGCACCTCCACAGGTACACCTCCCCACCTCCCCACCGCCATTGACACCCCCGTAAAGGGGGGGCCCCCGGACGAGATGAAGGAGAACAAAGGTAACAAAACGAGTGCGGCCTTGCCTCTGGCCTTACTATGGGAATGTGCCAAGTCCCGCCCGTAGTCCCCACCGTCACGGGGAGCCGAGTATCGTTGTTTACTCTGCACGACTCGTATTGTATCGCGATGAACGAAGAAGCGGTGAAGACCTGGTCGCCCGATTTGCTGTTTTACATGAATCCAGTCGCAACTTTGACCATGTCGACCATCCCCCATCCATCCCCCCATACAGGTTCCTGTACGAGTTCGCCCCCCACCACTCCGTCCACGCCAACTCCCACGGGTATGGTCACACACGGGGTCGCGCACGGGCACACGGGGTCACGAACGGTGACATCGAGTAACATAGAGACAAACGGGGTCACACAGAGATACGTGGAGAGACAAAAGGAGACTTGGATACACACGGGATACACTTGGCAACACGTGCTGTGTGCGGTACGAGTGGTGCACTCTGCGGCGTGTGAAGTGTTGCGCGGCGTGAATGATGCGAGTGCGTGCGCAAGTCCGGCGAGTATATACTGCGTGTGTGTGTGTATGCGAGGTATGTTTGTGCCCTGGGTGAGTGTGAAGTTTGTCCCGAGTGTGCTGTGTGCGTGATGCCAGTATTCTGTGCGTGCAGTGTGCTACTGTGTGTGGCGCTAGAGCACCGTGTTCGAAGTATGGTGTGCGCGAAGTGCCGTTCTGGGCTGACTGTGGGCAGTAACTCTGTTTCTCCCCCCCTCTATCTCTGTCCACGCTGCAGACTCGCAGCCTTGACCGCGTGCCACGTAAGCAATCGATTACAAATAACCCCCCCCCCCATTAGCGCCGGGCCCTCGCACCACACAGCCAACACGAGCAGCAGAATCAACAGACGTGGCTCTAACACTCACTGCAGGCTCGTGGATGCTGCGGTTGCTATGACAGCGGTTCCCGTAGTAACCGTTGCCTGGATAACAGGGCGTCTGTGGCAGCTTCCAGGGGAAGCTTTCCTGGTGTCGCTGTGCCGCTACCGCACTAACCCCGGCCGCTCGCTCGCTCCTCTCCCTCCTACGTCCACCTCCTCGCACGCTCGCTGCTCTCTTTGTACTCGTGGCTGCGGAGCGTCGGCCCCGGTTTGGGAGGACGGTACGTGGAGGCTGCCTGTGACTCGCTGCGTCTTTGCGTTTAGGGATCGGGGCGCCGCCAGCACCGCCGCCGCCGCCGCCGCCACCGCCGCCGCCAGGCCCCGCACCACCTGCCCCGCCCGCGCTGTCGGGCCTCCCCGCCCCCTCACTTAGCCCCCCTGGGGCTGGGAGGGACGTGGGACGAGGGGCCCTGCTGGGCTCCATCCGCAGCTTCAGCAAGGCTGGCCTCAAGTCGGTGTCGATCAGCGATCGCAACTCGGCCAAAGTGTGACGTTGAACACTAACCGAGCACCGCTCGCTTGTCTACACTGCACCAAGGCACTACCATCAACACCGCGCTCACCCCTTATACAATACACAGCACACACACTGCACACGATGCAGCCACCCCTCACACTCGCTACACGAAATACGCACCCATTATATGCAGCACACACCTCCCCCCACTCACCAACCTCACTGTACTTGTTCACCGCACGTTGTGCCATAATCCTCCCGCACGCGCCTGCCTTTGCAATGCGACACCACGATCCCACAGTGCCCCACTAATTCACCCGCCTTGCAGCACCGTACCACCACCCGCTGTTGCCGCCGCCGCCACCGCCACCGTCAACACTTTTCCTCGGTGGCAGCCGGTGCCCCGGTGGTCCCGGGCGGTAGCTGGCGCCGTGAGCAGATCGACTGCGCGGGCGGCCACGCCAGGCCCGGCGCTGGTGGTCCAGCAGGGCCTGCCCATGTAAATTACTGTGATGAAGACGACTGTGATGATGATGATGATGATTAATAAAGAAGTCTACGCTGCCCGTGGCTCAGCGAGCGTGGACGCGGCAACGCTGGCGGTAACGGCAGCAAGAGGCACACAGCGATCGTGGGACATGGTCGTTTAATACAAGAGCGGGGGTCACACCGAGGTCTGACCCTACAGGAGAATACCGCCCCGACCCGAGGGGACACACGGGGAGGGGGAAGGAGTGGTCACACCACGCCCAGGTGCTCACGCCCAACCAGCAGAGGAACATGGAGCTCATCATGGGTGGGGGGGCAGGGGGGGGGGGGGGGGGGGGGGGAGGAGGGGGCACAGGATCAAAGTGGGGGGTTAAAGTGGGAGGGAGGTGGGTGTTTGAGAGGGGGCCACAGTAGAAGCTGCCTGCCCCCGCCACCCCCACAGTGCGCTCCATGTTCTACATTCAAGTCAAAGCACAGGGGACAAGGGTTTGGAGCGAGCGGAAGGGGAGACCCCAAGGGAACCCGGGGTTGAGTGGGGACCTCGGGGACCACCAAGGTGGAGTGTGTGGGGGGGAACCCGGAAAACTTAGGGATTGTGCGTTCCCGTGCGGCAAGAGTGCTGGCGTTAGCTCAAGGCCAGTGCCGCATTGCGCCCGCTCGCTTTTGCTGCTGCTGCTGCCCCGCAGCTGCTGCCCACGGTCTGGGCCTACTGCTGCCCTGTGGCCTGTGTGCGCGCCTCCCCCAGGTTGAGCACGCGCCGCACCGTGGCCACGATGTCCTTGACCTGCACGTTGGCCGCCTCCTCGAGGTTGCGCGCGTACGGCATGGGCACGTCCACTCCGGTGACACGAGCCACCGGCGCATCCAGGTGATTGAATGCAGGGCCTGCGGAAGGTGAGGGGGGGTGGGAAGGTGATGGAGATAAAGAGGAGATGCAGATAGAGAAACGAGGGGTGATGGTGGGACGCATGAGACGAGGGAGAGACGAGGTTGACGTGGAAAAAGGAGACGTGCGGCAGATGTGGACATGGGAGAGACGCAGGGTTCTAGGTCACACGGGAGACGTGGGGGCATGGTGGGACAATGGGGATGCGGGGACTGGGGGGGGAAGGGGGCAAGTCGAGGGTCACGTGACCAGCCGACTCCAGCGGCAGCCGAATCGAAATTCTATGCCGCGGTCGAGCACGGGCGAAGGGTCAAAGGTTGGAGCGCAAGGTCATGGGTGGCCAAGAGGCAAGGTCAAGGGCAAGAGGTGGAGCGAGAGAGGTGGCTGACCCTCCATGATGCGAGCGCAGATCTCGGATCCGACTCCGCTCTGGGGCCAGCCGCCCTCCACTGTCACCAGGTGGTTCGTCTTCATGACGCTCTTCTCAATCGCCTCCTCATCCAGTGGCCGGACTGTGCGCAGGTTTATCACCTGTGGGGGGGGGGGGGGCACGGTGGGGAGGGGGCAGGTGGGAAATTTGTCAGAATTCCCCAAGGAGTGACGCGTTGTGCCTGTGCTCAAGCTGCCATGCCTGTAGAGGCCGCTGTGCGTGCATGCTGAGGCCGGTGTGTGTTGTGCGTGTCTGGGTTGAGGCCAAGTTGTGTGTGTTGAGGCCGATTCCTCACCTCGCACTCGATGCCCTCCTTGGCGAGGGCGGTGGCCGCCTCCAGAGAGTGACCAACGGTGCGCGAAAACGACACGATGGTTATGTGCTTCCCTGTGTGGCACAACCATGCGAAGAACAGCGGCACACCACAAACAATTGCATCACACAACTGCACGTCGTCATACAACCACACACAGCGCGACACATCCACACAGCATCGCACATCCACACAGTGTCATAACAACACACGCCACCACAACCATACGGAGCACGCCGAAGACAGCAGTGTCACGCCACAACCACGCAACGTCATACCACAACTACACAGTTTTGTGCCACGGCTATGCACACCGACAGACAACCATGCACACCACCACACTCCAATCACCACACAACCGCCTGATATACCGGCACACCACACGATCACGGCCAGACACGCCATCACGTCACGCCTTCACAGACCTGGTGGGGCCAAGGTCAAGGTAAGGGTCAATGTAGGGTCGCGTCCTCACCAGGCCGCTCAATCTTGGCCTTGCCGATGGGGATGACGAAGTCCTTGGACTGCGCCTCCTGGGACATCTCAAAGGCGACTCCATAGAGCAGCTCGTTCTCCAGGAACACCACTGCACGCACGCACATGCGGACATGCGCAGAGAACACCACGCACGCACATGGACACGCGCATTCAGTACTCAATCAGCAACAGCAGCGTGGCACTCACACTGCAGTAGACTGTGGTGAGAGCAGGGAACTCGCATAGCTGGCACGACCCGGGAGAATGCACCTAGGCCGGCAGGGCCTGGACGCCGAGGTGGGGACTTTTAGTGCTGTTTTTTTTTTGAACGACAAATTTTGGCAAATAACGCTTTGAATAATGTGCCAAGTAGCAATGCAACTTAATATTAGTCTGGATAATGCCTGCGAAGGCTATCGCGCCGATCCTTTACGGAGAGGCAGGCGGACAGAGTTAATGCAAAAACTCTAGGTTGGGAAGCGGTAAAAATAGAGACCCCCCCCCCACCCCTCCGTGTAATCTTACAGACTGAGGGGGCAATTCCTGTAAGCAGACACCCGGTCCTTATTCAGGGCTGAGTTGTACAACCCCTGCAAGCCATAACTTCTCCCTGTGCACCTGCAGTAATAACAATGTAAACCAAGTGGCCGGCATGGCCAGGTACTCATTTAAGGCTGAGTCAATGTAGGGAAGGCCCAGGACCGGTTAAGATATTCTTCACTGTTGTTGGCTGCGAGCTGGAATCGAACTTTTGTTTACGGGGTTTGTAGCGCAGTGCAGTGCTGACCACTGAACACTACCACACCGAACGTAGCCAACAGTGCTCACCGGATGTGCGGGGGAAGTACAACAAACAAAAGACAAAGATCAGTTCTACTGAAAACTCATTTCTTTAGAAGTGCTTTTTGTGTTTAGTTTGTTGTCCTTCCTCCACACCTCCAATTATCACGGTTGGCTATGTACGGTGCAAAATAAATGAAACATACATACACGCAGACGGGCAGAGCCAGGATTTCAGGCCGGGGTGACATTCAACAAATTTTAACTTCAAGAATGATTAGAGAGTCAGGCTGTTGAACTAGACTCCATCGGTTGGCGACACACTCTGACTATGCAGTTGCACCGAGTCCGCCAGACCGAGTGTCGTACACTTATACGCAGAATGTCACCCCTGTCACCCCCCCTGGCTCCGCCCCTGCACGCAGACACAACGGACGACACAAGCGCGCGCACGCACGCACACAGACGTGCGCGCTTGCCACTCCGCAGGACCTGGGTTCTCGTCGCGGATGGCCGCCTTGAGGAGGCCCTTGGCATCCTCAGAGCTCCAGGGGGAGAGGACCTTGAGGCCGGGGCAGTGGCTGTACCAGGCGGCGAAGCACTGCGAGTGCTGCGCCGCCACACCCATCGCCGCGCCGTTGGGCCCGCGGAACACAATGGGCACCGACACCGTGCCCGCCGACATGTAACATGTCTTGGCCGCCGAGTTTATGACCTGCGGACATGCGGGGGGACGCGTGGGGGCATGCAGGGGTACACTCGGGGGAGGGGAAGCGCGCAGGAAGGGGGGCACATGGGGGGGCGCGCGGGGGGCACGCGAGGGGACACGCAAGGGACAGACACGCAAGGGACAGACACGAGGAGGCACTCGCAGGCAGATGGGGACACGCAAGGATGCGCGGGTACACATGGGGACATGTTATTTGAATCTAACCTGGATAAACCATTGATGAAAAGTGAAAACCTCCCTAAGCCAGGCTCAAACTAAGTTGACAGCCAGAGAGCCTACCCGAAAATAAAACACAAAAGCACTTTTGTTTATTATGGAAGAGAAACGCTGACCGCGCGGTACTCACGCTGCACGCAGTGGCATACGGCGTTTGGCGGTTAACCCGCATGCATCAGCCTATCTGCTGGTCTGCTCCAGATGATACGATACTCTATCTTTCTGAATAAATAAAACAATACTAGTTTGAACACAAATATGAATGAATAGAGTCGAGGCTACTGAGAGCCTGTGTGTTGTAGCCCCGCATCCCCGGCCCAGAGAGGAGCGCGACTCCACAGCACAGGAGCCTCTGTGCGGGGCTCGGAGCCTCGGAGCCTCGAGGCCACAGAGCGGACCCCCCTCCACATGGAGCCGAGTGCGTGGAGCTGCTTGTGCGCACGCACCTGGTCGATGGCTTGCATGGAGAAGTTGAAGGTC